CCTCAGGTATGCGCTTGTATACGTCGCCGCATTGACACAGGTGCTCCGCTGGCCAGGTGATGAATTATGGGATGGATAACGACTCTCCCGTTCACTGGAATGTCGAAGGAGTGCGGCGGGCGGACAGGGCATGCTGCAACAACCTCCTATATCAAGTTTTTCAACCACTCCTCTTTCAAAACAATTAGTTATTTTTGAAAACTGTGTCGCCTCCATTAAAAATTTTGTTTTGGACTATTCCTGTGATTTGATAGTGATTTTGAAACTCTTTCAGCATAATTCTCGTATTTCTCATCTCCGGTTTGCATTGCTAAATCTCTCTCTTCCTCTGGACCAGTTACAACACAGCCCGATAACCTTTCAAAAATATTTGGCTACTCTTTCACCTTTCTTTACCAAGAATTCACGAGCTGTTTCCAAGCCCAAAACAGCCTGATGTTGAGTTCTCATGTTGGATCAATTTGAAATATATTATTGTAAGTATTAACTCAGGCTGAGAACCATTTAACAGGTGGAAAATACTCGACGTTGGCTTGTACAGGTGCTGAAGAAATATTCAAACTAAGAACTGGCTCTGGAAAGAAAATGTGCTGTTAATTACAAGGTTTTTTCTGACTGCTGGATTCTGGAAGAGGGCTGTAAAAAGTATTTGGCCAGTCTTAAAATGATATAAGCTACATTTTCCCCTCAAATAGAAGCTTTTAATACGAAATAGTAAAACCTTTCATAACTAAATATCCATTGGATCTTAAGTACTACGGGAATAGGCCATGAAATAATTCACTTTCAAGAAGTGTCACAAATCACAGTACTGACATATTTTGATGCTAATGAATAAGCTGCAGTTGCGAGTTAGTAATTAACTTACAACAGTTGATCTTTATTTGTATTGAGGCTTGTGCCGACCAAGGTCACACAGAGCTTTACCAAGTGCTTTAGAACAATAATTGTTTGGTACTTCAATTTGGTATACGTCATTATAGACTCTAATTTGTATCTTGTTTTGAATAATAATTGTATTTTTCCTTAGTTTCTCCTAATTAATCTTAAAATGTGAAACCAACGTATGATATAGACGTTATAACAAAGGCTTTATATATTTCCTTTTGTCTGTAATGAGAATGAGTCCATCATATCAGAGCTTCATATTGAGAGTTGAATTACAGAAGTATAATATTTAAACATTCAGAGTTTCACCTGTAGACTTCCTGTTACTTACAATGGCAATAAAAAAAATTGGATTCTGCTAGTGTCAAACAAAGTGTTACTGGTACCAAAAGTTGTGACCCCAGCCCTGTAGTTGTAACCCAAACGTCTTCTATCAGTAAATGAAATAATCTTCTGCTCTTGACCTGTCCCGGCTCACACTTGGCTCCACGTCTCTCTGGGCCTTTCTTTGTTCGAGCAGGCGCTGTGTGCAAAGATGGCATGTCTCTGCATGCAGCCCGTCCCCTTCAGGAATGCACTGTTATGAAGAAGATGAAGTCAACAAGAAGAAAACGAGGCTGTAAATGAAGGCAAGCCCTCACTCTGGGACAAAAACTGCTGACAACTTGAATGGCCCTTATAGTGGAAGTCCTTTGTCCAGTTCACTTAAAGCTGGAGGACCCAAATGTTCTCATTGTTTCATAAATACATTTTTGCTGTCCCAACAGAAAGTCTTGTTCAAATAACATTTTGTGAACAAATCGGACCACAACATGCTGCCTTTATCTTTTTAGAACACATAGTATCTTATACACACTGAAAAAGCTGATTTAAAGAAGCGACAGAGGCTAAAAATGCATGTATGTGAAAACTAGAATTAAACATTGAAAGCTAGGAAGTAAGTTATATGGATTTTATTACATTAGGTACTCCAGCTTTAAGTAAGAGAAACTTGTACATAACTTAATCTACTGATGATATGTTATGTTCTTTTGCTGAATAAAGATTTTACTTATTTTTGACCTTCTTTTTACTGGGCCCACCACTTTATACAGTGCATTACAGAAAATACAGAAATGTCTCTCTTCAGAAAAGTCTATCTTCAGTTGTTATACGTTTTGAAGGAGGTAGAATCATTCACCTCAAAGTAAAAGACAATTAAATGTTAATCTTCTGAAAGGAGATTATTTACAGTCGCAGTGTAATCTCAAAGTACAAAGACATTAAAATCATTTAACCAAAAAAATCACACGGTTATATTTCAAAGTTACAAGTATAAAATGTTTTTTTAAATCTTATACAATAACTTGTACATATATCAAGGCATGTGTTACTGTGATATCGCCCTCTGAAAAAATATACATGTAATGTCATAGTTTTCACTTTTTTATGTTTTGAATTGTAATACTTCATGTAGGTATCTCGGAAATTGCACAATAATATCTATAGCAATGGCAAAGTTGTGCGACCGGTCATTGAGTTCAGTGTGACCAGTATCCCCCAGGTCTAAAGAAACGTCTACAAACCTGTGTGGGGTTTTTTCAGACTAAGACTTTACCTAAACACAAAGTTTGGCCCAAATCCCTGGGCTACACACGCTTACGCTACATTGGTCAGCCGGACTGTCAATCATCTGTATACAGTCAGTGATTGGTTGAAGACTTTTAAAGACTGTTGCCAGGCCCCAAGGCACATGCTGTGGCCGGTGAGTCATGTGTAGCACCTTGGGATTTTTTCGTTTTTGTCTCAAATAGGTGGAATTCAGACACAACCTGTCGGGCCAGCATAAGTCAAACTTGTACCCCCACCCATTGTGCCATTCTCACAGTTCTGAAGTCATCTCTGAGAGTAATTGAAATGTTTATGATCCCTACCGCCACCTGTAAATTCTGTCACTGGAAAAAGTAGTGGGCGAGATAATACTACAGTGTCGTACCATCAATGTTGTACTTTTGTTACTTCAGACGTCAATATCGCCAACAATAACGCAACTCATACTCCTTTTAGATTTGCTCATGATTGACCCGTTTCCTCAATCAATCCAGATTTTCCTGTTATGTTATCAACAGTTAATTGCATGTCTCATCCGATGTTCTTATGTAAGTCTAAAATCCAAAGCATGCCTCACCTCTCTGGCAACTAACTCATTTGATTTTACAAGGGTCTGTTAGAGTGAGTGAATGTGCAGGTGAAATGTCTGTTTGTTCTCGTGTCTGTTATAATGTGGAGGAATAACACCTGGTTTATTTTTACTGTTGATTGCACTCGATGTATGTCTCAGACAGGTTTCTTTGCTGCTGAACGTGACGTCACAAAGGTGAATGAACCTCAGTCCGACTCTTTCAGACAAAGGAATGAGGCCTTTGATTTCATCTACATCAGATGTTGTATAACTTGATGAACTTGATAAATGATGAACCCTGGCATCTCTAATTTTCTATTCAGTTCATTTAATTTGTGTATAGCCCTAAATCACAACAACAGTCGTCTCGGAGGACTTTACAAAGTTGTCGATTCCTCAATAACAGATCAGAGAATCAAACGGTTCCAACACAGGAACTGTAATGGTGACACATAGGAGTTATTGGTCCATATTAAATATTAATGTCCATGAATGTCCTTAGACCCTCCTGTTAATCAGAAATAATACCATCTTACACAAAGAATGGTCTGCTGTGATTAACTCAAAACTACAGTGTGAGAAAACCCTCGCTGAGGTGTGGGGCACCATATCCGCTCCAAGCTCCAGTGATTCTTAATGGGTGGCTGCCTCCTTCAGACTGTGCCAGGATCTAGTAGTTAAATTATGGAAAATTTCAGGAGCACAGGCTTTCCATTCCTTTTTGGGAAAGTTGCTTTTTAGCATCTGAGACTGTTGGCCTCTGCAAGTGATTCAATTACTTCCTTTTAATGAAGGGATAAGATTTGTTTGCATGACAAATATAATCAAGTGAACAAATGTTTGCTTGACATACAAATAATTAAATGACTAAGTACATTCATGATTAGTTTACATATTGCCACTTATTTTTATTAACCCCTCCCCCGTCTAGGCACAACTCATTTGTAAAATACAAGCCCTCTCGCCATAGCCCTGTCCACTATGTTCAGGAAACTTTTGTCTCTGAATAGGAGAAGAAAGTTTTGAGCAAGGCACCAAGACGGCGAGACGTGAGTAAGTCATAACCGTAGACTAGAAACGTGTGAAAAAGAGACTTTGTTGACTGGCGGAAAAAGGAGGAAAAGTGACAAATGCTTGTGAAACAATTGTTCACATTCTCAAGGAACCTTTTTTGATGTCGTTTTTATATTCAGTTGAGTACAAGTTTTTATGTCTTCCAAATGTTTTTACAGCTCTTGCATATAATTGCTAAGTATTGCTGTATTGTTAAGAATACAGGAAAGTCGAATCTGGCTTGTTTTATGGATAGACCAAGTGATCAAACAGGCTTTGTTTGATTCTCTTGTTTCTCTGCTTTTACAAAGTCATGTTTAAACACGCCTGACCTCTGCTGCATTACAGTCCAAGTGAAGTTCAGAAGAAAGAGGAAGAATGCTGCCACACATTCTCAGCATGAACAGATCCACAAAGCGTATGATTTCTCCCACTGATCGAGTTTAGCATTGTTAATATCATTTCAAGCAGGTTGTGATGTAGCGCATTGACAATCCCAGCCATAGATCAAGGTTTCTTCTATGTCTCTTGTTTAAACAGGATGTATTCAGTAAACGGTCCAAGCTGCCGATCTTGTAAAATGTTAAACTTTTATCCATAAACTCGCTGCCCACCTGTTGTTACAATATTATTACTTTACATCCACATGGACTGACTCTGCGTCATCAAGCCCCTCCCTTCCCCCGCTCCCCCCTTCCTCTGATTGGCTGAAAGTCTTCTGGGGCGGGCTCTGTGTGTAGTTTTGCTCCTGCTGTAAACGAGCGTAGGTCAGAGCGTCACATGTGGACGTGAGCGGACACGCACTTTCACACTCCGCACCAAGGACTTTATTCACACAACCTACATGTTGTGAGCTATGGTCGGAGACTTTTGCTCCTTTTCTGCGGATAAGACGGAAATGCATTCGCAGAGAAACCCGAACAGACTAAGCTGCAAAATGGTGCTTCAAGCGGTTGGAAAAGTACTAAGGTAAATCCTGATTGTCTTTTCTAATGGGGGAGTTGGGTCCACTGTACGTGTCAAATCCAGCTGTAATGTTTTCATATGATAATAACTCTTACACTTCATTGTAGAACTGCGGTAAAAAATAAATTTTAAATAGTAACTAATTAGTAACAACTTTACGCACAGGTACAGCGTCTCTATTAAAGTGCTAGGTGAGACATTTAATGAATATATTTTTTTATTCTGTGATCATAGGGGGCATGGTTTTAAGATTTCACACAACTCTTGAGTATTTTCTTTCTTCTCTCAATGGATGTATCCACAGGTGCCAGTGCGTCGTTCCAGGTTTGCGAGTAAAAATATGCAAATTAGGTCCTGTTTATCTAACTAAAGAATTGGGATTAAATAAAATGTATTTCCTCATATCATGACAGAGACTCTTATAGTTGACCTCCACACCTACACTGTGCTGCTTATGAAATATAACGATGACTCTAGGCTTTTGTCATCCAGCGTGACACATTCTGTTGGTAGGTTCGTTTGATCACTATTTAGACATGCTTATTGTGTTGTGTTATGTTATATATATGTGTATTAGATATATGTGTGTATTAGCTATTAACCAGTCAGCCCATGACCTAGTCCTCAATGCTTGTAAGAATGTGTGACCCAGATAGAATTTTATAATGCAATGTGTCTGCCACAAACAAGGGCCAGTCCTTGCTCAGACCTCATGGCGAATCGATGATACTCAATTAAACGTGCCGCTATACTTGTAAATAAACTTAACCTGGTTTACATATGAGAGTTGAACTTTGTCATGTGAGTGGCAATTAAATGAGTGTTCCTCCTCCAGGGGACATGCTGACATTTGTGCCTGTGGTGAAGTTTCCATTTACCTTTTCAAGTTGTGGAACAGGTGTCTTCTGCAGGAGCCCAGAGGCACGGCTGCAGACCCCATTGTTCTTGTGTTGAATATTTGTTAGCACGTTTATAACCAGAGCAGTGAGTTTGTCCACAGTTTTGTCTAGCTGGAATTGAAATGAATCCAACACGGCTCTGACTGACTATAAAGACTGAATGCCTTTGTAATGGATTGTAATGCTATGAAATCAGAAAATTTATCACTTTTGTTGGCGCATACAATTGACAAACTATAAAAGTGCTTTGACAATATCATGCAACAAAGTTTTGCAGTTTTTACAACACTGTATCTAGCTATTTTATAATCAAGACTCACATTTATTTTTATTTGTTTTCATCTCTTTGCATATTGTCCCCCCATCCCCTGTAACACGTGTTGTGATGCTGATGAGCTTCTATTATATGGCTGGCAGGAGGTCCTTAGTCGCTCCCCAGGCCTGAGAGCTTGTGAATGGGGTTTTAGCACAAGTGACAAGAGGCCGGCTTAGGAAATGATGCGGAATAGCCAAATACAGTTCTTTGTGGCAACTTTGGGCTTGCAATTGTGGAAAGTTGCTTGTAAATTGACAGCTGTGTGTTTATGTGTTGTTTTGTATAGGCTTTTTTCTCTTGGCTGGCACTTGGCTTGCACTTGGCTTGCACTTTTAAGACTTTTCCAGCTCTGTTCCATGTTGATTTACTTGGTGAAATAGTGATGACCGATCTGCAGCTTGTTACCGTTGCTTTTTATTAAGGATACGTCTTCAGACCTTTTTTATTCCATGGTTTTGTTGCATGTAGCTTCTGAAAATACAGTATGTCAACCTTGTCCCTCACAAGATAGAAGTTGGTGCACTATGGTTTAAATAGACCCACTCTGTTATGTTTGCATGCTCCCCTCATTTACTGATTTACAGTTCTGCTGAAGCTACTGAAGCAGGGGCAGCTGTGTCCTCTTTGTCTTTCCTCTTATCTCTTTGCAAGACAAAAACAGATGCTGGTCTTAATTTCACACAAAGTTCAGGAACATTGCTTCACACAGTAGCTTGCTACTTAAACACTCCTCCCATGCTTTACTCTGGCTTTTTCTTTTTTAGCCGCTGTGGTCGTGCTGATCTGTGCTTGGTCTGTGCGCACTTTTTTTACTTTGTGGTTTTTCGGAGAAGAGGCCTTTGACTGTATTCAATTTAGGTTCTAAAATAGATCTATGGGGTGAAGGAAATGGGATCTTCCGAACCACTTTAGAGCTGTAGAGTCTGTTCTTTCACTTCTGGTTTGTACCTATAGATATTGCAGTTGTTTTTTTTATGACTTCATTTTAAAGTACTGTCCATACTTTTCACTCTGTGTGGGTCGCCTGCTTTTGTACCAAAGTGCACGACTGAACCAGAGGACTACAAAATCTAAAGTTCAGTTGGAAAATCACCTGCAGGATTCCATGGATATAAAATGTTAGAATCATACTATGGAACATTCTCTTTTTTATATGTTTAATACCATAATGTGGTAGAATATAAACAAGAGGAGGCCCTTTTCAAGGACATTCATAGTTTGTTTTTTCAATTAAACGATATTTTCACATAGTGGAAAAACATATTTGGCTATAAAGTGTTATGATTTTAAATGGCATAGTTGTGTCTTTTTGTCCGACATTTTTACAAATGTTTCAGTTTTTAGATGATATCAGATTTGTTGATGTTTTCCATGCACTGGGAGGAGACCATGATTACTGTCCAAATATTGAGCATTCTTGTCACTGATCCAGTTTGTTTACCAGACTAACAGAACTCTGTTGTGGCCCTGTGATATGTTGCAGGTGTGGCATTGCACCTTGGAGCCTTTTTCGATCCATAAAGATAACTATCTTATCTATATATTTTTTGTCACCACAAACCTGCCTTTGTCTTCCTTGTTCATTCTTCAGAATGTTTTGGCTTCTTCCACCAACATAACTTACTAGACGGGTTGTTTCTCTTCTCACTTCACAAATGAACGGACAGATTGAATTAACCACCTCCACGTGACAATGGGTGCATTCCTTTATGCCTCCACGCACAGCTGTACAGTGCAGCTCTGCAGGCACCAGCAGCTTAGGGAAACTCATTATGTGTTTTTACAAGTTTGCTCTTCCTGTGCAGTTATCAACTTTTAAACTCAAATGTCTGTACTCAAATCAGAGTACAGACAAAACATTCTGCTTTGAACCGTTTGGGAAATATGAAGATAAGCAGCCGTACCAACGAGTCATGCAATGTTGCGCAAGGATGGAGATGTTTGTTTGAAGGAGATTTTATGATAGGAATGATCTGAGCTTGCCAGAAGTTGTAGGTTAATTTCCATGAAACATTTCTGAAATTTGAGCTGCCACACTTACATTCGACTGATCCAACTATTGTGAGATGACTGACCCGCCTCTGTATCAGTTTCTTTAGTGTGTACAGGCTTAAGACTTTTGCAATGATAAATGAAAGTGGTGTGATTCCACCAGTGACTGAAACTACTCTTGTTTTACCGGTCATGTACGTTCCCACCTTCACCTATGGTCATGACTTTTGGGTAATGAGCGTTCGAAATGAGCCGTTGCTTCTACACATCGAGAGGAGCCAGTTGAGGTGGCTTGGGCATCGCTTTCTGACGCCTCCCTGGGGTGGTGTTCCAGGCATGTCCTGCTGGGAGTAGACCCTGGGGAAGACCCAGGACACGCTTGAGGGACTATGTCTCTCAGCTGGCTTGAGGAGAGCTGAGAGGAAGTGTGTGTGGCTCTGTGACCTGGCAAAGGATAAAGCATCTAGGATATCCATCTACACAGAAAAAAACACATTTCAAATAAGTTTACTATTGATATCTGAATTGAGATTAACTATTGACAGAATAATCTTAAATAAACCAATCCTCATTGGTTTATTTGGTTGTCGTGATTTTTATGATTGTTAATGATTAGACAAGATTAGGTAAAAGTGCCATACCAGTGCACATGTATCCAGGGTGGACAATAGCTAGGACCAGACAGTACTAGTTTTATCTGGACACTAGACTTCTGCCACAGCTGTCGTGTCCAGCTGGACCCAACAGGGACTGAGCCGTGTTGTAATGGAGGAAAGGTTCTGAGCGAAAAAGGGGGGGCCCTGAAAGTGAAAGGGCCGAAGACGCTCCACAGCAGCTGTCCGTCCAGTGTCACCCGTTTACTCGCACTTTTATGGTCCAACGGCCGCTTGTCGCACTTCACCTTCTGCATCACTTCAAACAACGTCCCATTTGGAGACTGCACCCCTGCTCTGGCCATGGACTGGTTCGTGGATACTGTCTTGGAGGCAATACAATGGTACCTATGGCAAATCACTGGAAAGAGCCAAAGTCTAATCAATTATTGAGAAAATTGTTTATTTTTAGTAATCAAATAATCTTATAAGTGGTTCAAACACAGACTTCGTGTGATGTGGTCGCAGAAAAGGGTTGATAATTCAGTTAGAAACACGAACAGTGTCGGTTTTTGTGTTCATTTGTTTTGATGGGTTGAATCGTTTCGCAGAATTGGATAATCACAAATGTAAGTAGTAGCCATCGACCATGAATTGTCTAAGTTTGTGTTTTGTTTCTCAAGGTCAGGTTTAACAGTCTCTTAAGTGTGACTATATAGATCGCCTCTTGTCTTGACTTATAGTGGAAGTTTACATTACTCAGTTTTAACACTGATAAAAGCCAGGGCCCCTTTATGAAGTCTTTATCTAAAGTAAGTCCATCAGGCCTTCTCTGCTTATGCTGCTTTATCAATACTGTGTTATCTGCATGCAAATTCTTATCAAGGATTATGTTTAGTGGGGTGTAGGTGTTGGGTCCAGGTCACGAGATGTAAAAAATACTTAAGGCATTTGCCAAAATCTTAATTTCTACATAAAACATTCCTATTCCAAAGAACAATAACTGGTTCTTTAAAGGATGGATTTTATTTGGTTTTATAAATATACTTTGTGTGTTCCAACAGAAAGTCTTGTTCAAGTAGCATTTATTGAACACAAATGCTGACCTTTGCTTTTATCTTTTACATACTGGGAAGATGAGGAGAGGCCAAAAATACATGCTCGTGAAAAGTACCGTGATATCCAAACACTAGAACCCAGTTGCATGGATTGTATTACATGGTTATTTCTTTGCAATATCAAAGATTTAATACTTGGTGCGTGCTAAGTTGGGCGTCGGTGCCAGGCAGGCTGACACCGACGTCTCACTGTGCTCCTTGTGCCCTGGTCTGCAGCAGAAAGAGGCGTCTGCTGCCTTTTATGGCAAAGAGTGGCCCTGGAGAACCTTCCGCAGAGCAGACGAGGCGCAGGCTATCTCTGCACCGCCACACAGGAAGTTTTCTTTTTCCCAAAATAAACTCCACATTTTTACCTCTGCTGACTGCATGCGATAAATGTTCCAGTCAGGATGACACAAGCTTAAAATCATAAAAATAGCTTTGTTGAACTGACTTGACTTTTTAAGGTTAGAACAGGTTTCAAAGGAGCTCATTGAAAAGCTGTTGCATTAACCACAGCCAGCCCTCTGTCAATATAAAGCAATGTGGTTATTTCAACTTTGTTATATTGCTTTGCTCAGGGTGATGCCGAAAATGACTTTTTTTTTCCCACACGAAATAACTCTCACATGATTGCGCTCCGAGCTTGTCACCTAACCACATGAAACGCACTTAGAAGCTGAGAAGAGGAGACAGACTGAGACATTTTCTTAACTTCACCGACTGGCACAGCCATTAAATTAATTTAGGGTAATTTGTGTGAAGCTGTGAGATGAGATGGGACTGAACATCTGACTGCAAGACGTGTGGACTCACTGGCCTAGTCAATGTTCAAGAGGGAACATGTCAAAGTGTGTCTCAGCATTAATAATTAGCCAGTAGTGTAATCTATGGTGTCCTTGCTTTTCAATGAGGCCTAAAACAAGCTCAAGTGATAGTGAAGAGTCAAATAGCTTTCATAAATGATTAGTGAGGCGAAAGTGAAGCCGGCGTCTGTGTGCGTCATCAAACATGATTTCTGCAGAAAACAAATATTTGTTTTCTGCAGACTCCATGAATGGAAGCTTTTTACTTTTATAAATGGTCAAGTGTTTAGTGGTTGTGTAGTTATTTGTGCTGTAGTGAAAATATAAATACTACAATATTTCTTGTCAGATTCCTTGGCAATATGCATCACTGTAACTTCATTTAAACTTGGACTGTTGGCTATCTTACTACAAACTATTGTGTTCTAATACACGTGGCATAAGTTATCAATTATAAATCCATTCAATTGAGTGAAATGTTTAGGAAATAGAGATGGCATCAATATTCTCCTTAGTTGTCATGTTATCACTTCTGCAGACATTAAGACTTGAATCCAGCGTACCTAACCATGTATTTCACAGTGTACAACCTCATTTATTACTTTCCAAGAGCCAACAGGGAAAGGCATAGATTAAATTTAGATAAAATTGCAAACAAAGCAAAATCCCACCATAGCAATGTATAGGAATCCAACAATAATGAACTCTGTAGTTTGGCTCCATTCTATTATTACTAGCATGAAAGAGGTGCACCAGGACAGCCTTGTCAGACAAAATACTGATTTATTTTTATTTGCATCAGTTATATTGAATATAGAGTTGAATTAATCCACCGTCATTGTCCGTTGGTGCGAGTCCAAAAAGCAGAAGCAGACAGCATTGCAGGAAATGAGGGTCAACATGAGAACAATAAAAACAGGGAGTGTACCGAACCTCCCTCGCCCTAAAGCAAATCCAGAAAAACCGCAGCTACAAGAAGCACAATGGAACAGGATAAATATTTTGATCTCAATCCAATGTGCACAGGTTTGCAATTTGGTGCTTTAAAGTTTGCAGTCCTGCCGTCTTTTGACTCGAGCTCACAATGTGAAGTTACACAAAGGAGCAGACCACAAAGAGCTTTGATCATAGAGCCGAGAAAGATGTTTGCTTTTTGTTCAATGATAATTTCAAAAGTTTTGTTTATATTTTTTGAAGGGCAATGTTAAAAAATATGGCAGCACAATATTTTGCACCATTTTCATTAACAAGACCTTTAACATAAAACTGCCATAAACCAACACACTAATGTGAAATATCAGAATACAAGTTTATCATGGTATACTTGTGGGGAATTATAAAAGGATAATCTGTCATCTTAAATACGGTTTTATTAAAGTGACCGCAAAGAATCTGTTTACAATAAAGTGTTATTATTAATCTGTTAAATACATAGTTATATTTCCCTTTGAAGTTGGTGCAAAATACTGTCATATCAACTAAGACATTTTACAGCCATGTTAAACCACTAATATAAACAAGTATCAAAATATAATCTGAATATCATTCTTATCAACATTATCAAAAAAAAAAATCTTGATATTTACATTTTAGCCACTTTTAAATAAAGCTCTAAAGTTTGTCATCAACGTCAGGGAAAGGCTCTTGCTGTGACCTCAGACTGCTCTGTGGTTGTGCAGACGGTGTGGGGGAGGCGCAGACACACTGGTGCTAAAACTAGCAGTGGAAGTACAAGGCACCAGGGACGAATGTCTATTGACTACGGCTAAAGTCAGAGGCCAAAGCCGGAGGACTACACACAAACATGAGGATTTATTTGAGTTGCTTCTGGGAATGGCTGGTCCCACAATTGTGTGAAATATCTCCTTGCGGATGTTGGTGCCACTGTGAAAAAGCTTCAAATAATATGTTGCAAAGCTGCTTGTGTAATTCAGTCATAACAATCATAGTTAACAAGGTGAGTGGTATATTAACTCCAACAAGCAAGTTAATTAATAGCTACTGGTGCTTTTTCAAGGGTCGGTCCTGTAGGAAAGCCAATGCCCAACTGTATTCTTTTAACTCTCTTAAAATTGGTTGAAATGTGAACAAAAACCTTTCAATTTCAAAAGTGCCTGATCACAAAAGTGCATCACAATTTTGTCACTGTTTTGGGGTAACTGTGTGTCAACCCCAGCTTTTAAAATGTAAATGTACGGCAATGGCGCTGAAACATGTCTGGATAACATTGTAATTTCCAAATTTTCCAAACAATTGTACTCCGCCTGTTAACATACATGGATTTTTGACTCAAACATTCTTGTCTCTGTGTTGCAGGAAGTCAAAGACGAAGCCAAATGGAAAGAAGCCTCCGGCAGAAGAGAAGAAGCTGTACCTGGAGCCGGACTACACCAAGATCCGCGTGGTGGACTTTGACTTGAAGGAGCTGGTGGTGTTGCCCCGGGAAATAGACCTCAACGAATGGCTCGCAAGCAACAGTACGTGCAACAGTGGGACTTTTCAGATTCGAGTGAAGTGCAACCTGTGATCACAACTCGCTTTCAGAGTTTTAGTTGTTTGTTTGTTACCAGTAGAGCCTTAAGTATTTTATCTTTTGTACTGATCCACTTATGATGCTAGGGCTGCAGTAAATCAAGGACAGTCGAGAGGAGATAGCTTAGATGGCTTGGGCGTCCATTTTGGTTGCTTCCTCGGGCCTTGGGGAAGATCCAGAACGAAGCACAGAAGCAGCGACTCTACACCGAGCTCTTCCTCTTCTCTTCAGGGAGCACCCAGCCCCTCTGCAGAGAAAACTCATTCAGACCACTTGTATCAGCGATCTTACACTTTCAGTCATTACCCAAAGTTCATGACCAACGGTGACCTACAAATATTAGATTAAGAGCTCCTTTATTCGTCCCACAGTTTGAAAGTGTCAGTGTCGCATCCCAAGTTACAGAACTGTAGGAATGAGGAGCACCCAGCACAATGAACCCAGCATGATGAAGAAGCAAGAATTAATTACAAAAACCCCGGGCTTTAGGCATAATGAGGAGCAAGTATGAAATGCTGTATATTCTAGAGCAAGGCATATGATTGATACATCTACAAAACAATTACAACAAGCTTCCATGTCAAGATGGCTTTGTTACAGGCTTGAAAAGAGTTTAATAACATAGAAATTGAAATACGAAAATCACAACAGCTGAACTCTAGAGCACAGGAGAAAGCTGTTATTGTCGGCATAGAGTTGACTGTATAATATTCATGCACTGGTTTGGTATGCTACTGGCACAAGACCCATCCAAGACGTAAAAAATCGTTAAGACTCCAGACCTGTTCTTATCAACATGTCACTACTTTAAACATTATCGCTCGCCACCAGCTCCGCTCTGTTGCCAAAGCACAAGCGGCGATAAGTTATGATGGCCGTCAGGGAATATGTTCTCGAGTTGTATAAAGTTATTTAAACTCTGGCAGCTTTGACGTGGTCTTCAAGTTTGTTTGAGTCCCGTCTCCAACGCAGAGAGCGGCGGGATTCGGGAGAAATCATTCTGTCATTCCTCTGCCCTTTTCTTCTCAAGTCTTCACACATAATCAGTATTCAGAATTGATGTCAGACCAGGACTTTTGTAAGGAACTCTTTAGAAATAAGGAAGTAGACAAGACAAGGCTATTACGCATTAGTTTCTCCATCTTGTGTTTCAAGAAAATATTAGCTCATCATAGATCAGTGTGTGTCAAATGGGGACTTTACGTCTACTGCCAAAATATACAATTTACTGCAGTACAAACAGAAGTTTGGTTAGTTGTTAGTTAGTATTTTACTCATTTCATTGTCTTTTGAGTGTTTGGTTTGTCTGTTTGGAAAAATAATTGTCAGCCTTTCAAATTATATTCACTTCTAAATATCTGCACTGGATTGATCCTTTTGGCCAAGGATTATAAATTGGATATAGAGCTAAACCCTCTAGCACCTAAAGTGTAAATACATGTGTTTTTTACATATCTAATTTTACCATTTTGTATTGACAATTTAAATAATTTCAGATTCTTTTAAGCACAAAAAAATGTCCATACCAACTGCCACTATACTGCAAAAAATTATAAACATCGAGGGGTTTTTATCTCAATTTGAGTGCATTCTGACACATTATATTGAGATTTGCGAATGGGACAAGGCATTTCAAGAACTGAAATTTCTCGTATCTTTTTTAAAACAAGATTATTTTGCTTTGTCCCATTGGTAAATCTTGTTATAAGGCAGTCAGAATATGCTCAAATTAACATGCGTTCAGCCAAATTTGAACAAATTTACTTATATTTCATCACTTTTTGCAGTGTACGCCTAATTCTAGTCCTCTTAAGTGTTAAGATTTCTGCTTTAACCTCTTAAACTGTGATCTGAAAGCACTCCATTCAAAGTTCCACTACATGTCGAGCGCTCGTAACGTTTCGAGTGGCACCGCTCAGATCATTTGTGGCCCGACCTGTTCGAGCTGCGGCCTCGGCCCTAAAACCTCAATGGACGCCGTTGTGTATTAAAGGAGTGTCCTCACCACACAAAGCGAGGCGACATAAATAGATGAGTGGCTTTCTTCTGCCACTATTTCCGTCGCCCGGTTTGTTTTTAGCTGGATTCTAAAATAACCCGTCTGTCTTCACAGCGACGACATTCTTCAACCTCATCAACCTCCAGTACAGCACCATCTCGGAGTTCTGCACCGGGGACACCTGTCAAACCATGACGGCATGCAACACGTGAGTCCTTCAAACACCACCCAGGTTCAGTCACAAATCAAGTTTATTTATCAGGAGCCACAGATGAAAGAAAAAATATTAGATTGGCTTTAACTTTGCCACACAAAGGGCATTCATTTACAGATGTTGTGGCATTAGTTTTTCTCTTCAAAATCCAATTGAAATAAAGAAGTCACTATTTTGTCTTGCTTATAGTGGTTGGCGTTAAATACAGTACATATAAAACACACAAATAATCTTATGTATTTCTCCCTCTCTTTTTTCTCTATTTCTGGCAACTTAGAAACAGAAAATAAGATGTGTTGACATATGGTTTGTCGTGGAAATTATAAATTCTATATCTGAAGGAGTCAAAATGTATTGGGTCCAATTATTTTCAATTTTCCATGACGACCACCCCCAATCCACCAAACCCGAGGGGAAAAACATTTCTATCGTATCGCTGCTGTAATAAATTCAAATGTTTTGGGCTGTAAGCGAAATATGGGCATACGTATACATGTTTCAACACAAAACACAAAAAACAGATTACATTTAAAACGTTAAACAACAAATATCAATGTGTTTTCTGTTTTATTTCTTGCGTTTGAACTGTGTGATTCTATGATTTGTGTTTTGCGAATTCAACGGTTGTGTAAAGTCCTACGTGAGAACTACTGTTGTGATTTATTACTAGACAAGAATACATTGAATAGAGTTGAATAGATTAAAATTCAGCGAGAATCAAGTTTATGTCGTGCAACCGGTTTTTTACCCAGCGCTCACACCTCACACTCTTTTATTGGCCTCAAACTTCTGAGGGGAAGAATGTAGCAGCTGCTGTTTTCTCCAGAGGTGGTAATTGCTACTTTGAGCCATAAAAGCAGGACATGGCTGCGTTGTAGTTCAGCAGTAATCATAAGACAGAAGCCTTCTCATTGTGTTCGGAGCCCCGGGGTGGGGACTAACCGTAAGTGTTTATCTAACTCGTTCTGCCCTGGGAGCCTCGTCTATATGTGCGAGCAGAGGCGCTCTCGGCTGGAAAAACTAGATTCTCGAGACTTAAGTAAACCAAGGCAGCGCATAAGCAGAAAAATGTGACGTTGACAAACCAGGTCCCTCTCGAAATGACATCTTTGACTGAGATGAGTTTGTTTTGAGCCAAACTCTGTCAACATCTCACCTTTTCCAGCGAAGCCCGGAGCCTCCCCACGCCCTCCAGCAGAATGGGTCGATTCATGAGAAACATTTAACTTCAGCGGTGGAACACGACACTCAAAGCTCTAGTTTGGTAATCAGTCATGTTCCAGCAAGTGTAATAATGTATTGGCTTTTATTATTACTAGTGCTAGTGCTGTTTAGAACAACAAAAAAACGATTGAAAATTACAGAACAGTAGGAATGAGGAGCACACAGCAAAAGATAACCATCCATCCATCCATTTTCTTCCCCTTAATCCATTTCTGGGTCGGGGGGGGGGGGTGGCAGTCAGAGCTGCACCCAGTACACTTAGCACCAGCCCCTCACTGATCCTCCTGCAGGTGATGAGTCCACAGGAGCTGAGATCTTTCAGTGGGAGCTTCAGGCAAAGTGTCTTGCCCAAGGGCACAATGACAGCGGTCATCAGTGGGAGTCGTGAAGTAAGTCTTGTGGTTGGCTTGAACCCACGACCTTCAGGCCCAAAGGCCAATGCTCTACCAACTGAGCTACTGTCGCCCCCCAAAAGATAACAATAACTAAAATAAAATAAAATCTTACTCATGAGGAGGCTGCATTTCAGATTCATGCAGCTACAATCTGCAACAGTCTTCCTGAAAGTGTGAGACGGGCCTCCTCTCTGACAATGTTTCAAAACCAGGTTAAAACAGTTCTGTTTAGCTGTGCATACTACTGACGGATTTTATATTTTATATATTTTTAATGCATTATTTATGTTTTAATGCCATCTTGATTCGTTCAGCACTTTGAGTTGCCTTGTGTATGAATTGTGCTATACAAATAAACTTGCCTTGCCTTAGCTCTAGCATAATAAAGAAGAAGAATGAAAACTACTACTACCAGACTGACTGTGCGATCTGGTCCCTTCATATAGAATCTATGCATTGGTTGAGGATGGACTTGACAAATCCCAGCAGCGGAGGTCCATAAAGCAGCGATTAGCAGCGTTTATGCACATTAGCACGCACCCAGCCGCCCCCCCTAACCCGCCCCTCCTGCCTCCGCACAGAATGGGCCTAAACGACGACCAAATGGGTTCTTTCCCCTCCGAGCTCATGGAAACATTTTCTTCCCAAAATAGTGGCGAGCTTCGCCGTAGGGCAGTGGCTCCGTCAGACTCCACCACAGACGGGGGCCAGGTGCCAAGAGCTGCCCACAGGAAGAGGTGGGGCCGCGGGCACAGAGCAGCCGAGCGATGACGCCTCACAGTTTTCAGCCATAAAAGGGGTGAACTTGATGGAAAAAATTAAGCTCCACTTTTTATAAATAAGCCCCCAAAAAAAAACACACGCATTTCTTTCCCGTGTAGTGGAACCATTATGCGTTTGAGCCGCTTTTACTGCATTTCTCTACTGCTACAAATACACATTTATTAGTGTTATAGATCATTCTACGCTCCACAGACCAGGAAGCATGTAGTTATTGGTTTTACTATGGCAACAAACTCCACTCCTGTCTCAAAGAAAGTCCTAAAAAGCTCTTGTAAACTCACCACAGTGATTATTAAAGCTGGCTACCTAACTTTCCAACCGCAAAACATTCAAATATGAAATAAAGTTGGTTCTATATGTCACATTTTTAGATCAGATTTTTTTAGAGTGAAAAAGAGAGGACCACACTCAATCAGCCAATCATCTCTCAGGCCAAAACATCCCATAGTGACTCTCTAGTATGCATACATGTTTTCTTTATAAGACGGAGACAGTTTTCCTTTTTACACCAAGCTTTAATTCTTCTCATTTATGTGATATTGTGAGAAATCTAAAACATTTGTCGACCTCACATCAAAAATTTGAACCAATGTCAGAATGTGCGATATCCCTTTACTGAGTCACTTTGTCCTAGACCCTCGTGCTGCTAACATGTACGACGTGTAAATACAGCTGTACATTTCTTGCATTAGAATATATTAGCGTACCGATCTTAACAAACCAGGAAGTATGCCAGTTATTAGTTTTACCACAGCGACAAACTCTACTCCGGTCTCAGAAAAAGTCCCATAAATCTCTTGTAAACTCAACAACAATATTCATTAAAGCTGGGCTACCTAACTTCCAACCACAAAAATGTAAACTATGAAATTAACTTTTTACATGTATTTTTGGCCATTTTTCACACACAGATTTGGCTCTATTGTAGACTTCACATTATATCAAAACGCTTCATGTGCCTCAAAAATAAGTATGGAATATTACACAATAGTTGTAATCATTTATATCTCTTCCATCTCTATACTCTCTAGATTTACCGGTATTCTTTTCTGTTTTTAGCTCAGGGGAAATGAGATAGATCGCAGTTAAGATAGTCCACAGGTACTTTTCCACTGAAGGAGACGCTAACGGTAATGTCGAATGTCCCAACTTGTTTCATCCAGGACCAGCACAGAACACGGCAGACATTCACACGTTACACGGCTTTATAAACTTTACATAGTTTGGTAAAAGTCATAAAAAGCTAGATTCAAGACGGGGCCACAGTTGTTGAAGCAGAACTTGAATCTTTTATCAAGCTCGAGTTTTGTTCCGTGCCATAATCTGAAACGATAATTGAATTGTAATTGTTGCACAGCTGCTCTTTATCATGTAATATGTCCTCAAGTTGTTGCCTTTTAGTTTCATTGGTTTATAACATTATGATTATTTTTAGCACAAAAACAGTCGGACAGAACATTGCGCTGAAGTCCCAATTGCATTTTAATTTGCCCATAGTGAAATGTTTGTAAATTCAGTTGTCTAAAGTATGTAGACCAGCTGCTCCCTGTCTCAACTGCTATAATTGTATGACTTAATTTCATTGTTGTAAAACCGGAATGTTTGCGCTTAATTTTAGTTTGAAAATTAAAATAAAAAATAATAGTATGGGAATGGTTTCTCATTTGAGTATTGTGACGGCGCTAATCTTGATGTGGACATTTGACATTTTCTTAGATTTTCCTCCCATCTTTTTTTCCAATTCAAAGCAATTTATTTTAATTTTATTTTTATCACAACAGCAGTCGAATCAAACCGTTCAAACACAAAAGAGCCATTGGTCCTTAGGGGGCGGGTCCATAAATATCCTGTATCATCAATGCCCCTGTACCCTCGGTTGGCACTAGATCATATACGAATCAGGACGAAACCGGAAGTAATAATCCAACTTTTGAATTAGTTTTAGACTAATAAGTCCTTAAGTGGTGACTGGTTAAGTTTCAGGTGTCTGAGTAAGATGGTTAAGGGCAGGGTTAAGGGTGGGTTGGGGTTATTTTATGGGGACGGCTGGTTAAGTTTAGGCATGAATGGGTAGTTTTTTATATTTACTTCAGCTTCCGTCCCGATTCCATATATGATCTAGTGCTGACCCTGTACCCTCCTGGAACCTCCTACATTGGCAAAGAACGACTCAAAAACCCAGTGGGGAAAAAAGTGAGAAACCTCCAGGATAATTTTCCCTTCATCATTTTAAAAGGCTCACTCTCACACTCTCACCTCGGGGCTTGACCCTATTCTCCCGGCACGACATTAGTTCAGTGTGAAATCCAGGTTGATGGCTTTGATAATCAGCTTTCTGGGTCACTCCGCAGAAATCGCCTGCATGTGGAATTCGCTCCAATCAGAGAAAATCTGGAGCTCCGGGGTTACAGACTCTCAGAAATTTAACACACTTTCAGGGGCCGCGTTGATGTGTCGCAACTCTGTACATTTCCGAGTTGATGAGAGAGAAAATAATTGTTTTGTCATCTATTTTTAGCTCAAGGAAGCGGCGGCGTCTTTATTACAGGTGCATTCGAGCGACTGCATTCTCCTGGATGATTCAAAGATGCTTCATAGGAGTGTCACAATATCCTGTTCTCGAGTGTGTTATGATGTCAGTGTGTGTTGTGTGTGTTTTTCCAGAACGTACTACTGGTATGACGAGAAGGGGAAGAAGACCAAGTGCACGGCGCCACAATACGTCGACTTTGTCATGAGCGCGTGTCAGAAACTGGTCACGGATGAGGAGATCTTTCCCACTAAATATGGTACTGTCATGCTACAGTCTGTGTGGGAAATGTTGGAGGATTACTGCCCTCTACTGGCTTATATGAGTCATTGCAATAAGATTTTTGTCTAAGATGGGGTATTTTAACTTCTCATAAATAACACATTTTGCTGGTTCCAACAGAAAGTCTTGTGAAAGTTAAATGTGAACAAATTAGACACGTTTTATTTGTATTTTGAATCATTATCTTATGTTATTGTTGGTAAGAAAGAGCCTGGTGACACTTTGAACTGAGAGCTGATTGGCTAAGTGAGGGTGGTCCTCTCTTTCTCACTTTTCTGTCTTGGACAAGGCTGAAAACTCTTTAAGTTGTCTTACTGTAATTTCACCATAAACCTGTCCGACTACTACAGGTGGAAACTAGCATTGTTTGCTAAAAACCTGGCACATGACCTTTTTTTCTTTTTATAAGACTAATGTTTAGTATTGTCCATGAGAAAGTAAATTAAGTCATTCACAAAGTTGCTAGTCTTACTCTTATTTAATGTCCTTGTCTTGCTGGAGTTTCTAGCATGTTCTCCCTTTAAATAAAGAATAAAACCTTAAAACAAAAAACAAAATATAGACAAAAACTAGCCCTAGAGCCAAACTATGCTGAGAGCAAGCACTAATGACGTTGATTTAGTCCCATTCTTTCTGGTTTGTAAGTTAGGTACCCCTCCTTTCTCAATCAGCAAAGACAAACAAATCCCGGTTCATGTCTTGATGTGACTTTTCCTGTTTGCTTCAGGTAAAGAGTTCCCCAACTCGTTCGAGTCGTTGGTGAAGAAGATCTGCCGGTACCTGTTCCACGTGCTGGCTCACCTCTACTGGGCGCACTTTAAGGAGACGGTGGCTCTGGACCTACAAGGCCACCTGAACACTCTCTACGCACATTTCATTGTTTTCGTAAGGGAATTCAACCTGGTCGACACAAAGGAGACCTGTATCATGGACGACCTGTCTGAAATCCTGTGCAGCCCGTTGCCTCCGGCGCCCACACCCGCCCCCTCGGCCCCCGCCCCCTCCCCCTCTTCACAAAACCATGTGACGGAGAGATGAGCAGGGGCCGGCGAGGCTTTTGGATAGAGACGAGAAGAGCCTGGCCTTGTGGAGCCAGCAGGACATGGACCTTCACTACCCTTATATTTCGCTACGACACCACGCGGCTGATGGAAGTGGGGTGGGCTTTGAGGGTGGGGGCGGGGAGGGGTTTGTCACGCCAGCAGGAAATGGCGTGAGCGTTCCTTTCAGGGGCAAATCCCTCCCATCTTCTCTGCAATCTAAACTAGGAACAAAAGTATGTGTACATTTTATTTTTTGGTTTTTGTTTCACTTTTTTGATTTGTTTTGCTTTTTTCAGTCTCCTCTACCTAACACCCAGTGCAGGGAGCTCTGCTTGGCTAAACCTACTATTGTACAGTTGTAGAGAGGAGCTTTCCCCTCGTCCTGCAGACTGATGGCCGCTGCGCTGGCCAATAGGGAGACATGTTACTGCCTAAAGGGGCAAAACTAGCCAATCACTGTTAAGGTTGTTTATCTGGAGATGATAAAGCGCTTTCTACTCAGGAAGAGAACTGAGAAATGTCACTGCTGCCAGAGAGAGCTCACGTGTCCTGTTCATTCATGTTTAGTCTCATACAGTAGTCCCTGTGAACCCTGATGTAGTGTCCCTCTGCCGCCTGTAGAGGGCGGCATAGCCCAGATAATGCTACACACAGGTAGCAGAGCAGAACAGGCTGAGATTGTGATAAAATGTTTAATCTGAGAGTTGTTTATGAGCAGCTGAAGCACAGAAAGACAAAGACATGAGGTCATGTCTGCAGGCCGACGGAGAGCGAGCCACACTCACCTCCCAGTGCAAAACTACAAACTCAACTTCTGTTTTTATGTGTCCACTTTAGATTTGTTTTAAGAGCTTTTTGGAGAAGAATTAGTAGAGAAATAACAGTAATGGTATCATCACATATGTATAGAAGATGCTTGGACTTAACTGTACAAAGAATCGCAAGCGGGTTCTGTCGGCTATAGCCTCTGTATGGAGGGGATTTGGTTTGTACAATTCTCCTTTTATTTATTTTAATTTTGTTTTGCAGGGTTCTTCAGTTCTGGCTCTCGTTTTTATCTATTTTAATTATTAACTAAGTTAAAAGCAATTTAATATTTTAAGCTCTGCAAATTATAATCTAATAAAAGAGAGAAATGCCTTTTTGTCTAGTGTGCTTTTTAATTAATACCTGAAATATATTCTGTTGTGTTGTGTGGTGTCCTTGATATTTGAGCATTGATAAACATACCAGCATTACCTCACCAGTCATTAGTAAAGGCTCAAGTTTTATTTGGAACAGTCTCAGTGATAACATGTCACATGTTTAAATCAGGCGTTTCATTCATTCAGACTCATGCGGTGTGATTAAAGATTAAGTAGAAAACTTGACCTGACCCTGAGAACAGCTGCGTCTACTCCTGCTTCACCATCATAACTAAGAAACATACATACAGTGTCTATTTTCCTGTTATTATTGTCCCTTGTCATTGTCCTTCATGGTCAAGAACTCTATCCTGGAGCGCTTTGCTGCGGCTCCTCTCCGCCTCCGCACGGTCCCCCGCGGGGTCAGACCCTCGGAGAGTTTAAACTGTGAGATGCCCCCCACCTCCTCCAGAGTCCTGGCGCTGCAGCAGGGCGTGGGCACTTTCACTGTGTGCCCAAACTTAGAATAATCCACTGCGTACATGCCGTCCTCCTCGGACACCGTGGGCACGAAGCGCTGACCCCACAGAATCTCCTCCGACAGGTATGACGTCCGCGCCTGCGTGGTGATGCCGGTGGTCTCCACGACCCCCTCCAGCACCACGATGACCTCCAGCTCTTCGTGCTGCAGATCTCCCGCGGACAGCTCGAACAGAGGACTGCTTTTGTCGATCACGTGACAGATGATCAGAGGCGACACGAGGAAGATGCCGTTGGTGCCCACGGGGTTGTCTATGTGGATGTCGATCTGGTCCAGAGGCACAATCTCCCCCTCAGGTGTGTTGGTGCGCCGTACCACCTGCATCCGCACGGTGGCGCTGATGATCATGCTTTTGCGCAGGTCCCCGATGCGCACCATGAAGCACAGTTTGTTGTTGCGCACAGAGATCACTGCGTGTTTGCTGAAGATGAGCGTCTCCGCGCGTCTGTTCGCCTGCGCCGTCTTCATGAAGATGCAGCCGAGCATGATGGCGTTGATCACCAGCCCAACGATGTTCTGCACGATGAGGATGATGATGGCAGAGGGACACTCCTCTGTGATCATCCTGCCGCCGAAGCCGATGGTCACCTGCACCTCGATGGAAAACAGGAAGGCCGAAGAGAAGGAGTGTATGTCCGTGACGCACGGCACAAACTCTTCTCCCTTTTGGTCCAGATCTCCGTGAGCAAAGGCCACCAGCCACCACACCATCCCAAACAGCAGCCAGCTGCACAGGAAGGACATGGTGAAGATGATCAGTGTGTGGATCCATTTTAAGTCCACTAAAGTTGTGAAGACGTCCTGAAGGAAACGACCCTGTTCCCGAATGTTCGTGTGCGCAACGTTACACGCGCCGTTCTTGGCCACGAACCGAGCTTTACGCGCTTTAGCCCTGAATTTTGGCTGCTGCACATCCTCGGCCAGGCGGGTCAGCAGGTAGTCGTCAGGAAGAAGTCCTTTCCTGGACAACATAGCGCTCCCATAGTAGTGTGTCCGACTGAACCCGTGTCTTCAGCCCTGGGCTGTGGAGGTATGCGCGCTCCTCACGTTGCTTCCACAGGCGCTAAGTCCCACGAGGAAGAGGCAGCTGTGGCCGTCACTCACGGGGCTCTCCCTCCGCTCATGCACTTGACCCTGTACCACACACACCGCTCTTTCCGAGCTTCTAATAGTTATTTCTCATCTGCGGCTGAACTGAAGCCTTTGTGGAGCGGCTCAGTGTGAGCGCGTAACGTGAGCTTGTCCCTTCCCCCTCCGCGTCTCTGGGCTCCTCATCAGCAGCAGCAGCACTGGCCCACAACACAATAAAAGAGAGGGGCCGTGACTGTGGGCTCTCCTGCTGCACTCCTGCTGCTACTGCGCAAATTACAAGATACACCATGGACTAAATATAGCATCACTACAGAAAAGCCATCAAGGACTTATGAACAACATGAACTCATAATGTTTAGAAAGACACTTTCATAATATATAGATTTTTATTATTTTACTTTATTACTGAAATAGTAAATTAGTAGTAAATAGAGTAAACACAATCTGAAGATTATACTGTGTGTAGAATTTGAGCCGATGGTGAAAGTAACATTTTTGTGTGGAAACGAGTGGTTTGGGTTTTTATAAACTATACCAATCTCAATTGACAAACTCAGGACTTCAGTGATTTATATTTTATTAACAAAGACTTGACATTTATGTACAAATATAATACAACATGGTTTAAAAAATAAAAGAAGTATATCATTATTTATATAATATATGTTCCATGGGACAATTGCACTTTGAATGTCTTGAGCTCTTCTTGGTCTGTTGTGCTACTTGTCTGCCCTGACGAAGGAGGCGAACACACTCTCCTCCTGCTCCAGCAGCACCTGTGGTTTGTCGTGCTCCAGAATGATCCCGCGCTTCATCACAATCACCAGGTCGGCGTTCAGGATGGTGTGGACGCGATGCTGCAGACAAGAGCACAGCACGTCAGTTCAATCTATGTTTGAATAGTTTATATGCAAAAAACAAATATGTGCCATATCGGAAAAGCTTACATTTTTCTCTTTATCAAGTAGTTTGTGAAAAGCCAGATCTATTTTAGTGCCATACAAATAAAGTGTCACCCCTTCTTGCGCAAATTCCTTCAAGTGCACTGCCATTAACAGAACATGTTGAAGATTGTAAGTAGAGGAATACAATATTTGTTTGTAAAGCCCTACATCACAACAGCAGTCGTGGTGGAGGACTGTACAAATTCGTTAATTCACAAACAACAGATCAACAGAGAATGAAATAATTACAAACACAAAGGAGGTGTTGGCTCAGAGGGAGGAGGACAAATGTCTATAAATGTTCTTAAACGTCCTGCATCATCAATGTCCTTAGACTCTACTTCAGAACGACTAAAAAAACAAAAATGGGGGGAAAAAAGTGAGAAATCTTGGGGAGGCCCACATTGAAACAGGCTGCAGATGACTAATAATACACTAATGTACTGATCCTGAGCCAAGTGCAGTCATAGAGTGTATTTTAATCTATTATATTATCTTAAATAACAGCTCATGTGTGACGTCTCTTCTTTACTACTTTTTATTCTGCTGTAATGGGCGCAACAATGACATCGAAGTTTCCAAAGTGTGGGAAAAATAATGGTCTATCTTATCTTATTATGACTGAGGTCAAATGTTTGCTTCTTCCATTGTGTGAATGAATATAATGGTCGTTGGATCACATTGGATTCTGGCATCAATGATAAATAATGGGAAAATAATGAATGATTCCAACCGGAGAGCCAGGGAACAAAAGTGTCATGATTCACTTTTGAGTTTGAGACTAATGTGACATTTCTTGAGTCTTTTGAGCGATTTGAAAACCTGAAACAACCACAATATGAGCGTCAATGTTAAACCTCTTTGTCAAACACATACAAACCACAGACTGTAAATACACACTTCTTTGTTTTGTAGCTGGGGTATTTTCCATATTTATGTAATGGTTTCATCTTTTGAGCAAAAATCAACTGTGATGTGTGGTTTAAAGGGTCAAAAAACACAATTCTAACCCCTCATTATTTTTATAATCAAGTTGGTTTCAGTCTACCTGTAAAAGCCTCATTATCTGCTGACAAATGAAACACCTTTTAGACTATAATTGGTCGTACAGTGACGCATACATGACTGGAATAACACTTTATATTCACCAGTTATTATAAAAGCAGTGGGAGATTGGCAAAGTATTAAAAAAATCCTTGGAGACCGGAAGGTGTTATACATATAAATGATTGATAGTTTAACATTGAAGTGGGGGGCAGCTGAAACATATTTCCTGGTAACTCTGATTTATCTTATTTTATTATTGTTTTTTATTCAGACTTTATTGAGGACTCATATGCAGGCACAGGACCCATAGCTAAATAGCTAACGGTCAAAAAGTCAATTAAATTCAAATAACTTTATTAATCAGCGAGGAACTTCATTTGCAGACGGAGCACCAGTGGGGAAACACAAAAACACAGACTTCTACACTCTCATTCCTGGACCAATCGTCAAAAGTCGTCACATCTTCTTTGTCAGTGCATACGATGGTAACCATGCAACTAGGTATAAATATGTTGTCATAAAGGTGAAGTGGTGACAGAACCAAAAAAATCTATGATTTTGGCATTAGAGTAACACGGCGGTTTGTAAATCACTAAAAAAAATTATCTGGGGTAAAAAAATGGCTTGTTTCCCTTAAGAGTTGTATTGGCACCTGCCCTTTAACGGAAATAAAAATCTATAGATGAACGCAACCTCTCACATGCATCCACATTTTGTATCTCAAGGTCAACAACACGTACAAATCATTTTCTATCACCTTTTCTGATCAAAATAATAACAATACTCGGAGTCAGAGGCCATATTATTCATGACTCCATGTTATACTATGATTTTCCATTTCATGGAGGTGACGTCATGTGAGATTTCATAACACTTTGAAGCAACTTTTGTTAAAGTTAAACTCATCATTCTATCAATGTGCAGAAGCCTGTACTTTTCCACTTTATGTTTTGTCTATCTGAAGGCCAAGCTACATGGCACCGTGGCAGCTGCTGATTGGAGGTCTCCATGCCTCTGCTCTGTATAATACACTTGCATTCTGTTGTTTGTGTGCTTTGTTCGTGCTGTCTCTACCATCGACAATAAAACATGTCTTCTGTCTGAATTAAAGACGCGATCCCAGACTATGTCATCTTCTTCAGGTGGTGGAAGGATGCGGGCCTTGTCTGTAACATCTAGAGAACAGAAGACTTTTTTTTTTTTTTACACAAAAAGTGTTTTTTTAAGCCAAAACTGAGAAACCTCAAGAGAAACCATGCATCTGGACCAGCACACTTGGACAATCTGCACAGCCCCTGATTCCACTCAGGCTGTGAGCTGCTGAGACATGGACAATACCATCGTCCTCTTTTGGATGGACACCATTTGGAACCATTGGATTACACAATTTGGACATCATTTGGAACAATCTGGATTTCTGAATTTGGACATAATTTGGACTGAATTGAATTGCTGAATCTGGACACTGAAGCTGAAACGTGTGATTGAAAGACACGTCACAGAAGAATTCATGGCTCGACACAAATGCAGCCTGAAGAAACCAACAGGAGAAGTGGGAGAGACTGTTTTCAAAGCAATATCTGGAACCACCATCGACTGATGAAGTTTGGTATTTTACTGAAGATTGTTGACGAGTTTTATGAAAGATCTGAACATGTTTTATGAGTTTTTGAAGTATTCCGAGTTCTGAGTTTTTTGAAGTACCGAGTGAAGTACCGAGTTTATGAATTTTTGAAGTATTGAGTTATGATGTTATGTTGCTGTTTATCGATCCTGATGGTCACACGTGAATGTATGACCAGAGGGGGGAATGTGAGATTTCATAACACTTTGAAGCAACTTTTGTTAAAGTTAAACTCATCATTCTATCAATGTGCAGAAGCCTGTACTTTTCCACTTTATGTTTTGTCTATCTGAAGGCCAAGCTACATGGCACCGTGGCAGCTGCTGATTGGAGGTCTCCATGCCTCCGCTCTGTATAATACACTTGCATTCTCTTGTATCTGTGATCGTGTGCTTTGTTCGTGCTGTCTCTACCATCGACAATAAAACATGTCTTCTGTCTGAATTAAAGACGCGATCCCAGACTATGTCATCTTCTTCAGTCACTTTGTACAATAGAACTCTGGCTTTGTCCTTAGTTCATTTTCAAAGGAGGTTTTCCCGTTTCCCCTCCACATCTGGCGTCATCGACCTCAGCAAAGCCCCAGTGTTGTGTGTTTTAACCTTCTCTACAGTACGTTAAGGGCGTGTAATGCTCTCCTTTACGCAGAGAAGGTCAGCACTGGGGGAAAGCTGACTTGCATGAATCCTGTAGTGCGCAGAAGGCCCGTGGTGCAATGTAAGAAGATACTCACTGCTATCGTTACTACGGTCCGGTCGGAAAACGCAGTCATCACCACTCTCTGCAGAATGCTCTCCTGTGGGAATGAAAACACAAGGTTAGGAGAGACATCAAGACTATTTTTTTTATTGTTTTAATGCACTGGAAACGACAGCAAGTCCTAAAGCAGCTCTGAAACTTTTGTGCTTTACAATTGCTATTTTTCATACTTTTTTCTAGCTGTAGCTTAATTCTATTCCAGTGCAGCGTTTAGAAATGTTAGTTAGCTCGAAAAGTTTATAATGGATGTGTTTCGCCTGATTTTGTCATACGGGGATCAATAAAGTGTGTGTCTATTTGGAGAATCCATGTTTGTGATAATACTACAGGACACAAGAAAGAGTAAGACAGCCTGAAGTGAATCGAGCTGTGAATCTAATAAGAATGTGTTTTATTTGTATGTTTTTGTATCAAGCAGTGGGTTTCTGTGCACATAATTAGTTAGAAAAAGGGGTAAATTGTATATCTGTACCGGATAAGTGTGGCCAAAGTCTAACTAATTTGAAAAGCAGGAAGTAAGTGCAGAGCAGAGAGTGGAACTAGCAACAACTCTTGAATCAGCGATTAGGGAACACAAGCTCCTAAAAGACAATCCAACCAATAATCACAATTGAGAGCACAATGGGGTGGACTTGATCTTGTTCCCCTTGTTCTTTAAAGCTGGGGTCTCTAACTTTCAACCCCCCAAAAATGAAACAATATTTAAAAAATCTAGTTCCTCGCTCTCAAAACATTTTGGGTCTGTCACTGCTTTTCAGATGCATGTGCTTTTTTAGTAGTGCTGTCAAACAATTCAAATATTATTTTAATCACAACTAACTGTATATTTCCCCCTGTTTTAAATATATATATCTCTTAATTTGGTTTGAAAAGGTTTGGTTTGAAAATTTTTGTACACCAGCTTTAAGAATCAACCAATGTGTTTGGTCTTGAGGTCAGTTTCTGAATATTTTGAAACCATGACTTTACTATGGGTCTGAAATTGACACATATATTAATATTCTAAAGTGTTTATTTATTTATTTTAATTTAGGACAAACGGCTTAATCAATGTGTCTGCAAACAGCATCAATATAAACTGCAATAAAGTACTTCTCTGGTCAAAAGACTATGGGAGGTTCATTTAAATAACTGTTTTCTTCTTGCACTAAGGCCTACAGTGATGAAAACAGAGGCACATTCAAAGCAGATGCATCAGACTTAGTTCCATCCATCGTCCCCTGATTTAAAGCGCTTCGTCCTCAGGCTGTAACCAGTGTCCTGAGTGAGAGACCCATCAGTCTGAAGAACCACTGCAGAAAACCATTTGTTGTCCCTGTTTCCCCGCAGGCTGTGACCGACTTGTCTGCTTTCCTTTCACTCTTCCTCCTTTTTAAATGTCTCCTCTTCAAAGTGCTTTTCCAAACAACAAAACCAGGGCCGCGCTAAACCTTTAAATGGATTCATATCATCACAATTCTGCAGACTAACAAGAATTAACTACAGGAATCAGTATGTTATGTGAGAATCAATTAGTCTCTCTCTGGTCTCTCTCTCTGGTCTCTCCCTCTGGTCTCTCTCTCTGGTCTCTCTCTCTCCCTGTTGTCTCTCTCTCTCCCTGTTGTCTCTCTCTCTCTGGTCGCCTTCTCTCTCTCTCTCTGGTCTCTCTCTCTCTGGTCTCTCCCTCTGGTCTCTCCCTCTGGTCTCTCCCTCTGGTCTCTCCCTCTGGTCTCTCCCTCTGGTCTCTCCCTCTGGTCTCTCTTTGGTCTCTCTCTGGTCCCTCTCTCTCTCTGCTCTCTCTTTCTGGTCTCTCCTGTCTCTATTTGGTCTCTCTCTCAGGTCTTTCTCTCTATCTGGTCTCTCCCTCTCTCTGGTCTCTCTCTCTCTCTGGTCTCTCTCAGGTCTGTCTCTCTCTCTGGTCTCTCTTTCTGGTCTCTCCTGTCTCTATTTGGTCTCTCTCTCAGGTCTGTTTCTCTTTCTGGTCTCTCTCTCTCTGGTCTCTCTTTGATCTCTCTCTCTCTCTCTCTCTGGTCTCTCTTTGGTCTCTCTCTCTCTCTCTGGTCTCTCTCTTTGGTCTCTCTCTTTCTCTCTGGTCTCTCTCTTTGGTCTCTGTCTCTCTGGTCAAGCAAAGATCTCCTTTTAAAATATTGAGTTTCACCTGCCAGTTTCGAATTATAAACGGGAAAATGCAGAAAAATACTCACAAATACAAATGAAAGCATTACAATCCAAATGCAAGTTACTAATAATAATAATTGAGTAAACAGCAAGTAACTTTGGTTCTATCGTCCTTTATGTAGAGTGAGACACAATGAGACAAGAGCTGCTTCCAAATTCATAAAAAATACTTCCGATCAAACACATTTTTTCCTTTTATAAATCTTGCTGGAATTCAAATATTACCGACAAGTTTTAAAGTCTGAAAATTCCCCGTCTCATCCATTCAACAACATTAACTTTAAAAAACAAGAAAGGAAAAGGAGAGATATATTTAAGCAATTACCACAAAGACAAAATAACCTTATTTTATACCCATCTTGTTTACTTTTGAGCTACTGTAAAAAAATCAGTAATACAAATACATAGAAATATATTAACTACACCTTAAATCAAAATCTTGCTTTCAAATCTATGTTTCGTGAGCAAAATCCTTTCGGTACAGCTCAAAAATCCGTCTAAAACAGCTAAAAAATCTGTCTCCTTTAAGTGATTAGAATTATTTGTTGTCATTCCCCTGTGGTTCCCCCTGATCGCTGCTGTTTCCATGTTGAAGTGTGAAGTGGCCTCTTGTCTCCGTCCTATCGCTCTCCCCTCACTTGACCTGGTGCCTACAGAGAGCTGCTTATAGTCGACCTTGTGCAAACACTGACCGTTGCCATGTCGATGGACGCCGTGGCCTCGTCCATGATGAGGATGCTGCTCTTCCGGACGAAGGCTCGAGCCAAACAGAAGAGCTGCCTCTGGCCCTGGCTGAAGTTCTCTCCTCCCTCTGTGATGGTGGCGTCTGGAGGGAAAAACAAGGGGAAAAACGATAATGGAGACTCTTGTGTGATTTAGGCAAACACCAAAAAGACCCCACAGTGCATTAAAAATAGAGATAAGACCCTTCATTTGTATACACAGGCAAACACAACCGTCTTTAACCTGGATTTGAACATTACCAGAGACGCCGCTCTCACATTTGCAGAGAGACTGTTTTAGATTTTAGCTGCATAAAATCTGAAACAATGCCTATTTACTACAAACGTGCCATTTTATTATCCATGTATTTCTGTGTATAAGTGAGATCAGTGCATAAGCGAGATCAGAGATATGCTGTTTCTCAGATGCATCAGAATCAACGGCATTTTACAAGTGAGAACACAGTAGGAGGTCATTGGCAAAAACAGATGTCTCGTTTCAAACTTTAGAATGTTTTGTTATTGGCCGTATATTTGGAAGAATTTGCTCAAGAAGGGGTGAAAATGTATTTATATGTCCGTAAAATATATCTGGCTTGTCTTGGCTAAGCCTGGCCTTAGCATCTGTAATCTTCGGGCAAATATCATTTAGAAAGAAATGAAATTAGTACGATGGTTTGGTGAGACCAGGCTAGTCTTGGCTTGGTAAAGGACAAATCGTAATAGCCTTTCAGATATTTTTCTAATGCCGCTTATCTGTTTTGCAAAATAAACATATACTATACAAATATTCTAACTGTAAATGGATTGATTTAAATTCTTTTTCATTTAATTTACAATCTGCTTGAATTTTCTCATCTCAGAACATAAGAAAACCAGTTCCGTGACGATATTTTGTAGAATTTCCATACATTTTCTCCCACTTTATCCGTTTATGGTTACAGGAGCAGCAGAGACCCCCTCCTCTCTTCGCCCACCCCCTCCAGCTCATCTGGGGGAATCCCGAGGCGTTCCAGGACCAGCTGAGAGACAGGAGTCATCTTGGAGGCATCCTGTCTTGTCGGCCATTACCCAAACCTCCCAAGAACGTGTGTCCTTTGGATTCTCTTTCTTCTTCCCCACAACAGTTCGATACAGACCTCGCATCACTGCACACCAATCTGTCACTCTCACACGCTGTCCTTGTATCGGCATTTTTGCTATTTCAAAGTCTTTTCAAACACCAAACACCCTGAGCCTTTATAAAAACACAGCAAAATCGGTTATAATTTCATGCCTCCCCTGATTTACTAATGGAAAAATAATACAGAACTTCAGAAAGTGTAGCCTTAAGTCATGAAATAGCAAAAACAAAAATCATCAAGGCAAATCCTATTATCTGCACTTTTTGCTTTAATCTTTATTATTGGCCTTTGGGGCTGAGTTTAGTTTCTACCTGCACACAAAGTTCTCCATACACTGCAAAAAGAGATGAAAAATATGTGGAAAAAATGCTCAAATTTGGCAAAACGTATCTTAATTTGAGCACATTTTGACTGCCTTAGAACAAGATTTGCCAGTGGGACAAAGCAAAATTATATTATAAAATACAAGAAATGTCTCCCTTGGAAAGAAAAAGTAAAGCAATAGTTCTTGAATTAAGATTAAATGTCATTGTTACGGCCTTATAGTTGAGCTCGTAAGGGGAAGAGGAACATAACATACAAAACCAAGATGTAGAATGGTTAATTAAATGGGCTTTGAAAAAAATAAGTAAAGGGGCAACAAATTGTGTAGGACCACTTCAGAGTCAAACAAAAACACAAAGGATTCTCAATTCAACTTAATCAAAGCACAAACACAGAGCCACACAGGTTGTCTTTTTTTGGTTCCTGTTTTATTTTGTCTCATGTCCTGTGTCTTGTTGAGTTTTACTTCCTGTTCTGTCGATTGTCAGCCCCGCCCTCATGTGTTACACCTGTGTCTCTGTGCTGAGTGTTCCATGGTTCTTGTCATCATCCTCAGTTCCTGTGTTTTACATTCAGTTGAGTTTTGTTTTTGGATTTTTGTTTATCAAGATCAGTGGGGGCGGGTCCCGGCTCAAAAGTGGCCAAAATGACGTGCGCTGACATGCTTGCAATACCACCCCGGGCCGATGGGGGTGGACCCGGAATAAGAATTAGCCAATGCTAACATATAGCATCTTCGAACCTCTCGAAAACGTCTTTACAGGATGGACCAAAAGTCGCTCTTGGCCCAAAGCTCCGTTCCACATGTGTGTCAATGCTGAGGGGGGTGAATTTTTTTGAGTTTAGTTATAGTCGCTGTGAATTTTTGAAGGCACTTGTTAAATGAATGGCGCTCGTGCCGGCTGACGCAGGCGCAGATGCGTCTCTTCACATTTTCCAGCCCCCGTGGCCATTTTGAATCACTCCATGAAAGCCCAATTTTTGGCCCATTAGTTAGAACGGCGGAGACAGGCGTGCAGTCCATTAATATATACAGTCTATGGTCAAGTTATATCATTTTTGCAGAATTTCTTTTTGGATCCTTCCTCCTTTGATTTGTCCCATTGGAAAATCTTGTTTCAGTACTCAAATAAAGATAAAACTCTATTCTAGCAGTTATTACCTCATATATAATCATTCTTTGCAGTGTAGGTACAAACTCACTGCTGTAATGTAAGCTGTAAGAGCCGGCAGCGAGACAATGATCGCGTTTGAAAATCCACTGCTCTTCACTCGGACGAAAGCTCGTGTCTGGAGCCGATCAATGTTATTGGACATTTGTCTTTGAGGAAAGTACTCCATAAACAGGAGGCTCGGAGTCGGTCACATGAGGGGTCTGCGTGTATGTGTGGAGTCAGCAGGAGGGATATTTTTCCACCACACTGAATAACAACCATCTCTGCTTTCATGTGGAATCAACCCTCAAGACACAGTTATGAAGCGACCGAGGCATTGGGAGAGTATGTAGGCTATAGTTCAGCAGGGGATTCAAACTGTGTCAAAAATAATCTCACAACCAAGAGGAATGTTTTCATGTAGGCCAGACTGAGGTAAAGGTACATGTGAAACATTCATGTGAAGGTATTTTGATCCAGGAAGGCAGCAGCAGTAAACAGAAATGGATAATGTGTGACCTTGGTGAGCCATGAGGCAATAGTTTATTCAAAAGAGATCGGCAACTGGTTTTGATACTCAAGGTTACGACAAACTTTTTGCATTCATCATTTATTTTGAATACTATTTTGAATACTAAAGAGAGCCAATGTTAAACAGTGTAGGACGATGTAAAATTAATGGCAATTTTCAAAAGTGCAAAAAAACCAAATTCTGCCCCTCCCTCTGGTGGTAGCAGGGAGAGTTGCAGGTAAATAGTATTTCTAAGGCAGGAGATAAAGAAACAAGAAAGTCTCACATCATTTGTATAGTCAAAATAATGACTTGGTATAATTTCTTCTTTAAGTTAAGACATATTTTGAGCTTTTCTGATTTAGATTATAGCAAATATTTGAGCTGAGTTTAATAATATTCAGTTTAGCGCAGACTGAATGATCCGCTGCTCTGCTTACTGCTCAGTGAGACGTGATATTGTCAATACAGTCCTAACACCAGGAGCCGTGTGCGAACGTGTGTGTGTGTGTATTTGTGTGTTGTGTGTTGTGTGTATGTAGGCAGGATTGCGGAAAAAAAAACCCACTGGACGGTTTGAGCTAAAATTTGGTGTGTACTGTGTAGATACTGGGATGTGATGGTATTAAGACTCATTAAACAGTGGTCCATTGTATTGGCGGGGTATGTGCTCTCCGGGTGCACATGCTAGTTATGATTCATTACTTGCCCGTGTAACTGAGCTTTTAATTAAATTGCCAAAATAATAATACAACAAACAAACAATAAAACCAAATATTGTTTCATTCTCGTGCACATGGGACCTCAAGCTATAATACAAACAGCTGATTCATCCATTTAAAGTATCTATCCCTACATCCCACCAATGTGATAAAGCAAGGGAAAGCTAAACCAGGTTCCCAGCAGAATAAAACATTGTTTATTTTGTATTTTAAATGCATGGTTTTCTCACCAAGGCCTCCAGGGAGTGTCTTAACCACTGGCTTCAGCTGTGCGATCTCCAACGCCTCCCACAACATGTCGTCTGTGGCCTTCATCGCTGGGTCCAAGTTGAATCTACAAACAGACAGCGAAGCAATGACATAGAATCAATATCATGGTTAATATAATATCAACAGTGCATATGGTCAAGGATGTAAAGGAATTGAAAGTTTACTGTATAACTACTCCCAGAATTCTGAAACTATGGGAACTCCGGAGTTTCAGAATCTTATGAGAAAACAAACCACCACCAACATACCATCATACTGAGCCCTTTTAAAGACTATATTCCTTACATACATTTTGAGAAGTATTTAAATTAACGTTATATAGTTATGTATCTAACAAAAGGATTTACATAATAGAATAACAGTTTAATGGATAGAATAATCTCTAAACACTGAACATCTTGGCCACAATATTTGGCTCTAAAAATAATCCTGCTTCAGACAGTGACCTCAGGACACAGACACTTGTCCTAAAACTGCTGATGGATCCAACTTTTGATTATGAGCTTTGTCTCATGTGACGGCACCAGTACTTTATGTTGAGCTAGTGACTTTATTATTCAATTAGCCCACTGTCAGTAATCAAGAATGACTGAGAGGCTAGGAAAACAGTTAGTGGTTGAGAAGTTTCCGCTTTTAAACAGCTGCTTAATTAGCATAGGTTGGAAGTGCTGTGTGATTGGCTGAGGGTGAAAGGGGCGGGGCTTGGATGGGCTGCAGCAGGTATAGCCTACCAGACTGAATTTGCACTGGCTGCATATTGCCTACAGCTAAAACTTTTGCGAAATCTGTTCTCCGTCTCTTTCACCAATATCTGCTCAATGTGTGACTATGTTATGGTCTGTCAATACACTTGTTCAATGTGATCTGACCTCAGTTAACTTGAGCAAACTTATGTCTAACCCGGAGTAAACTTGTGTGTCTATTACTATGAAAACATGGACTTAGAAACAAAACCACTTATCGTTCTTTGCTTTAGAAGTTCCACCTTATATCCACTGCTTTGTTTTCTCATAATGTATCAAAACTATTTATGGATAACAGATAAAAGCCCACTGATGACTGCTGTCGTTGTGTCCTTGGGCAAGACACTTAACCCCACTTTGCCCAAAGCCCCCACTGAAAGATCAAGGCTATGCTCACACTCGGAGAGCAGCCGTCCTCCTGTGGACTCACCACCTGCAGAGGGTCAGTGAGGGGCTGGTGCTATGAGACTTGGGTGGCATCTCTGACTGTCACCCCCCTGACCCAGAAATGGATTAAAGGGTAGAAAATGGATGGAAAAAAAATGGATGGAGATAAAAGCCGTTTTTATTACTGGGAACTACATAATTCATTGCCCACTTAAGATGCTGTTTTTATGGACAAGTTTTCCAAAGTGTGTTTTTCCTGAGAAATGACCCAAATTCTAGTTCACAAGCTCAGAGTCAGGTGGTCACATTTATTTTGATTTTGTAGTTTAAGATCAGGGTTTTGTCGACAGTGCTCCAAGATCAATTGTTTTGTAGGTTTTCTGGTGTGAAGGTCCGTCAGCAGAGAAAACCTTCCAAACAATTGATCGTACAGCATTCCTAGAGACCACTGTGATGCAAAGTAAAAGGCATCACTGACCACTCATAAAGCACTGGGTCAAAATGCATGGTTAAATATGCAAATAATATCAAATTGTTTTTTTCACATACAAAGTTGACCCTTTAACCCTTTCACATAGGGCCACATGGTCAAAAATATGTATTATTTTCTAAAATTACAGTAGATACAACATATGGAATGTGTTTTTTATCATTGCATTTCTTTGATTCTCTGATCTGTGTTGGCGAATCGACGGCTTTGTAAAGTCTTCCGAGATAACTGCCCATGTCAAAACAGCTCACTCATCGTAAGACCCACTTTTACTCTGGCTTTTAACACCACGTTGTTAAAAGTTGTCCTCTATTTTATCTTATTTTAATAGTTTTTATTTTATTTTATTAAAATCTAATAGTTTTGTATTTTATTTTAATTACATTCTAATTGTTTTTAATTTATTTTAACTGATTTTTTAATTATATCTTAATTGTTTTCATTATAATTTTATAGTTATTTATTATATTTTTATAGTTATTTATTATATTTTTATAGTTATTTATTATATTTTTATTCGTTTTATTTAATTTTATTCTTTTTATTTAATTTTTATTCTTTTCATTTATGCATGATTTCTTTATTTAGTGAATATTGTTGAAATAAATGCCTTCAGTCTTCAGTCAAATGTCTTGTTAGCACAAAGGAGTTTGCTGTGGCTCTTACCGTATTGTGCCGCTGAACAGAATGGGGTCTTGGAGGATGATTGACAGCCGCGACCTGAGCGTCTGTAAGGGCAAGTTTGGAGATGTCGATGTCGTCAATCACTATCCTCCTGTGGAGAAAGGACCGGTGTTTTTTTCACCTTGAACGCGTCCAAAACTAATTGCTCCGAGCTTTTTATGTGGATTTATCCTGCTCGAACATGTCCACCATGCGGAAAAAAAAGGCCAATGAAAACGATGATTTACCGCTTCCTGTCCGTCCGCAGATCCCCACCTGAAAATATGAAGTGGTTAATCAGCCAGTGATTAAAGACATTTTTGTTTTTTGTGTGTTACAGAGGTTTGAGTACGACTTCAATGGAAACCTGGTTAAATTTAAATGTTTTTGTTGGGTCATTTGTGCACTAAGAACGGTATTTAAGATTAAGACTAAGAGATCGTTTATTCGTCTCACAGTGGGAAATTCCAGGGTTGTATCGCCTCCAAATATGATTGTTTTTTAGTTTTTCCTCTAAAATTACTATTTTCCCCACCCCTATTTAATTACAGTATAAGGTGTCGGGAATGTTTGATATTTATTAAAAAAGCAGAACACAACACTCCACTTTTACCACTAGATGGAGGTGTTTAACTTTTCTCTCCATTTTATTTATTTATCCATATATGTAAGTATTCTCAAGACGTAAACCATGAAATGCAAATGTTCATTCATAGTGTTTGTTATTTTAGGATTATTATGATATTAAAATCAATTTTTTGGTTGCAGTCACCAGTGAAGAAGCCAAAATATAACAATACTAATAATCCATTTTCTTTCTTCTTGTCTGTTTATTGACTGAATTGTTGTGATCGTGTCAAGGCGGCAAAAGGAAATGAACCCAAAATTCAAAACTGTGAAAAAATGATTTAATTTAAAACAAAGTAACCAGACTAAAACTGATGTGGAATGACAATGACGGAACCAGGAGCGAAGAAATAGACAGGGTTTAAACACAAGACTAACAAGACACAGGCGATACACCTGAGGGCAGGGCAAGGTAAGTTTATCCGTATAGCACAATTCTTACACAAGGCAACCCCAAAGTGCTCAATAAAACAAGATATAGACAGGGCAGGTAAGCAGACAACAGGAAGTAGAACTAAAGAAGACTCAGGGATAATAAATTACAAAACAAAACAGGAAATAAACTCTAAACGATGACAGATTGTGATTGTAAAGTTCAGACTGTGGAGACTTTGGAAAAGCATTGTCTACTGTCACCGTGGTATTGTTTGTGCCTGTGATAATAATACCCTGGAAAATTCTGTCCCGTCCATTGTTTGAGGTGAGACAGGTGGGCAGAGAGACACACAGGGCCTCTGGTGTCTGTGCCTCTGGTGTCTGTGCCTCTGGTGTCTGTGCCTCTGGCGTCTGTGCTTCTGGTGTCTGTGCCTCTGGTGTCTGTGTATCTGGTGTCTGCCTCTGGTGTCTGTGCCTCTGGTGTCTGTGCCTCTGGTGTCTGTGTCTGTGCCTCTGGTGTCTGTGCCTCTGGCGTCTGTGCTTCTGGTGTCTGTGCCTCTGGTGTCTGTGTATCTGGTGTCTGCCTCTGGTGTCTGTGCCTCTGGTGTCTGTGCTTCTGGTGTCTGTGCCTCTGGTGTCTGTGTATCTGGTGTCTGCCTCTGGTGTCTGTGCCTCTGGTGTCTGTGCCTCTGGTGTCTGTGCCTCTGGTGTCTGTGCCTCTGGTGTCTGTGCCTCTGGTGTGTGTGCGTCTGCTGTCTGTGCCTCTGCTGTCTGTGCCTCTGCTGTCTGTGCCAGTGCCAGAGTTACGTAACTGATTCTGTGTAATTCTCTGGTGAATATCCGCTCAGTTGAGATGACCTGAAGTGATGCCAGCACTAGATGTAGATTTTGTTCATTCCCTGTAGCAGCAGCAGCAGCAGCAGCAGCAGCAGCAGCAGCAGCAGCAGCAGCAGCAGCCAACAGAAGTGAAATAGCAAAATAGAAATTGACACAATTTGGGTCAATATTAGGATTGGGGAAAATATATTTTTCTTGTATGTCAAGAGATATTCATTACTTGGAGATATTTGTGTATAGAAAGTGAGGGAGCATCCAGAAACTAGACTTTTTGATTGAAGTTTGGAATGTTATAATACAGTAACAAAACTGAGTGTTGTGAGAGGTTCATTTCAGGCCACACTGCATAAAATGATCAAATGTGAGGTAATAAATGCTTGAATTTAGTGGTTTTTATCTGAATTTTGGTACATTCTGTCTGTCTTAAACAATATTTTCCAATGGGACAAAACCAATTTGTCATTTTCAGGAACTTTGCTTTTCTCATTGGCAAATCTTCACTGCAAAAAAGTGAAAATATAGACTAGTGTAGTTCATTTGATTTCAGTGTATTTATCTACACGCACCAATAACTTCTTTACTCATGCAGGCTGAAGATTTTAAAGATAATATTACTTATCTTCACAAGTGGAAAAATCATGATACACTGGCAGATAATTTAACACATTTCCTCTAATTGTAGCCTTTTCTTGTTGTTTTTTAATCCACTTATTGCAGCGTTGTTTTAAGGCAGTGCTAAAATGAAGATACATTTTTGCCACATTTTTTTACTTATTTTTCATCACTTTTTGCAGTGTTACTATGATGAGTTTACAGGTGGCTTGTTCTGTCTGTTAAATACTTTCCTCCAACTTTTACAACCCGACCCCTGCTGCCCAGTAACTGTATGTGCATTTAAACAATTAGAGTCACGCACACCTCTTGACGGCCAACACAAACGGACTACGCCAAGTCCAAAGGTCAAGCTCTTTGTTACACACAGTGGGGCCACTCTAGCTGTCGACAACTTATCAGGTTACTGTCGATTCTCTCGTGTCGTCCTCTGTGTAACGTGAGCCCTGGTCACATTTCCCTTGTGCCATGTAGAGGTTAGTTCCCCAATAACATACCTCGCCACATGTTGAATATTCCACCACTAAATGCAAAGGGAGACTGTCTGGATGGGTTTATCTTTGGCCGGTTTTATCTCATGCCCAGTCGTACGTAGAGCGGCATGCAGCCAGGGCCCTAGAGCCAGCTAGCGCCACTTTATCGGACACGTTACTGCCACTTCACATAACTCTGCACCACCTGACAGAACAAAGACCCCAATATAGAAAGAGCATTGTTCCTACTACAGAAAACAATTCTAACAATGGTCGCATCGCCAGCTACAATTACATTATTTGTTGTTTCTTTTGTATTAAAACATTTGAGTATGTTTTTGTGTGCCTTGAATTGTTCCACATGTTTTGCTACATTATACATTACCACAAACAAAGATATTTTATTGGTATTTCATATTTTACGGGAGAGACCAACACACAGTGACAGAAGGGTGAAGGGAAAGCATAAAAACACATGACTTTTTTTACGCACAAAAAACTGAAATGTGTTCTGAAGTAATTAGCCCCATTTTCCTTTAGTGCAACCAATAACCTTTAGAAGTTGCCTGATGTTCACCATTCATACTTACTGAATGGTCAAATGCTAGTCTAAGTGCTCATTTGAGTCCAACTGAGCGTAATCTAATCTATTCCCCTCATATTCCGCTATTGACAGGCATTGAATTGGTGAAATGGGTCCTCTAAAAACTGATTTGGCTGTTTTATCATTATCGTTTGCCACAGAAGTACTTGAAAGTTCTTGAAAGAGGGAGAATCAGACACAATCATTATACGCTTCAATAACTCTAATTACCAAACAGTTTGATTCTTGCTGCAGAGATTAACTATATATTTGATGCAGAAGTGTCTAAGGACAGTGGTGATGATCCAGGACACTCGGTGTTCAACGATATTTACGGACATTGGTCATCTGCCGCTTACGGACCAATGGCTCTATGAGTTTTTTTATTGTTGTATTTCTTGTGTTTTATCTGTTTGATTCTCTGATCTGTGTTGGCGAATCAACGGTTTTGCAAAGTTCTTGAATTGAGCGATACTTCAAATTAACCTTCTAGGCGCCGGTGGTTGACTTAAGTAGACAATATGCGGTACTGTTTAAAACGACTGGGTGTCAAAATTCATTCAAGCTCAAACAATGATTTTCATGACCCTTGAGTATGGTACAATGTCAGTTCTGTTTGTGTCCGATTTGTGTCTGTCAGTAAAAAAATATATCTATATTTCACGAAAATCCAAGATTGCCACCACCATATGAAGTCCTGGTACATTTTTCCAACATTAACTTTGGGCCATACTTATAAAATCTCTAATTTACAAAAAAGCCTCCATCTCTTATTACTTTTAAGTCATTAAGATGTCAAAATTGAGCCTCTAAAGTGCATTCTGAGATGGAGTGACCTTAACTGTTACTTTCCCAGGACTGCGGCTTCAGTCACTCCTGGTACCTGTCCATCTTCAGCGTGCTCTGCTGCCTCGGCATCATCCTCTGTTTGGCGACGTCGGTGGCTGTGGAGTGGACCGGTCACAAAGTCGCCAAAGAGCTGCAACACAACCTGCTCAACAAAATCATCCTGGCGCCGATGAGGTAAAGACCAGCCAGTTTTTACACATGTGGCAAATGTCGGAGCTCTCTCGCCCCATTACTTTAAAGACCATCTGCTTTCTAAACACAGCAGCCACAAGGCGTCAGTCAGGAAGACACACAGACCTACAACAAATGTGTGTGCTTATATTTCACATCTCATTTCATTCGAACGCACCAGCTCACAGAAAACAGTGGAGCTCCCGCCTGAAAGATCAAGGCAGCTCTGACCAGCTCGGACTGCCACTCCCCCTGACCCAAAAATTGATCATGGGGAAGAAAATGGAGGAATGGATATAAGTTTGGTACTCTAACTTTAACATCTTCCTCAGGCCCATTTTCACTTTCTAAAATCACAGAAAATTTCCCAATGAAAATTATGTTAAGTGCAAAGTATGAAGGCTCCTATTGTGTTTGTTATTAATGCATTTCCTGTATTCAAACGATTTGATTCTCTGATTTGTTGTTGGTTAATCGACGACATTGTAAAGTCCTCTGAAAAATGAATTAAATTAACCCTTTAATGTTCACTCCTTAATGAAAGCAGGACTCCAATATGTTTTTTAAGATAGGAGCACTAATGTATACAGTATATATATATATATATATATATTTTTTTTTTTTGTTTTGTTTTTTTTGTTTATTATAGGCCTTCACCAAATGGTTGTTTTGCAATTAGGGGGCAAGCTCCTATAAGTATTTTTTTTACTCTGCATGCTCCTTTTGAGCTCTATACAGTATGTTGTTAAGCTTTGATTGTACACACAACTGCAGTTATAATTTAACTCTGTATGTACTGTTTAAACAGCTCAAATAAAGTAAACAAACAAGCTGGGGCTGATGATGCAGAGTGGCCTTTTGACCTTGATATAGCTGTTTTCCCACTTTATCCCTTTACCGCACTCACACTCGCCTTATTTACCATGAAGTAAATACAGACCGACCTTCTGCCATATCACATCAATAACACTCATTTTTCACCCGGGCAGGTTGTTTGAGACCACTCCATTGGGCAGCATCCTGAACAGGTTTTCCACCGACACGAACACCATCGACCACCACATCCCGAGCACGCTGGAGTGCCTGAGCCGCTCCACCCTGCTGTGTGTGTCCGCGCTGGGGGTCATCTCCTACGTCACCCCCGTCTTCCTCATCGCGCTGCTGCCACTCGTCGTCACCTGCTACTTCATCCAGAAATACTTCAGGGTGGCCTCCAGGTGAGTCGCAGCTGAGCTCTTGGATAAACGCAGGGTTTTAGAGTGTGTGGGATTAACTGTAGAATACATTTGAAATAAGTGGATAGGATTTATGTCTCCCACTGTTTTTTATCAACATTTATGGACATTGGTTTCTGCCTCTTACGAACCGGTGGCTCTATGTGTTTGTTATTGTTGCATTTCTTGTGTTTGTACTGCACTGCAAAAAAATTACAAAATATGAGGTAATAAATGCTTAAATCATGGGTTTTTTTGTTGTAATTTGAGTATCTTCTGGCCAATGGGACAAGCCGTTTTGTCTCGTTTCAAGTGCAATTTATTTCCCATTCCAAGGAAGACATTTCTTGATTTTTCTTGTACCTTTTTTATAACAAGACATTTTTGCTCGTTCTATTGGTAAATGTTGCTTTTAGACAGTCAAAATGTGCTCAAATGAAGATTTAAAAAACATTTGATTCAAGCATTTATTACCTTATTGTGTGGTATTTTTTGTAGTGTGTTTGATTCTTTGATCCGTGTTGGCAAATTCAATGTTTTTGTTGATGATAATAATAATAATAATGTATTGGTTTTATATAGCGCTTTTTTGGACACTCAGAGATGCTTCACGTGTTATTATTCATTCACTCCACACACGGTGGTGATAAACTACTACTGTTACCATGGCTGCACTGGGGCACACTGACAGAAGCGAGGCAAGGAGTATGTGCCAGTATGTGTGAAGTGTCTTGCCTAAGGACACGTCGTTAGTTTGGCACTTTACAGCCGCAGCCGCCCCACTGTACAGTCCTCCGAGATCACTACTGTTGTGATTCAGGGCTATACAAGAATACATTGAATTGAATTGAATGTGTTTTTTGATTGGATTCCATCATGTTTCAATGTCAGGGATCTGCAGCAGCTTGAAGACAGCACCCAGCTGCCTCTGCTCTCTCATTTTTCCGAGACGGTGGAAGGACTGACCACTATTCGAGCCCTCAGGTGCAACATCAAAGCACTGACTGTGATTTTAGCCACAGAACCTTCTCTAATGTGTCCCCTGTGTCTCTCAGGTACGAGCCGCGCTTCAGACAGAGGTTATTGCAGTTTACTGATGCCAACAACATTGCCTCTCTCTTCCTCACAGCTGCCAACCGCTGGCTGGAAGTCCGCATGGTAACGATGTTTTCTCTCGCTCGTGTTTGGTTTGATAAACGGCAGCAGCTGTCACAGTTCTGCTGATGTTGTTGGGCGTCTGCTCTGCTGGAATTCTGAATGTTATTATGTTAAAGCGAGGCAAGGCAAGGCAAGACAAAGCGTGTTTATTTGTATAGGACAATTCATACACAGGGCAACTCAAAGTGATTCACCAAAATATTTATATTTATATATATATTCAACAGCAGGAGAAATTGTTGTGTTTTCTGGTCACATAATCTGAGAGAGAATATTTTATGAATCCACAATTATTTGTTTCTCAAGCTTGAGTTTATTATCAACTAATTCTAGCAATCATGGATCAACACCTAGATTTAAGCAAGTTGTGAAGACGTGCTATGATTCCCAACAGTTCTGTAATTATGGAAGAGTAAAATATATTATGTATAGGAATACATGTGTAAAAAAACAAAAACAAATTTGGTGATCAACTCAATAAGTCTATAGGGAGGTGTTCTCGAGTCGAATCTTTTCATCTTTGTTTTGGTCAAATATATTTAAGAAACTTATATTTAGAAGTCTTCAATCAAACTGATAATTTAATTGAATGAATAATCAACCAACTAATCAATGATCTAAATAATTAACATAATGCACCAAATACAAACCACAATCAAACACCACAGAATGGATGAAAAACCCTGGTCCGTCTGTCTGCAGGAGTACATCGGAGCCTGTGTTGTGCTGGTTGCTGCTGTTGCATCCATCACCAACTCTCTGTACAACCATCTCTCCCCGGGTCTGGTGGGACTCGGACTCACGTACGCCCTCATGGTAAGAGCTGTGTGAGTAACCAGTCTCCAAACACAAGTTACAAGTCTCCAAACACCACATTTATTGTAAAACTGAAATGCAACATGAAGTGTTGCAAAAGGTCATCTCCCTTCTGGAGTTTTCCCCAGGGTCTTCCCCGAGGAAGACCTATTAGTAAATAGAGAAAATATGTTTTTGAAAGAAATGTTTAAAAAGAAGATGTCCATATAATAATAATTATGATAATAATGCATTGCCTTTCTGGACTCTCAAAAACACTTCACATGTCATTATTCTTTCACGCCATTCATGGTGTGAAACTACTACTGTAGCCACACCTGCCCTGGGACAAACTGATAGAAGTGAAGCAACAAGTATGGGCCGCTGGGCCCTCCGACAACCACCAACTATTCACTCAAACACAGACTCATTCTAGACCATGAGGGTGAAGTGTCACTTTACAGCCACAGCCTGTGGCACCTGGTGTTTCCAGAGGTCTCCCATCACAGTACTAACCAGGCCCTGCCCTACACATATACTGTATGTGCATATGCTGTTTGAATATTGTCCCCACTGGACATATAATAGACATCTAGAAATAATGTGGATTGACCCTGGACACAGACTTCTGACAGTTACCATAGTTACCAAGAAAGATGTTTTCAGCTGCCCTTCACCCCATTTTAAATCTATTTGCTCTTTGAAATGTTGGGATGTCGCAAATGGACCATTTCTAAATTGTAAACGCCCTATTCAAAGCAACACAATAACCTAGTTCATTCTTTTCTGGCTTGGAAAATCTATTCTCATTGAAGCTCTAAATGTACAGCAGCCAAAAGGTGGTTTTCTGCTCAGTAGAGGACTTCAGACGGCTGCACATTAGATTGTTGTTTACTTGAGTCTTTGCCAAGTGTCTGGCTGTCCCCACACTGAAAACCCTATCCCGCTGCTAAGTCCACACTGTCTTTCTGTGGATCAGGTGTCAAACTACTTGAACTGGATGGTGCGTAACTTGGCCGACATGGAAGTGCAGCTTGGCTCGGTCAAAAGAATCAACGGCCTTCTCCAAACGGAGCCAGAGAATTACGAAGGCCTGCTCTGTAAGTCCCAGCACACAATAACAGATTATACATTCATATAAACCAACACACCGCATCAAATAAATGTTTTCCTCCTCGCTTGCTTTGAAGGGACTCTACACTGAAAAAAGTGATGAAAAAAAGGAAAAGAATTGCTCTAACTTGGCCAAATGTATTAAATAATTGGAGCATATTTTGACTGTGGTAAAAAAAAGAATGATCTTGCTTTAAAAAGATAACAGAAATGTCTCCCTTGGATTGAGAAAAAAAGCAGCAGTTCTTGAAATATGATTAAGTGGCTTGTAAGGAACGTCTTCTATTATTTGGAAGTTTTTTGGGAAACTTCCGGTTGCTTCCGGATTGTTCTCGATGTGATACGGTGTCTGGGACAGGCAGAGGGACCTGTCTAATCTGTTTAATATGATCTTCATGAATTTGTCTGTGCTCAACTGATTTAATGTACACGTTTTTCAGCTCTTATGGTGAAAATGTGCAATAAAGTCAAAGCGGAAGATGGGCACATGCATCAGTACGAGCATTCGTTCATTCATTCGGCTAAAGCTGCCACATGGCTTTGTCCCGTTGGAAAATCTTGTTTAAAGACAGTCAGAATGTGCTCAAATTAAAGTAGCAATATGGAAGAATTGCATGTCAAGTCATCCTTAAATGGCCCTAATATGTCAAAAGGCATTAATAAATCATGCTCTTTTCAAATACTATAACAGCAGTTTAGGGATATTGGAATTTCAAAATTGGTTTTACAGCCCCTAAATCTTGTTATTGTTTTCATTTTGATGTCCCGCCCTCCACTGTTTTTTACCAGAAAGTCCATGATACAGGTTTCTAGAGAGCGTGCAGTATCACTTTTGGCCAGATTTTTACATAATGATCCTCAAAGATAGAAAACAATTCAAGCAATTATTAACTCATACAGTATCTTATCATTTTTTGCAGTGTACTATATTCATCTCTGTCAAATGAGTGTTATATAGCCCGTGTGACAAGTCCAATTGTGCATGCCTCATTTTGCGTCAACTCACCCTGAAAGACAATTTTTTTTGCTTATAAATCCTTTTAGTTGAATGATAATCACTCGCACTAAGATAAATTGGTCTATTGGTCTAAATGGCTTTTCTAATACCGTCAGTCTGTGCTCCTCCAGCTGTGTCCCAAGTCCCTGACGGCTGGCCTCACGAGGGGGAGATCAAAATACAGAATTTAAGCGTTCGTTACGACACCACGCTGAAGCCGGTTCTTAAAAACGTGAACGCGCACATCAGCCCCGGAGAGAAAGTGAGTATGAAAGCAAAGTTATGGAAGATGACGTGTTCGCGCTTGCTGTACGACCCGGTTTAATTCAGAGGCAAATGCATCAGTCCCCATGAAGTCACTAATCTGTTTTAAAAGAAGTCAACCCAGATTGTGATAAAAATAGACCAGGGTGCACTCTTGGAACATAGAGGTGAATTCTTGCATCACAAATAGAAGAAAGTCAGTGAGTGGGAATGTTCTTGGCATGTCCCACCCCAAAGAGACAAGCTGGAGGGTCTCTCAGCTGGTCTGGGAACGCCTCGGGACTCTATGAGCTGGAGGAAGTGTGTGTAGATAAAGGGAAGTCTGGGAGTTTCTGTTTAGACGGCTGCTTCTGTGACTGAACAACGGATAAAGCGGAAGAAAACAGACGGATGGATGGAAAACTCAGGCGTACTGAGATTTTACGCTATTTTCTTTCATTATTTCGCTAAAGTCAGAGATTTTAGACTTAATTCTTGCTTCTTTACTACTCTCACGCCCGAGATTTCTAACTTCTTTATCATACTAAAGTCTTAGATAGCACAGTGTTATTGATCATTTATCTTGTGTTGTGTGCTCCTCATTCCTACTGTTCTGAAACTGGCGATACAACCCTGGAATTTCCCACTGTGAGACGAATAAACGATCTCTTAGTCTTAATCTTAATACCGTTTCTTAGTGCACAAATGACCCAACAAAAACATTTAAATTTAACCAGGTTTCCATTGAAGTCGTACTCAAACCTCTGTAACACACAAAAAACAAAAATGTCTTTAATCACTGGCTGATTAACCACTTCATATTTTCAGGTGGGGATCTGCGGACGGACAGGAAGCGGTAAATCATCGTTTTCATTGGCCTTTTTCCGCATGGTGGACATGTTCGAAGGTAAATCCACATAAAAAGCTCGGAGCAATTAGTTTTGACGCGTTCAAGGTGAAAAAAACACCGGTCCTTTCTCCACAGGGAGGATAGTGATTGACGACATCGACATCTCCAAACTGCCCTTACAGACGCTCAGGTCGCGGCTGTCAATCATCCTCCAAGACCCCATTCTGTTCAGCGGCACAATACGGTAAGAGCCACAGCAAACTCCTTTGTGCTAACAATTTTTTCACATATCATTATTATTATTAAACAGGATTACAAAACTGGAAGTCCAAATGAGAACTGGACGTCACACAAAAAATGGTGTCTTGAAACTCTTTTGGATTTTTGGGAATTTATATGTAGATTTTTAACCCAGATCCCAGAACCCGAGCGCACTGCCACATCGCCGCTCCATTCAGCCATATAGACATAAACAAAAGATAAATATTTCTGCTTTTTCCTTCAACATTTGCGTTCCGTCCATGTGCGCTCCCATTAACTGAGGCACTGTACCATTCCATGTGTTCCCTTCTCCTTGTTTGTGTGTATACAGTACCGGTTAATGAGCTTGTTGATGACGGTACTTGATGGACAAAAACATTTCTATCTGAAGGAGCACAAATTGCCCCTCTTATAGAGCACCATTGATTTTTTTTTTTTTTTTTTGAGGAAAGGTCAGAGCTGCTGCAGATCCTGGAAGCACATCGTATTGACAATCCAGTTAAAATATCTTGTGACGAGCGTGTTTGTTGACTGGAAAAATGTCACCGGCAAATAAGGCCTTCCTATATCCACGGCTGCTTAAGGAAATCTCCTCTGACGTGCAGCTTATATACGAACCCTCTTCATTTATGGTTCTTCTGTACATGAATCATCTGCGGTACAGAATATATCTTGCACAAAATAGACTATCTTTCACTTGTTTGCCCATTTCCTGTTTGCACATTTCCTGAGTGATAATTACTTAATTCACCGTCGCTGTGTGAAGGAGAGGTTCAGCAGGTCGTTCCTTCCTGCTGCTGTCAGACTGTACAATGAGAACTGCTGAACCTGTACATGTCCGTCATCTGCAAATAGTAAATATTGTAATCATGTGTTCACTGGATGTCCCTTTATTTACTTCTTACCCTGCTCAATATGTATATAACTTTGCACTATATATAGATAGACAGCTAGAGATGCATGATATATTGACATTGAGGTATTTACAGCTAGCTAAGAAACATAGCAGCTACTTATATTGTATTTTTTATGTGCTACCTGTGTGTTCTTTGTTGTTTTTTATTTAACCTTTATTTAACCAGGAAAGTCGCATTGAGATTAAGAACCTCTTTTTCAAGGGAGTCCTGGACAAAAACTACATTCAGTTACATACAATTACAGATTATAAAACAGTTACATACAATTACAGGTTATAAAAATAGTCGCATACAATTTTATAAAATCATGGATTATAAAAGCAGTTACATTTCAATGAGGATGTCTCAAGTGCTCTCAATCTGGATCTAAAAGCATTCAATGAAATAAGATCAAATCATTTACAGTCTTTTTGCAACACGTTCCATGTAGAAGGAGCTCTTGGATGATTTTTTTTTGCCAATTCTGTGCAGGCAAAAGGAACCATTTACTACCCTTACTACTGTCCTTTATGCCAAATGTGTAAATATCTCCATTGTGAGATCAAAAAAGTCTATCTTATCTTACCTTATTTTCTGCTGGCTGTTCTCTGTATAAAGCAGAGGCAAAGGCAGAAACTGTAAGCTGGAGACTTCTTTCCCAAAATGAAGGGCTCTGACATCATGCGAGATATTTCAGCTTTGCATTCCTTATCCTTATTGACATCTGAACTCCCAGCTGTGACGACTATAGCACAGTTACCATTTTTCACTCTCCTCTCTGCATGCCAAAGTACGTCATTGGCTGCAAGATTAAGAAGTGTGTAAGATGGAATGAAACTGCGGTGTCTTTGTTGGAATAGCCACACAGGCCCAGAGCAGACATCAGCGTGTGTCACCGCCATAATTCAAATACTGTTATTTCCCCGCACGATACGCAGGCCCTCGAATGCACCATCCTTTCTATATATACGCACCGCTGGCTGCATTCATCGGTCATCTATAACAGTTTGTCCCTCAACTCTGCGCCTATGAAAAACCTTTCTTCCAGTCCTCTCATACACTCGATGTTTGGTCCCCTGTCGGATGTTTGTTGTGCTTTCTACTCATCCCTTTAACAGGCTTTCACGGTATAGGCATCAAAAGGAGACGGTTGACGTTGATTGAAGGCTACTACGGGTGCAGGGTTACTACGATTAAATAATACGTTTTTTATTGTAGCCCTGGTACTAAAGAGCCACAGTCCATAGTAATTATAGTCAGAATGGGCAGAATATTAAAAACGTTTAGTATTGTAACAGAAATGTCTGAAACTGATGTGAGAATCGGTTACTACAACTGCCTTTTGCTCTGAAACATCACAAGAATTTGGTCTGAGAACCTTTGGAGAGCAAACAAATAGCTGGACTTGGTGAGGTTCTGTAGTTTTGGCCTCTGATAACTGACAATAACAAAGAGTGGGAACAATCTTATGACACAGGATGAGTAGTCATCCCACCCCAAAAGACCAACGGCTCCTATGCGTTTGGTGTTATTGTTGATTCTCTGATCTGTTGTTGGTGAATCAAAAACTTTGTAGAGTAAACAAAACTACATTGAATGGAATCGAAATGAGGAGGGTATAGTTTGCATCAGTAGAATGGATCTATTCGAATGTATATTGACCAAATTTGGGGTTTTAACAATTCACCTTTTTCATCTGAGGCAAATGTGAGTCACAGGAAATTATATTTCCTGCCATCCATCTTCTTCCCCTCGATCCTTTTTTGGGTCAGGGCGGGAGCAGTCAGAGCTGCACCCAATTCACACAGTACCAGCCCTGATCCACCGGCAGGTGGTCTTTCAGCGGGGGCTTCAGGCAAAGTGGGGTTACGTTTCTTGCCCAAGGACACAACGACAGCAGACACGACTCTTGAGGTAGGTCTTGTGGTGGGCTTGAAAATTCCATGTAAAATGCACATGTTTTTAGTATATTTTCTTTGAGTAACTGGTCCAGGTTCAGAATATTTGATTTGACTGGAAATTACAATAACATCTTTGTTTTAATCTGTCACAGTTCCAGATGGTTTATGGTAATATTTCATCAATTGGCACACACAACAACAAACAATAAAAATGTGTTTTATTGGGTATGTGCATTATGTTCAACATTTAGACATTTAGAGGTTTTAGCTCTTAGCTCATTGTCGCAATAAATTGAGATAAGTAACAATTACAACAATAAAATTTAGACTAACAAAATAATGTAGTATTTTTGTGTGAATCGTGTACTCATTTTTGATGTATGGATTTTGAAATAGTCTTGGAAGCAATATCACTTGGTAAATAAAACATTCTAAAGATGCAGTAAGCGATTTTGTTAGCTTAGCTGTAGCACCAACTCGAAACCATCCCCCCCCTCGGGTCAGGGTTTTTCTGTTCTGTTTTCAGGGTTAGGCATTTTTTGTTGAGCCATTTTAGGTTTTATAAAATCCGATAAGTCAAGGTTGCGCACTCGCGAGAAACAGGAAGAGGGTGAACAAACGCATCCCATTTGTTTGTTTTTATTAGTCCGCTCCAAAATATTTTGTGTTATATTTTGTAGACTATAGGCATCTGGTCAATCCCAATACTATTTGAAAACACACGATAACTTGACTACTTTTGGGGTTTAGACTTTTTCCTAAATATTTTTTAAGAAATGCATCTGGAAAAAATCACTGACTGTATCTTTAAGTTAAGTTTTTCTATATATACCATGTAGTCAATTATGGAAAAAAGAGCTTAAACGTACGGCTAACTTCTGCCTTCACTGAAAACACTCCATCACCGTGACCAATGGTTTCTCATGACAACAAGAAGGGAGAATGTTTTGAAAATAGATTAAATTGTCTTTGTGATGTGAGCATGAAATTCTACCTCGCGTCCTCCAAGACTCTTAAGATTTCTTCTGCATATTAAATAGGGACTGATCAAAACCCCTTGGGCCGTCTCATTTCTGTACAGTACTTTTCCTCAGAGTGTATCTTCCACTCCTGTCGGATTATTTATTGTGCTCCCCACTGATCCGAATAAGGGGCTTTCATGGCGCACATCAAAAGGCCAGCTAAGAAGAGACCTCCTCCAGCAAAGAGTGAACTGGCCTCTGTCAAACCCACGGCGTCAGCAGAATCCCTCCCTGTAAGAGCACATACCACAAGCCTGCAACATTACATTATACACATGGAGGTTTAGCGGCCGGCATGCAACTGTATATGATATCACTGTCAGCTAATGCTAAATCACACACACCTCTATACGTTACCATAATAAAAAGCTCAATTAATTTAGTCCTGCTGTAATTTGTCAGAATTCCCCTGCCCAGAAGCTGCAGAGAGGCCGCAAACACAGCAGCCCTTCGTTCTGCAGGTCCTTTTAGTTCAACAAGAGACAAAAACCAATGTTAAAACAGTAATAGAAATGACAGATACCAAACCTGATTTCAAAAGGTTATATTGAAGATTTTGCAAGCAATATTACAAGATAACGGTCTGCGAACACAAGTCTCGCTTCGCGTTCAGATAAGGAGTGGCCCCGGGGACGTCTTTCACCCTCCTGGTCAGAAGAAAAAGAAAAAGCCCCCGTGCCTCCTCCTGTACATCTTTTATACTGTACATCCAAGGTCACTGACATCACAGATTCGTGGACTCTATGACTCCTTCTGGCCCACTGCCAACGTTTGCACCTGCTCTGATAACCACTTGTCTCCCTCTTGTCCCCCTCCCATCTCACACAGACTAACCTTGAACTCACTGCTCTTTGAGATTTACACAAACAAGTGCTAATTTGGCAACAGAAACAATACTAAACTGATTTTAGTTTTAACTGGTGCAGGAGTTAATATTCCAACAGTCCCCCTGTTGGCCGGAGAGGAACTCTTCGGACATCCATCACTCTCGTCTCAGATGGCCCATCTTCATCAGTTGATCCAGCATTACATCCTATACTCAGTCTAATCCCAGTCTTCACGACGATCTGTGAACTCCTAAACCACCCCATGTGACATTATGAAAAATGTGGTGGTCTTCCACTCAGCCCTTACTTCAGACCCGCCCCAAAGGCCTCTGGGCGGACTGAGCATCCAACTCACCCTAAACTACATACATTGAAGTGATCCTATAAAACATTCTATATGTGGGTGTGCTGCGGTGTCTAGTCTGTGTAACAAAAACAATAGTTGCAAGAGCTGTGGAGAAAGAATATGTTTGTGTCGTGCATCAATTTGAATTATGTAATTTTTTATTTTAATTTTTAATTTTTATAATTTTTTATCGCATCCCCGATTTCCCCAAGTCCCTCTTACAATTTTGCAAGGTTATGTGCGTTATTTACATGCAAGCAGTTATACATTTTTGATTAAAATATTTTGATAATATCATAAAGCATACTCACAACTCCTCTGGTGATATTCTGACAATATCACAGGCCATACTCACCCGTTCTTCTGATGATTGTCCTTTATGGCTTAGGCTATGGTCATCAATTCTTCTGGTTCCCACTGTAGGTCCTGGGTTAGTAGCAGTTGTCTTTCTGCCACCTTCCCTTCCACAGCGGCTGTTATCACTCTGTTACATAAGGATCGTATGCACGGAATACTACCAGAAATCCCCAACAAAACCATAGAGGTTTCTTCCCTGATCTGTCTCTTGGGTCCAATGACTCACCTCTCAAGTCCACTGTAATTGTAAGACATGGTACACTTCCCTGCATAATCCCCTTTGTCATGGAAATTATTTTAGAATGGTGTCTTGCAAACTCTGTAGTTGGTGTTGGTGTCCAATCTAATCCAGTATATGCCACCATTGTCCCCCATGATTTATCTCTCATGTCATTTGTCATGTACCATTCATAATCTGAATTTTCTGCTCCCACTTTTTTCCCTTTGTTTACTAATGCTATAAAAGGTACCTGGAATGCCATATGTTCTCCCTTTGCCAAACACAATTGCACCCCAAATAGGTATTGTCGCTTTTTTGCACATGCTCCCAGTTTATCCAATTCCCTTTTTGGTCTTATTTTTATCCCTGTCACCTTTGTAGGTTGAACTTTGCGTTCTTTCATCTGTTTGCCGGGTAAAATGTCTGAATAATCAGAAATTGAGGAATTGACACCAAGAGTTTTCTCCTTACCATAGACAGTTGTTGGTTTTGCATACCCCTGGCCTAACTCTGTTTCCCAGGCCCACATAAAAAATCCAGCTATAATCCCTATACCTACCACCATACTCACCCACTCTCGTGTCCTCAACCCTAAGAGTGTCCATGGTCCTATCATGTTGAGAGTACCTGCATGGTGAACACCTCAATCTTAAAGTCTATCCCATGCATACCAGATTAGTGTTTTCAGCTTTGATTTGCTCAATTGCTCATCTAAATAGTTGATTCTGGATCATGAATATTTTTTTTTTTTTTTTTTTTTTTTTATATAATCAATCAATAATTATAAAAATAATATTAATAATCAATAATAATCAATCAATAAAAATAATAATCAATAATCAATCTTCCCCCTGTTTTATCACAATCCTGTGATAAATTAAACATCCCTTATAGGCCAATTTGTCACCCCCACCATTATCACTTATGTCGGATCCAAACCACGTCAGTTAAATGCACAGTCCCCTTGATCAGCCCAATCCATAAAGTCAGAGAAATTGCCAAATTCTTCAATAACCTGAAGTCCATCGACCATAATTTCAAACCCCTGAATCCCAAAATCTAAAATGGCAATATCCTGATATTCAACATCCTGAACCTCATCGCCCTGACCTTCAACAACCCAATCTCCAATGTCCAGGACCCCAAAACCCTGTCCTCCACCATCTCTAATGTCAAAATCCTGATATCCAGACTCCTGAACCTCAGGGGCCAGAACCTCAACATCCCAATCTCCAAAGTCTGGAAGTCCAGAGCCCCAAAGTCCAAAATCCTCAACTCCCAACAGTTCCAGAAGGTCTCTCATACTATTGTCATCACTAGTCCCTATGCCATCAGACACTTGCATCACAGGGCTATCTGGAGGGACTCTATAGGTGCATTATAGGGTTGCTCCGCACTCCCTAGAACTCCCCATGTTCTAACTAATAGAGTCAGACACTTCCCTCTCTGTCCCCCTGTCGGCCTCCTTTTCTGATGATGTAGTGATATCTTTCATTACATCAAGCAGGGATCTTTCTGGTGCACTAGTGGGCCTAGTGTGTGATATGTGCACAAAGGATGACTCTGTAGTTTGTGAGTCGTCTAAGTAATATTTCAAAGTGTACTCGTATAGTTTGGAGATTTTAAATGGGCCTTTCCAAGTTAGCTGATCCCAACAATGTTTCTGGTTTTTCACATAAATGTAGCCTCCAACTGTAAGTTTGTCTTTTACAGCCTGCAAAGGGGGCTCTGGAGATTTCTGGGTCAGCGTGACAATGTTATCTTGCAGAAACTTCACTGTAGTGACCAATGTTTTCATATAAGTTTCCCTAGCATCATCAGTGGCTGCTGGAGGTGGGAGCTCCAGTGAACGAGATAAGTTACTGGGCATGTGTCTCCCATACATTAGTTGGAATGGTGACATAAAAATTGGCCTGCTTGGTTCTCCTCTTATTGCCATCAAGGCTATAGGCAGTGCCTGTTTCCAATTCATTTTTCCAGACCTACACATGTGTGCCAATCTGTTTTTCAGTGTCTGGTTGAACCTTTCAATCACCCCTTGTGATTGCGGGTGCAACACTGCTCCAAAATGCTGTTTTATATTCAGCCTCTCACATAGTTGAGCCATTGTCTGGTTTTTAAAATGCGAGCCGTTATCGGATCTGATAACTCTCGCTGGGCCGTACCTTGGAAAGATCTCTGTCAAGAATACTTTGGCTACTGATTCTGCATTTGCTTTTGCCAAAGGAAAAGCTTCAGGCCATCGTGTGAGTGGGTCAATCATTGTGAGCACGTATCTACACCCATCCGCTTTCTTATCAGCAGTCATGTCGATGAAATCAATTACGATTTCTGCCATGGGCCATGGAGGCACTGGGTATGCTCCTATGCCTGCCTTCACAGCCCTTGCCTTAGAGAGCCCTTGACATATGTCACATGAGTCACATAGATGCTGAATGGTTGGTAGCATAAAAGGATGGAACATGTGCCGTCTTAGTTCTGAAAAAAGTTTTGAGCACTTTATGTGTGTGTTTCCTCATGCTTACTTTGAATGATCTGTAGTAGTTTTTTAGTAGTCACGCACGGTTTACCAAATGTATCATAGAATACTCCTTCACTGTTTTTAATGGCCCCTGCAGTTTTCCATGCTGTCACATCATACAGTGAGGGATTTTCTTGCAATATGTGTGGACTGTTCTCTTCTCTTTCTTCAACTGGTGCCTCTGTTCCCTCAGGATTGTCTTCAATAACTCCCTGCAGAGCCGTACCTATCCTGTCATACCCAGCTGTCATTTTAGCAACTCTATCAGCAAACTCATTGCCCTTTGCCACGAAGTCTCTGGCTCGAGTATGTGCTCTGCACTTGACCAATGCAGTTTTGTGACGTACATTCTTGATTTGATCTGCCACCTTCTGCCATAATTCCAAATGTGTAGGTCTCAAATTTTTTGTTGTGATGAAATTGTCATGCAATCCCCAGATTGGCAAGTGCAAATGCACTGTAGAATGCACATACTCAGAGTCAGTATATATTGTGATAGGTCCTTCTGGCCTGTTCTCCAAAGCCAGGCTAAATGCTTCTAATTCTGCATACTGAGCTGACTTCCCTGCCAGCGCCTCTGCCTTCAGTATGTTAAAATCAGGATTGGTAACAGGTGATGTTTCCCTGTCATGGATGACTGCTGCTGCGCTTGCAACCAATGCTCCAGTTTTGTCTCTATGCGAGTGTCCATCTATAAAAATAGCATGTGACCCCTCAATCTCTGACCTGCCCAACTTTTTGATCAAGTTTGTTTCTTCACTATGTTGGACCTCACACTGGTGAACTGGGCCTGAGATAGTAAATGGTAATATTGGAGAGTCTGTTGGTTCAAATGTAACTTGCATATTTACGAGTAACAGATGAATCTTTTGAGACATTGAATTTGTCAATGCAAATGTGTTCCCCTTCAAAGCTGCATACATGTTATGTGGCGTCCTCACTATCACCTCTGAGTCCAAGATTATGTGTGATGTGGAAACCAGTGAGTTTTCTTAAGGGCCATTACATAACGTGCACATGAGAAGTGGTGTGCTTCTGATCCTCTGAGATTGGAGCTGAATATGTACAATATTTTGGGTGCATCTGCTATTTTCTGAAACAACACTGCACAATAATAATCTCCAGTCATTGTGATTTCCATCATAATTGGGTATTTCCTATCAACGCAGTGTAAAGTCTGCACCATTGATAGTTTTTCTTTGATTGATTGAAATGCCTGTGCTTGCTCCTCAGTCCATGTCAAGATCCCATCATAATCTGTGTAGCCTACATCAATCAACATTTTCTGCAAGGGCTTCATCATGTAGGAGAAGTTGAAAATATATTTCCTGATATAGCTTGCCGTATTTATGAAGGACATCATTTCTCTCACTGTTTTTGGTTTGGGAAACTCTGATAGTTTGATCAGTCTTGACTGGTCACACATGACTCCTTCTGAAGTGAGATAAGTCTTTAGAAAAGATACTCTCTGTCTTACAAATGCACACTTGTCATAATCAATTTTGAATCCCTTTTCTGCCACTACTCTAAGGACTTTCATAGTGATTTCTGTACATGCCTCTTCAGATACTCCTGAGATTAGAATATCATCTACATAGGCCAGAACAAAGTTTTTGTCTGGGTCAATGTCAATCTCAGAGAGCACGTCCTGGATCAATTTGTTAAAGATCCCAGGTGCAGCGCAGTGACCCTGTGGTAAACGCGTATACACATACTTCTTCCCCTCAACTGTGAATGCCAGATACTTCCAGCACTCAGGGTGCAATGGGATGCAGAAGTATGCGTTACATAAATCAATGGTGGTAAACCATTTATGAGACGCTGGTAAGAATGCCATTGCTCTGTGTGGGGTCAGGTGTGTGTCCAATAGTTTGTCTTGTGATCTCTCATTTAATTTCCTGAAGTCATTCACTAGTCTGCAGTATGGTTTTCCTGCCTTGTCTACTGCCAACATTGGAATATTATATGGCGTATACTCTGACGCTTCGACAATGATTCCTGCCTTCACCAATTCTGACACTGTGTACTTCAATTTGTCCTGGAGTCCTGCTTTAATGGGATACTGCTTCTGATAACACACTTGGTCATCAAACAGTAGTTTTATTGGCAGGATTCCCTCGGCTTTCCCGATGTCAAATGCATGTTTTTGTCCATAGCCTCTCAGGCAAAGTGTGTTTCTGCTCTTCAAATAGGTTTGAATTGGTATTTTCCCTGCCATGTGTCCTTGTTCTCTGTACCTCCTGCATAGTGGCTTTATATTCATTGGGTCATTGAATTTGATCACATAACCTCCTGTGGTTTCACTATGCAGTACAATGTATTGTAATTGTCCCTGTTGCACACACATTGGTTTTAAATCACTGGCCAATATCAGTGCACACATTGGACCTAAATTCTTGGCCTCTGCTTTGGACTCAATCATCATTGTTACATGTGGTGTGGATTTGTCAACCCTAAATATTGGGAGTGTGTCTGTGTTTGAATTTGTGTTAGCAAACGCCACCCCATGTTCTCCCACCACTACGCAATTCAGCTTTTGTGTCACTTTAGGATCTCCTACTCCCTGTGTCTGGCATGCACTAGTCTTGTACATTTCCCACTCAATCAAATAGTTGTCATATGATTGTTGATCTTCTGGATGCTAAAAATATGCCTGTGTACAGTGTACGACATCTACTGGAGACCGCAAGTCCTTGCATCTCTCAGTAATCCATGGCAAAAATGGCTTAACTAGTTTCATGCAATGTGTCATTGGATTCTTCACTACCCTCTAGCCAAAAAACTGTGGCTATGTTATCGTCAATTTTTGGTGTTTTAAGATTTTGTTCCTGCTGGAGCAACAGTTCAGTTTCGAGACCACAATCCTGTATTAACATGCCCAACTCATTTGACACTTCAATTTCATTCTGGAAAGAAATATCCAATTTCAAAAGTTTTATCAAATCCCTTCCCATTAGGTTGTGGGGACAGTTTGGGGCTATTAGAAATTTCATGTTGGAAAGTCTGCTTTACTCCTGATTTATAGGTAACTGTGCAGTCTAGAGGTTTTGAGTAAAAAACTCTTGTAGCCAAACCATTAAATCCAGATACGATTTTCCACTTTTGAGAGGGCTCTAGACTGCATTTTAATGAACTAAATGTTGCTCCAGTGTCTACCAACAGTTTCTGAGGCTGTCCCTCAATTGTTATTGTGATAAATTTTGGAGCCACGTTAATGCATCCCTCTCTATCTGGACCACGGCATCTTCATTTCGGTAATAAACTGAGTTGATGAGCAGCGACCTCTGGTCTTGACTCTGTCATCTGGTGAGTGGTCATATACTGTGGCTGTGGTTGGCCCAAGACCATTGGCTGTTGTGGTTGTACCTGTTGAGGTGCCTGATACATCTGGTGTACGTCTTGAGAATACTTACATATATGGATAAATAAATAAAATGGAGAGAAAAGTTAAACACCTCCATCTAGTGGTAGAAGTGGAGTGTTGTGTTCTGCTTTTTTAATAAATATCAAACATGACACCTTATACTGTAATTAAATAGGGGTGGGGAAAAGAGTAATTTTAGAGGAAAAACTAAAAAACAATCATATTTGGAGGCAATACTTTTGTTTGATATTAAAGATATAGGATCATTTGGATAGATTGGGACAGGTTTGTGCCAAAATTGTGCTTGATATTAGCACGGAAAGACCCTGATATGTTTTTATTTTTTTTACGAGAGAACAATGTAGTCGTGATAATAAAAAGCTGGTTACCGTTCCCACCTGAACCATGGAGCAGTTGTGAGCCGTGGCCTCGATCTTGGCGGCGATCACGCGGGACGTCCAGTGAGCCAGCCAGTAGTCGATGGCCACCATGAGGGAGTGTTTGAGCAGCTGCGACAGGAGCAGGAGGCCGAGCAGCAGGGGCCCCGCGGAGGACAGGTACGTGCCACAGGAGCGCCAGGGGATGGTGGCGCGCTGACGCATCACCAGAGAGAGGTTATCGTCGTCCTCGCTCTCCAACGACTCCTCTGAGGACACAGCGGGTCGGTGTTAAAGGGGATCTACGCAACTTTACTGATGAAGAGTCTGCCACCTCCACCTCTTGCCTCATGTGATTGCTCTGACTGGAATGTTCCACTGTGGCTACTTTAAAAACCCTTTAATGTTCACTCCTTGAAGAAAGGGTTAGGGTTAGGGTCATTTTTTCTTTGTTTTTTGGATTTTCTAAGATATAAGAGCACTAGTAGTTGTTTTTTTTTTTCTAAATTCCTAGTATTGTTCATTACAGACCTTTACCAAATAGTTGAGATTAAATTTGGTGGTACTGTAAAAATGCCTAAAACCAAGTGATAGAGATGCCCCAAATAAGTAGATTTCAGTTCCAAGCTTCAATAGTGACTCAAATGGTGATCTACCAAATGGTTGGGGAAAGCGTTCAAGGCTGTCAAAAAAATCAACAAAATCTGATAATAATAATACTAAAATTGATGCAAAAATATTCCACCTAAGGAACAACATTGGACTTTCTGGAACAGTTTTAGTAATATTTATATCAGAACCAGGATATAACCTTGAATCTGAAATGTGAATAATGGAAAGTGAAATGTTAATATTGTGACAAGACTAGATTACGTAACGCCTTTCACTGTAAATAAGTTTTGTAATCGCAATTTAATCTGCTGTTTACAATGTTGTTCTTGTAACGGAAGTTTTATTTGTATTTTTCAAACATTTACAAACATAGATTAACACAAGCGTTCCAATGTCTACAGTATGTCTAACTACGTCTTTTGAAACAGCTTGCATTGGCACAACCGCTTTCAGAGCCAAGAGAGAGTTTTGCCGTAACAATGACATGAACAACAGCAGCGCATTTGTTGTTTATGGGAAAATATGCAAAATACCATGTAGACTAAAACTAAAGCTTCAATTTGAGCTATTTTAATAACATTATTATTCAATTTTACTCATATTATCAGCGATGCATTATTACTATTATTAATTGATCATTTGTTCAGCAACTTTCTCATTTTATTGATCATTTTAAAAGGACCAGGCCACGTTCTCCTTTACAATAAGACATTTTTGTAGGAATACATTCAAGATTGATAGGCGTTTTCTGCATTATTAGGTGGAACATTGCAGATAAAGCATTATCATCTCCAGGGAGACAAACAGGCGGCGGACTCTACACCAGAAATTTTACATAAAGCATCAGTATATTCAGGCTGGTAAATATTAAAAAAAAAAAAAGTCTTTTCTAATTCTTCCCTCTTGCAGATCTCAGGACAAAGATAAATTGGTCAATCCCATGCTTTTCTGTTCACTGACTTTCAGTTTACAAGCACTCTAACATTCCTGACAAAGATCAAGCCTTTTCTCTTGTCTCTCTCTTAAAGATGGGGTACCTAACTTTCAACCCCCCAAAGACATAGCTGTGTAATAAAAATCCATGTAATTAGTTCCTATAGATCTCAAAACAGACCACTGGTTTTCACATGCATGTATTTCTGGCCTTTATCACATCTTTAAATCTACTTTTTCAGACTAAAAAGTGAAAAAATAGGTCCGCCTATACTCAGCTCAAAGCCCAAAGTGTCAAATAGTGACTCCCAGGGCCCTGTCTACAAGTCTGTAAAATATAGGACAGCATGTTATGGTCTTAAGTCTACACTAAATGTTACTTTTACCAGACTCAGCAAAAAGATTAAGTTATTATTCATGAGGGGAAAAGTTAGGTACCCCAGCTTTTGTATTCACCATGCTCAAATCTTCAAAAATAAAATGAAATAGGAAAACAAGCTTTCTACAAGCTGCAGAATCATCAGCGGACGATTGCGTTTCTCCAAACACAGGATACAGAAGAGAAGCCACGCAGGAGGAAAGATCGTTTACAGGCAGAACCCCAAAAAACTAAATCTACCACGTGACATCATGCTGCAGGCGTTGGCAGGAGGCGCATGTGGGCGTCCAGGACATTCACACAAGCTTGAAAGGAAGCGGGAAAAAGAAGAAAAAAAGGACTAAAAAACCAAAACACTACTGCTGTTTTTCTGCGTTCATGCTGCGGCTGAAATCGGGCCGAAGAAAATGCTCAGGGAAAATAAAAAAGGTACGTACGGCCGCATTGTGGGATTAAAAAGTCGTACAATTGTTATTAGATTGTGTAATAAAACCACAACAGATCTATTAAGCGATGTATAATAAACAAAAGTGATCAAATCAAAATGAAATAGCAATGTTTTGTCTAATATAACACTATAATGCTCTGGTTAACCATGTGTACACTGCAAAAAATGATAACGTGAGGTTGCTTGAATCGAGTGGTTTTTCTCTTTCTTTGAGCACATTCTGACTGTGTTCAAACAATATTTGGCAAAGGGACAAAGCCATTTAGCCTCATTTTAAGAACTTTTGCTTTATTTTCACAGACTTGGGATCCATTGGGTCCACAAGAATGAGACTAAATGAGATTTTAGAGAGAGAAATGCTACTATTGTCTGTGTTTTGTTTATGTATTTATTAATGTATGTATTTTTTTATTGTATTTATTTAATTATTTATATTTGATTATTTAATTATATTTATTTATTTTTATGTATTTATTTATTTTTATGTAGCTATTTATTTTTATGTATCTATTTATTTTTATGTACTTATTTATTTACACCAATTTAAATTTGCTGCTGCCACTCCAATAAAATTCAAGCCGTTTCTTAGTCCTCTATCCACAGTATTAATCTAACTATTACACATGTTTTTATATTTGCTCGTTCTGCTTGTGGTTGTGGTTTTCTTACATCTGTTACATTTCAGACTTTTCTCACACAATGCGGCCGTCTTCAGTAAAAATAACGGGGGGACATTATATTGATCGTTGGGGAAGAAGCTGCAGATTTCTTTCACAATGCCACAGTTGTCCTCACAGTTGTCGTGGTTACATCATGCATTCTGGCCACACCTGCTCCTTCGAACATGAGCGCAGCAGCTTGTAGAGCCGTCGCACACGTCCAGAAAGAGGTTGCCACACAACAACACAGAGCACAGGTAAAGGATACAAGTATGTCACCATTATTACACTGCAAAAAGTGATCCAAAATGTAAAAAAGAAAAATGCTAAAATTTGGCAAAACACATCTTAGTTTGAGCACATTTTGACTGCCTTAAAACAAGATTGGCCAATGGGACAAAGCAAAATTATCTTGTTTTAAAAAGATACAAGAAATGTCTCCCTTGGAATGAAAAAACAAAGCAATAATTCTTGAAATCAGACTAAATGGCTTTGTCTCATTGGCAAATCTTGTTTTAAGACAGTCAGAATGTCCTCCAACTAATATAATAACCACTCAATTCAAGCAATTTTTACCTAATATACCCACTTCAATATTAGCTGCTGCAAGATGCTAATGAGCTCAATATTGATTGTTTGGTTGTAAAACAAAAAATCATAAAATATGAGGTAGAAATTGCTTGAATCGAGGTGTTTTTCTCTTACTTTGAGTTCATTCTGACTGTGTTAAAACAAGATTTGCCAATGGGACAAGTCAGTTAGGCTTATTTCAAGAATGATTGCTTTATTTTCTCATTCCAAAGGAGACATTTCTTGAATCTTTAAAAAACAAGATTATTTTTCTTTGTCCCATTGGAAAACATTGTTTGAAGGCAATCAAATTGTGCTCAAATTAAGATACTTTTAGCCAAATTTGAGAATTTCTTGACTCATTCCCTGGGAGAGTTTAGTATTTCTTTCACTTCTAATTTTCAGAGAATATGAGAGTTGTTTTCCCTCAATCCTCTCTGCCCATTTTTACTTGAAAAACAATGGAACTGGAAGAATCAATCTGTATTCATGCTTGTATCTATGTGTGTATTGGTTGTGATTGGGTGAAACTTAGAAAGGAAAAAATGCACTCCACAGATTGTGAACCACTGCCAGAACAAATAAAAAACACCATAAATGTCAGCGATCCTTCATCCGTTTGATGAAAAGCCAAGACGTCACTATAAAGAAAATAAGTGGGAGCTAATATCTGAGGAGTGAGAAGACATTTGTCAACGTCATCCAGCCTGGTTGTAAAATGGTTGTAAAAAGGTCATAAAGTCTTGAATTCTGCCAAGGTATGGACACAACTATATTACCCTTGTACCATTGTCTTTTTTTCCATAAAATAGAGTCAACACAATATTTTATCCCCATATTTTTCTGGATTAAATGATTGTGCTTTGTCATTTTGAAGCGTGACGGCTCTGAATACAGATGCACGGTTTACTCTGCGTCAGTTGTTATGAAGGAGTCTGAACAGGCAGCTGTGAAAGTCCTACAGAAAGTAAAGGGGGGGAAGACATTGTGCATTTATACAAGACTGAATATAAAGACACAATGAGAAATTCTGTTAAACTTAAGGATATATTGCATAAGCATAAAATGGCATATGCTTATAACACACACACACACACACACGCACGCACATACACACACAATTTGTCTTTGTTTTAATGTAAAAATATCCCTTCAAAGAGATGTTTTAGCTTACAGTGAGTGACCACAAAATGAATAAACTAAAATAAATAAATAAATAAGTTAATGTACTGTATGCCCAAACTAAAACATGTTTTTCATCAATATTGCTTACTTAGAACAAGCTCAACTGAATTATTTTCTTATTCCAATCGTTTTTTGGATTTTTTCATTTACCAAACCAGGATAGGCCAATTTCAAAAGCTGGTTTTGAACGTAGTAATTGACAATTTCAAGGTTTTCCCAAGTCAAAAGTGAACTGTAATCTACATAAATCCTTCTTACTTTTTATTCTCATAGTTAAGACAAACAGCTGTTATGCATAAGACAGCACATGCATTTATGGCTTAAGAATGGACAGCGTTTCAAATAATCTATAGTAAAAGCTCAGCCAGAATCACTCACAATGTTTAAACAGGAGCCTTGTGTACCTACAGATGTGTGTGTTATCTGTCTCTGCAGCCCACATGAGTGTTCTAAATCCGCTTTGGCCTCTGTTCCCTCACCTTCGTCCTCCTCCTCTGTCCTCACGGATTCTCTTGAATACATGGCTCTGCGCAGGTTCTTCCTCTCCAGGTCCGTCACGCTCTCTGCAACAGTCTCCTGAAGACACAAACATCCACACTCATCTTGTTGGTGCCTTCAACAAATCCGGTCCAAAGAGTGAATTATTAACAATCAATGAACTCTTGGACATTCAGCGTTTTTTAAAAGCGCTAACCTTCTCGAAATCCTGGTCCTTTCTGTGCATCAGCGACTTCCACTGCTCGAACAATTCTGGCTCTGAGTTTTGGATGTCTTTCAAAGTGCCCTCGGTTTGAATGGTGCCATCTTTCATCGCAATGATCTGTAGAAGCAGAGGGGAAAGTATTCAATTAGATTTACAACTTAATCTCCTTAAAAGTGCAACGTTAAAAAAGCAATTGTTGAGATAGATGATCCTCTATGACAGGGGTGGCCCGGGAGCCAGAAGCGGCCCGTCAATGAATTACCTTGGCCCCCGGGATGATGTTTGATTAGTATTAGAACCGACCAGTAATAAGAAAACATTGGATTATTAATTTAATTTTCAAGACGGGTTTTTGTCTTTGAAGGAAGTTTGTTTTTAATGGGGTTATTCATTTAATCATTAAATAGAATACGGTCCACTGTTTTAAGTCTTGGTTCACTAGTCCGGCCCTTGGCTTGCAGCAAATTTGTTTTTTTGGCCCTCTGATGTATTTGACTTTGACATCCCTGCTCTATGACATCAATGAACTGGTTTTCTATCATTCTATCATTTTATATAATCAATATTTTAAGGGTTGAAAACAGAAAGACTAAAAGCAGCCGTGTTTTTCATTGAAGCCAAAACATCTGGCTTTGCTGTTGTATTATCTACATATCACAGATTCTGAAAAAGAATTAACAAACAGAGGCAAAGAGAGGGATCAGATAACCACATTTCATCTTGAATGCAGGAGAATGAGATTTCTTTCACATTGGTATAATAACATGGTCAAAAGATATTAAAAGTCCAAAATGTGTTCCAATGAATAAATTATACATGCCAAACAAACAAATAAAGAAATAAATTAATTGTATATATGGAATACTAGTCTTTGTGAAAGAACAGCAATGTCAAAAAAGGGGTGGTAGGAGAACAAATGTCAAAAAGTGAGACAAACTAGAACAAGCATCAGTACCGAAATATTAAGTTATGTTTTTACTTTTTGTTGATGTTCTAACTATAATAATCTTGTAGCCTGGAACTCAACATTTCCAGCCTTTGCATTAGTAACACAATAATGACTGTGATTGTGCGTCTCACCCAGTCGGCATGAGGAAGGTACTGAAGCTTGTGAGTGACCAGCACCACTGTCCTCTTCTCGTCTCGGAGCATCTTCAGGATCCCCTCCTGCATCAGGTGGTCACTCAGGTGAATGTCCAGCGCTGAAAACGGATCGTCCTATTCCAAAACACACAGGGGGGGAGAAACAAATGTGTTACAATCATTTATAATGGTTGACAATCCACAACAATGCAACATATTTATATATACTGTATATCTTTACAGGCATCTAACACGAGGGGCGATCGAGCATAAAGTGCAAGATTAAGGCATTTTTTGTATAGCACAGTTTATACACAAGGAAAAGTGCTCAAGAGAGATAAGAAAAAATCATACAAGGAATTAACATCATGAATAATCACAGTACATTAAAAAGAGTAACGATAGAATCCTTCAGTCCAACTGTTTTTAAACTGGATTTGAGCCTGTCTCACATTTTCAGGAAGACAGTTCCATGTTTTAGCTGCATAAATCTGAAATGCTGCCTCCCCATGTTGAGTCCTCCTATCAATCTAATCTTTTATGTTTTTATTAATTTATTTGTTTGTTGTATTGTATTTTAATCTGCAGGACTTTGAGGTTTCCTGGAAGTGTGAGGTGAAATACAGTATAAATGAAAAGTATTATTATTATTAAATCATGATAGGTACCGATGACTCACTCGACTTGATGAGAAAGCAATTATAACATGTCAACTTGGTATCTCTCTTGATGCCTTTTGATCGAGAAGATATCCCTGGAATCTATTTACCTTTGACAACAAGAGCTGATGGGTACGTATTAACCGGGTTTGTTGACACGTAAAAATCAATTGCATCTGTTTTGATCCCTACAGCAGCAGCAGCCAACTACTCACTATTTAATTCATGACAACAAACTGTGCAAAATAAGATCTAACATTTCAGAAAATCAAAGCTCACACAGTTTTCGCCTGCAGCCGGACGGAACTTGTCAGGTCACAAGGAATCCGTCAAAAAGCCCGTCTGAGCCGCGGGAGTTATGTTGGAAACCGTGAGATCATGGCCGACGCTGTGTTTATGAGGTTAATCCACGAAGAAATGGGATCAAACTCACCAGAAACACTACGCTGGTCGTCTGATACAGGGACCGGGCCACGCTGATGCGCTGCTTCTGCCCCCCCGACAGGATCACCCCCTGAGGAAGGCGGGAAATGTCACAAGAATTATGAGATTTAGAAAACAAGCCGGGCGTCTTTCAGCAGGTGCCAGTGTGAGAAAAGTCAAGGTATTACTGATGAGGAAGATGTCCCTCAGAGGTAAACAAGGTCCAAGATACGTATTGTTAGCGGTTTTAGTGGCAGGGATAAAACATGTTTAGTTTGTGCTTTATGTTCTATGTCCTAAGATAATTCTGGACCAATGGATGTTTGTTCACTTTTTCTTTTGGCTATACATGACACAGGGAATGATGATGGTGGGGATTTACAAAACACATATATCAACAGCATTTCTGCACATGTTTTTATCATACACATCAACATAATTTAGAAATGAAAGCTGGGCTACCTGACTTTTTGTAAATCACAGATGTAATTTGTAAAAACAGTATTAAGAAGGCAGCATGTTGTGGTCTGATTTCTTCACCTGCCCTCGACTTATCTAAAACATGTATCTTTTGCAAACAGAACCCGGTGAGTAACTTTTTGATCTGGATGGTCCTTTTTCTCTTTTTTCAATCTTCCATTTGACAAAGCTGATTTAGATGCATGCATGTGACAACTAGTGATAGAACCCAACTGTAATGAGAGAGAGGAGCTATTTAGATAGATTTTAAGATTTTTAAGGCGGTTTGAAAGTTAGATAACCCAGCTTTAATCATGACAATATGTTGAAAATATATAAAGTAAGATTCTATTTCAGTACCAGCACTTTCTTACTTCACCAGAACAGCCAGGCCCCATTTCTTTCATAAGTGTGAGGTTATAGTTTCTCTAACAGAATATTAAAGGTATACAGGAGGAGAAGAATCGCCTTCTTCACTTTTTACAAAAAACTCTCTGGTCTTGTTTGACGAGTCAGGTATCACCAGAATGATTGACAATTAGGAGGAGCAATAGTCTTGACGATCCACCCAGAAATATAAAATCTTCCAATATACTTTTAAGGCAATAGCAGTTTCATTCAGAATAACAGAATAACTCAACCCTTACTCAAAAAAATATATATATTGGACTGGATAAGGTTAATGTTAGCCATATTAATCTCATGGCATTAGTCCTTTAAACTTTAGGATTGATTACACACTGATTTCTAATAAGCTATAGACTAAGATGTTGAAATAAAATACATATCTATACAACCATAAACAGACCTCTTCCCTATTTGACCTTCAGCCATTTACAAAGATGTCAAACCAAATTCCAAACATGAAAGCCTGAGCTCGGGGCCTGTGGTGTATTGAACGATGACAGATGGTGTTTTGGTTAAATATTCTTCCCTTGCAGCCGAACAGAAGAAAGAGGTGTGAGCGCAGTACCGACCCGCTCACCGATCTCTGTCTGGTCTCCCTGAGGAAGGATGTCGATGTCAGGCTGCAGGGAGCACGCCTCGATCACAGCGTTGTATCTGGAAAATTAAACAAAAAAAACATACAACAGAAGAATAAAAATCAAAGCAGAAAGAGTGTGCATTGTGTTTGGCCATTTAAACTGATACCGAGACTTATTACTTTTCCATTAAATGTTTGAGGTAAAATATTTATGGAAAATCAAGGATATAAACTGCCATCTGCATGTAACTCCCTATGCTACCACCAGGGGGACATTCTTTTTCTGCTGCAAACACAACCACGCCATTTCATATTTCACCTGCTAAACTGCCAAAATTAATTTATGGGCAATAATTTTGTTTTAAAATTCAGAATATCTGGGACATACTATTGTAGGACTGCGAGAGGACCTTGTAGATAATAAGTTGAAGGTATAAGCCTGGATGGATCTAAAAACAACTCATGGTTTGTTTTTGATGAATGAAAATGTTGTAATGTTGTAAGTTGATTTTGCTTTTGCCAAATGAGATCTGGACCATAGTTTGTCTAATGACTACATTAAGCATAGGGATGAATAAAGAAGCTGGATCAGGCATATTCAGTTAATACATTTTATTTAGCTTCTAGGATATTGCTTGTTCTTTGAATTGATGCAAAAACAAAACAGTTTACAGGGTGTCTGTTTTAAAGTAAATTGACAAAATATTTTGGATCAGTTTTGTTTTACTGTTTATTTAAACCAGACCCCAATCCACAACCTTCTTCCAGTCAATGCCAATCGAGCCCTGGGGTAATTCAGTTGGACATGTAATTCACCCCCTGCTCCAGGGAAAAAAAGGATTATTGGCTGTTTTCTGCAAACCACTGACTGGATTGATGGTCATTTATCTCCCTAATTTCCACACACAAGATTACCTCCCGGCCAAAGGATGTGTTTCTTTAGGTTCAGTGGGAAATGGAATATTGACTTGAGGTCAGCAGGAGAGACAAATTATAAAGCTCTTTTTTTCAGCTTCCAAACTTAGTAAACCATGATGCGAGTACAATGAGAATTGATATTGAGCGAGGAAAGATTTGGTTTTAATTATAGCCAGAGCTTTTGGTTTTGCTCTCCCAGTGTTTATGTAAAAATGTACGTGTCACATGTAGTAAATGATGCAGTATTATATATATTATTATTATTATTTTGAATCTCTCCACTGTGGGACTAATAAAGGCTTCTTCTGCACCTTTTCTCACTCGCATTTGACGTAGAAATGTATCATAGCTCTTAAATTATCTTTATTATCTTTATTTTGGAACAATTTGCAGCACTTTGCAAGGCTTTGGCTGATTTTGCTTCTGTTTTTGTTGATCAATTCCACACTGACAATTGTTTTCTGTACCTTTTTAGCTTGTTTTATCCCTTTACTTTTATCTTGTTTTATTGATACACTTATCTGGTGCACACAGGGAACTTCTGCAAATGTATTCCTATGTGCTTTTTACAGCAAATGGCAAAAATAATGTATCTGAATCTGTTTTAAAAGTGCTATATTCATCACTCATTCATTCCTTTGTCGTATTTACAGTGTATAGTCTTTGTATTTAAGTTGTCACGTACACTATTGCTGTGAGAGACGGGTCATAACTAGCAGGTTCACTTTGCAGTCTTACCTGGATTTAATCAATGGCATCTCAAACGTGATGTTTTCCAGCACACTAGTGTTCAACAGCCAAGGTTTCTGGGAGGCGTACGCTACAGGCCCCCTCTTCCTATTAGACAAGAAAAACTATTCATCATTTATATATACATACAGAAATGAGTTCAAACGGCTTAGAACAATTGCTTAAGATGATTTCTGGCCTCTATCTTGTAGGATGACAGCTTATAATGACCTCGACTAGCTATGTGTCGAGTAAACATGGACAAAAGCAATGAAAATGATGCATGATGTAGTATAATGGCTACATAGATAACATGGAAATTAACCCTTGAGATTTATGATGAGGTTTCATACGTTGTCATTTGGCCATTGTTATTTAGATTGGGACATTTTGATACTATTGAGAATGCTCTTTCCAATCTCTGTTTCAAAAGCAACAAGAAAACACCCGTTGAAACCTTTTTGGATCTCTCCTGGATGAATGAAGGATTACAACACTGGTTTTTCATGAGCGTTTCCATAGAGACCACCCCATGTGAAGGACACTACTACATGAAAACATATTTACCCGATTTCTCCATCACCCGCCGCATCCCTGTCGGTGGGACTGCAGATAGAAACAAAAAAAACACATTTGTATTTATTAGATACAGCTCATCCTCGTAACAATTTAGTGAAAACCAAACACACGCACGCTAACCTGACCCACTTTCTTGCCACCAAACCAAACGAGCCCATCAGCTGCCGCTATCTTATCCCTCCTAAAAATAACGCATCCTCTGGTTTAATGCTTCCTACTGTCATTTGCCGAATTACGTCAATACATTCTCACGGGATGTGGCGAGCTATGAGACGACTCCAAATGTGGCCACCGTCTTTCAATTACAGGAAATAGCCTTCTGATAGAGAGATGACCACAGAACTGAACCAGCCTCCCCGACACAACAGGTGCAGAGCGGAGGAAAAACTTGAGTCACTCTAATGTTTAAAGTGGCAATGTGCAAGATTTTCATGTCAAGTCATCATTAAAGGGCCCTAATCTGTCAAAAGGCAACGTGCTCTTTTCAAATACTTCTTTAACTGATAACAGTAGTTCAGGCGAGATATTTGGTTTTCAAAATTAGTTTTACTGCTCCTAAGTCTTGTTATCATTTTCATTTTGATTTCCCGCCCTCCACCGTTTTACCGACCAGAAAGTCTGTGATCCGGGTTGCCAGAACTCACTGCGTCGAGCTAATCTCACTGGTAAAGTAACATGTGGCCGCAGGAATAAAAAAGGTCTCGTTATGATTCTCAAATCATTAATGACAAAACCAGGATTTCTATAATTGTGAAAAAAATGTTGGTTATAGATTTGTTGTTGACAAAACTCTTTATTCAGATATTATGGTCCCAGCTGGATTTGTCTGCATATCTGGCAACCTGAGTCAGGGAGAGTGCAGTACCACTTTTGGCCAGATTTTTACACACTGCTCCTTTAAGATTATATTATGTCGAAAAAAAATCTTAGAATTCTCTATTCAACACTGATTGTAGTAATATAGGCCATAATTTAAACATGTCTGCTTCTCCACATACACAGTAAGTACAATGCTAACCCACTAGCTAAACAAATCATAATTCACTTACTTTTAACAGTAAGTAAAAGTAACTCACACCCTTAAAAATATATGGATCACCGCTCTGATGTTTTTACGTAATTTTTGTTGTTTTAAATCCAGGTATGAGCCCTAACAACTGACCAATCAGTTGCCTTCTGTCCCCAAATTTGACTTTAACTAAAAGGTAGCGCAAGCAGGAACAGCCCAGTGCCCAGTACTGATTGGCTGATTTGGCCAAATTTTGAATCTCTGATCTTTCCTCCACAATAATGCAAAGGCTATGAATGGCGCCAGCCCACAGTTAGTCCACTCCTTCTACAATAAACGCTTCTACCAAGACTTTAAAGACCTGTTTAAGCACATTCCTGATGGATGTGGTCTGCATGTGGTAATATCTCTCCAGGGGCACGAGCTTAAAGAGCCCAGACCTGATGCACGTGACATGAATGCACTACAAGCTGCTCTCCATTGTGGCCGATCTTGTTATATTTTCAGGTATGTTGTTGGCAGCGTCTGTAAATCCAGGCTGCGGTATTTTTAACTTGTGACTTTGGTGCCAGCGTGCATGAGATCTCCTCTCTGAAGACCCGGGCTAAAAATACGGTTCTCACTCACTGCACTTACCTCTCAGCCTCCTCGGATTCAAGGTCTGGGAAACTGTAAAAACAAATGAAAGATACATGTAGGGTATGTTTGGCAAAAGTCCAGACGGATTACATTGGAAAATGTATAGCAAAATACATTTCATATGTCAAAAATACATAGAAAAGTACTTCACATATAGAAAAATACATTATTTCTGAGTTATGAGCTTTTTTCTTTGCATAGTTTATTAATGCATATTTTTGCAGGCTGTATATTCAATCTACAGAGAGAAATAAAGCAATTTCCCTAAAACAGCTCTCTGCTCACAACAATAACAAGGATTAGTTTAAGCAGCCAGTACACAAGGCTTTTATGCAAATTGTAAACAAAATATTTCTTGTTCAAATCAGATTGGATTTCAATTAATTTGTTGTGAAAAATAAATAAATAAATGGGTAACTGTCCTCTGAGCGAATGTTTATGGCTCTCAAATTGTGAAGAAGACTGACCCCCCCAGGACAAATCCATCTTTAAAACTGTTTTAATTAATTGTCTATTCGGTATTTATCGAGAAATTCCATTTCCGTTTCTTTATTCCCATGGATGGATCATATTTATTGTCTACATAATTGGCTACCAGTTAAGTTATGTAGTTTATGTAGTGAGTGCAATAGTTCAGGGTGAATGAGTGTGTGTTGGTGAGTGCGAATGTGGGACAACGGATGCAAAATAGCCATGGTTACAATCCGGAGTGAGGTGTTCATTAACATGTAAGTAAGTAAGTAAGTAAGTAAGTAAGTAAGTAAGTAAGTAAGTAAGTAAGTAAGTAAGTAAGTAAGTAAGTAAGTAAGTAAGTAAGTAAGTAAGTAAGTAAGTAAGTAAGTAAGTAAGTAAGTAAGTAAGTAAGTAAGTAAGTAAGTAAGTAAGTAAGTAAGTAAGTCATCTTCATCTATATACCGCCTTTCACAGACCAGAGTCACAAAGCGGTTTACAATTGTTATTTTTGTTATTGTTATGTACTGTTCCAACCAAATAAACAATAAATAAATATATAATATCAAAAGAAAAAATGCAATCATGAGTGTGATAAGAGTCATAAGAAAAATTATGTTTGTCCCAACTGGAAGAGACACATTAGATTACCTAAACAGACTATAACAGGCTTTCATAGTCTTGTGTTTGTGATAATACATTTATTGACTTGTATATTAGCAGCTAATATAATGCCAAAACAAAATTAAAAGAAACTCAAAATTCAAATTATATTCAGTTACACCTTTTCTTAGCATGCTGTACAATGGTCTCTAGTCGGGAAACACTACACACTTAATAATTAGAGCAAAATAAACAACCCTTAAACCACGTGATTATTAGTTTTGAGACAATGATACTTATTCCACCACATTATTGGATTGCCAAGGAGAAAAGCCTTAGTTAAAGTCACCAATTACATCTAATCCAGTGCAAATCAGTCCTTGAGTAAATTATCTCATCAGGCTGCAGCGCTCAATGGCACTCAAGAGGACGGATGGGTCTGATTGTGCAGTTTCACATCTACTCTGGGACAAACACTCCATTTTTCAACACTAAAACTCAGGTGCAATCATTGCTAATTCCCAAAGGTCATTGGATTTTTAGATTCGAGCCTCTCTCTTCATCATAGACCTGCTATCTCTGTAACCGCCGTCATTATGTCCGGCTAATGAACAAGGGACGCAATGATCCATGTGCGTCCGAGTGACCACGCCTGATAACAGCTAAACACACAAACAAAGTCTCGAGTTTAGGAAGAGCATAGACGGATGCATGACAGGTTTTTGTCATTTCCTAATTTAAGCCAAAAGTGAGTTTAGCCACATTTTTTAAATCAGGAAAGTTTTAAAATGTGGAAAAATGCAGAAATGTATGAGACGGAAATTCCCAATTCAGCAACAAGTTGAGCAGAATTCTCAAAGAAACAAATGTTTTGCTCTACTATTTTTGCTAATCAAAATATATCTTTATGAGTACATTGGATGAGTTTTGGCACGGTTTTTCATGGTTGGTAGATGATGTCACAATTTCCAACAAGAACAAAGAGGAACTATAAATATGGTATAAAAATATGGCCAAACTGGAATAAATGATGTCTTTTGTACGCTCTTTGAAAAACTGCATAGGTCTGAGTTACTATCTAAAAGTACTGTATAGGTAAAGATAAAGTAGCCAGGGACCAGATCGCAACTTCTGCTCTATTCTCATACTGATTTAGCTTAAGAGTACAGTGCTCTGTGACATATGCGCAAGTGGAAACGAACGAGACAAATGTGCTGCTTTTATTCTCTACCCTCAGAACACTGTGTCCTGGTACAACACGCTGTCGTCTCTTGAAAGCTGCAACAAAAGCAGAGAACAGCCTCCAAAGATTAATTATAACATAAAGCAAGTCTGCATTATTCCAGAGCATCAAAGATTAGTGTTAATGGACTAATGTGGAAGATACAGGGCACTATACTGATAACCTGTTTGTTTGTAGAGCCAGCAGAGTGGAATATACTGCGAATAGGTGACTCTAAATAGACCAATTGTGAAGATAAAGCTTCCAAAAATAAACTGGAAGCGTTGGCATTGATTGAAAGGAAATAGGAACATGTGTGGCTGTGGTTTATTAACGAGCGCATTGTTACAATAGGCCATGAATCTATGTTTACATCCTACATCTACGACACTTAAGGACATTTTGTAATTTTTATAGACATTGGTCACATGCTTCCTATGGACCAATGACTCCGATATGTTTGTTATTGTTGCATATTCTTGCTTTTACTGTGGCCGCTGTTGTGTTAGGTAGTCAGGACTATACACAAATAGAATGACTTGATTTGAATTCTCCGATCATAGTGTTTTTGGATCACATGGACGTGGAAATCAAAAGAACTGCAATCACATTTTTTCTATTCTTTGAGTTAAATTGAAAAGGTAAAACGCCTATTTGTAAAAAAATTCAATTCAGTTTATTTTTGTATAGCTCTAAATCACAACAATAGTGTCTCTGGGGACTTTACAAAACCGTTGAATTTGCCAGCACAGATCAGAGAATCAAACAGATCTAAAACACATAGAGCCATTGGTCCATAAGGGGCAGATGACCAATGTCCATAAATGTCAAAAGTAAAGCCATGTTTAAGAAAAAGTATAATGTCATTAAAAGCTGTGATCCATCAGAGTGACGCTCTTAAAAACTGGCATTCTCGGGGTGACAGTCTGGTCTCGTTTGCAGTCAGCAGTTAACTGGAGGCTTCACATAACTGGAGACACGATCCGCCCTTCACTGTGCGTTTATGAATATTTAACACAGATACCAGCTGTCTCTGTCTCTGTGGGGAGAGCTGCTGGCACACACTGAGCTATAATCCAGACAAATATCAGACAAAAACTCTGCTCCACTGGCAGGGGGGCAGACAGAGGCCCCATGTGGAATGGACGTCAAGCACGCAGTTATAATTAGGGATTTTATTGTTATGAATGCAGCATTTCAAAGCACATTCTATATTTTTGTCACAATTCTTTGTAATGAAGATGAAGTGGACGTTCAAACTGAGGTCCTCCATTTTTCTGTGGTCACAAGCTTTCACTCCACACCTCTGCCCAAACAGCGATGTCTATTAGCAGTTAAGGCATGGCAAGCTTATTTGTTTACCACAGTTCATACACAAGGCAACACATTAAAAAAGACACAATCCTTCAGAATCAGAATCAGAATCAGAATCATTTTTATTGCCACGTGAGTAACAAAGTTATCACTTGGAAATTGTCTTGGCAGAGAGCGTGCCACTTCGCCATTTGCGGCGCTGTGTGCAGCAAGAAACAGCAGAGAGCAATAACATACAGTTCACATACAATTGGATAGACACATTGTGCTTTTTATAAACCACGGATTTTTTTCTCGGGATGAGCACCTCCGGCGGCCGGCCCAATGTAGCTGTCAGAGGGGGGCGGGATCAGGGAGGGGGTGAGTAGGAAAACAATAAGGAATGGAGGGGAGGGAGGGAGCAAGATGGATAGGTAGAGGGAGGCGGGGGTGAGGGATCCTTGCTGGAGACTGAAATAGTGTGAGTTGTTGTAGATTGTGGGACCTTGTTTATGGCCTTGGTCAAGGAATGTGAGATAAGAGTGGGGAGAAGACACAGCAGGAGAAACACAAATCGCCTGAGAGGGATAGTATTATATGCAATGTAGCATCAAAAGCAGGCAGATATTCTATTAATTCCAATTAAACCGAATTACGGCGCCCTCAGACCTCCGTACACAGGGGCAAATCCAAGCCGGGTCAGAGAGTTCAAGCCTGACAAACAATGTCATTCAATCTCAATTCCAGAGTTTTATGCCCATCGAGTGAACGAGCTGCGAGATCTTTGATCAACTGTTCCACCAACACCACTCTCCGTTGTCCAGACACGGCACTCTCAACCACGACACGGCTTAGCTCCTTGTACATCCCATCAATTTTGTCGGCCAGCAGGTCGTGAATCTTGCGAACTGCCATGCCACCGAATTTGTGGTAGAACAGGATCGCTCCAAACCCAAACAGGAGGATTCCCACCACCAAAATGACAAAGATATATACGTCTTCCGAATCTTCAATGGACAGGGTCGACAGACAGAGGGGCTGAAACTTGTTCCAGCTGTCAAGAGTATACCCCGCCGGTGAAGTCCCGTCCGGGCACACGGGCTCTCCAGACCCACGCTTACGTGTTGAAAAGATAGAATCAATTGCGTTGAGGGACCAATTAATCATTTCCATTCTGTTAAAGTTGTCTGTGGCAAAACTCCAGGAAAAAAGACAAAAACAGGAGATAGCAAGCCGTTCAGAAGCAGGAGCGGACTAAGACACGTCTTTGCTCGACGGAGGAGGAAGAGAGAAGAGCCCAGCTCTTTAGCCGTACATACAGCTTCTTCAGCTGTATGTACGGCTAAACAAAACTGGTTGTAATCTCGATTTGAACATTATCAGAGTAGAAGCTTGTCTTGCATTTTCAGGAAGACTGTTACAAATTTTAGCTGCATCTAAATCTCCTCATAATCCACCTTAGTTCCTATGGCACTAACATACACAACCGCTCCCAATAAACCTGCATTAAACAGAATCTTTCAGCTCGAGCCATAACCCTCCTCCTCCACATCGCCGCCTCAACATCGTTGGATCGTCAAAGGGTTTTGCCTTCAAGAGAATTTCTTTTAATATTTATCTTAATTCTACTTTCCGGCTAATTTACTGTACCAGCAGAGACCACTCACTTCATGCTAAAGCTACCCAGAAAACATCTTTCTATCACATTGTTTGAGTGTTTCCCAATTTAATCATTGGTTTCATTGCAAGTGAACAATGTCATACTCTATATTTTCAAAATGTGTATTTTGTGTATATCTTGGTTTGTTTTTAAAATGGAAATCATATAATAATAAAGCTTGACTTGAAGTAAATAATTATTTTTTGTTTCCAGCCAGTCTAATGCAAATTCAGGCAGCGTGGCTTAATTTCATACTATCTCATTCTGACGTTGTAATTTTTATAGAAATTCATGCATATTAAAAGCATTGGATCCCTGACATCTCTGTTCCCTTCATAGATCACTGTCGCCGGCAGAAGCATGTAATATAGTCTCACTCTGCAAATGTCTACTTTCATGGTTTGAGAAGCCGATATCCCAGGTTAAATCTTTAAAAGACTCAAAATCTCACGCTATAACATGCAATGAATGCGATATTGGAATGCCATGTTCAGCAGTCAGCAAGAACTAGACTGGATCCAGCTGCATCCATCCAATCAAGCGCTAACCTTAGACCCCACTTAGATCAGACGGTGAACTGGAGCATGTCTCAAAGGCCTCATCCATCATAATGTTTGCTAAAGGATCGAACACAGACACATTGAAATATAATCACAGCAATGGCCGGGTTTAATGGACGAAAACACAGGGAGTAGGGGGCTAACTAATTATACTAACTCATTATAAAAGATAATTATAAGCTTAGTTGCAAAAGCTGAGAAAACATGAGATCACGTAGAGGCCTTTTTACTATGGTACCTGCACAGTAATTGACCATAATTCTAAGTTCATAGTTTAACAACATCAAGAATGGAAGAATAGTGCATGTAAAATTTAAAAAATGCATTTAAAAATAACACATTTGTGGTAAAAAGGGATGTATTCATCCTGGACTCATTAGTATGTATGATATGTCTGCATGATTTGCCATGACCAGAAAACCTCCAGTCCTCAACTTGTCCCAGATATTTGATGTATTGCATCATCGGCCCTCTCTTGCTGTTTGAAGCTCACATTTTAGTACAGAATAATATTTAAAAAAAATACTATGACACTGAGGCATTTTAACTGTTAACGCTACTTTGAATAATTGTCATATTTTATCTCCTAATATTAAGAGACTTTGGATAATTTACACGGTTTGGACTGTATTTGGTCATGTTTTAGATTTCAAGAAATGTTAAATGCCATTTCAGAGGGAAGTGTGAATGTATCCCTCATTTATCAGATCATTTAGATACACACATGAAATGATCAGAGACGGGGACAGACAAATTTCACTTTTAAATCTGACCTGTTCCATGTTATTTGTCCCGACACTCGCTGCATCTCGCCCAGCGCCGCCAGCAGCAGTGAAGACTTCCCACAACCCACCTGGCCCACGATCATGGTCAGTTTACCTGTGAGAAAGAAGAATTGATTCGGGAAATTATTATTTAAACCACAATCTTCTTAGCAAATTCTTAGCAAATTCTTATTTTCATTATCTACACACTTCCTATCTCATAGAGAATATTATAGTATAATTAGATTCCGGTTTCACACCTTTTTCATTTGAATTTATATCTGCATATGAGGACTGAGCCTGGACTGGGCCAATACAAAATGAGTAAGACTGGAAAGACTTTTATCTGCAGCTCACCAAAAGGAATCTTGATGTCTATGCTCGACAGCGTTGGGGGTCCATCTGTCCATGTGAAGTAGCCGCTTATGATCTGGAAAAGCATGCAAGAGTTCACACTTATTCAAGTTCCATTCAGCTTTATTACAGAATCTAGATCCAAGTCTAGAGCCACACCTGAGCTATTGTTTTAAATTATTGACTACAAATACGTATTGTCATTAGGTTTTAATCAAATTAAAGTTCCACTGTTTACACTTGAGAAAAGTAAGACAAGTTTGAGAGTTTGTTTGTTGACCTTTTGATTTCTACATGATTTCACCTGTCATTCTCGTGATGAAAAACCAACAAGGCTTGTCCTCTCGGGTCAACACGGGTCAAACAACACGACTCTGCAGTGTGTGTGAAGCTGCTATTTTTCTGCACCCACCTTGATGCACGTGTTCTGGTCCGTGTCTTGCGAGGGTCCGTCTCCGTCACATTGTCCTGGTGAACCAAAGTTGTTCCAGTCGTCTCGCGGCGGACGCTTCCGGTTCACCACCTTCAGCGGCTGTGAGAAAAACTTAGACTGAGGAGGATTCACAAGGTTACGTCACATCCAAGGGTAGTCACAGGGGCAGGGGGGAGACACGTACGGGTTATAGCACAGTTTAATCAACATGGCATTATGAGTTATTCAATGAAAAATATATATGTGTTTTAGGAAATTCATTTATTAAGTATGAGGAATCTGTACTTCATTTACAGTTGAAATGAAAATCAAAAAACTTTTTACTCTACCCAGAAATGGCAAATCAACAATTTTGTGACGCTTTTAGAGATATGTGCTGTAGTAATTTTGGGCTTTGAGTTTATTTTATATAAAAACTAACTACATTTCAATTAACTGTTTGTTAATTGAAATGTACTTATATGCATACTACTTATATAGAGCTTTTCATGAAATTCAAAGACTTCTACTGTAGCCGCAGCTGCTCTGGCGTAGACTGACGCCAGCAAGGCAACCATACTGTGCCATCGGCCCCTCCGCCCACCACCAATCATTCTCTCACACACCAGATTCTTGGAAATTTGGGAGTAGTATCTTGCCTAAGCACAGTCGCCCCACTGTGGCACCTGGTGTTGTCAAAGGTCTCCCATCACAGAACTAACCATGCTCTGCCCTGCTTAGCCTCTGAGATTTAACAGGATCAGGCTTTCACATCCAGGTGGCGCCACAGGCTAATCCACAAACAGAGCCATTAGTTTAAGTACAATCATCACGTTTAAATACTGATGAAGGAAAACAGTTTATTATACAGTACATCTTATTGAACTCAGACGTCAATTCACTTCTTTCTTCTCTAAATAAATATTTCAATTAAAATCAAACCAAATCTGCGTCTTAGATTGTGCATAAAAGAACATAGTTGTTTGTTGAATTCTCTATCACAGTTGGTTATTGAAATAGTCTGTATTTGAACTCACCAAAGCCTGGTACTTGTTTTGGTTGTGATTGCTGGATGCGGACATCACCGTGGCTCTGGGTTCTTGTTCGTCCCCGATTTCGTCACTCGAGAAAAATTCACTGAGTTTCTGAACACTGTGGAAAGGAGGCGTGTTTTTATTGGATCATTAAAAGCCCTGAAGTAAACAACAACAAGGGGAGCAGAAGTCATTGGGCTTTTCTAATCTAATTTATCTTAATGGGATGCGCTACAACGATAAGTGCTTAATACGGCTGCAGCAACAAACCGATCAATACACAGCAGTTAAATAACAATGGGTTTTTTATATGTTTTTTTTCCTAGAGACTAAAATGTCCAACTATAGACTGTAGATGGAGATGGATGAGTGTGGAATATGAGCTAATTTCTTGAACAGGCTCCGGGAGGGCGGATCTGGTGTCACATTTGTGGGTAGCAACGACCTAGCAACCAAAAAGCTTACTTGATAACTGAATTTTTGGGGCAGGCGGCATCTTATTTGTCAGTTGTTCGATAGATAGATACTTTATTGATCCCCCAATGGAGAAATTCAGGTGCAGCAGAAATAAATACATCCAGAAAAACAAATAAGTTCCAACTATAGACTGTATACTGATATTAGGGGTCATATCTGGATTTGCAAAGATAATAACTACAGTATAGACCAGGATCATACAGAGCGTTAAACCACAGATGTGTAAGCCCAAAATGCAGGGTGAGTGTGATACAAACGGTGACTAAGCTTGAGGAGTTTACTCGAGTCAAGTAAGTCAATGGGAGCTAAAAGCAGTAGCAAACATTCGTCCGTGAGAATTTCCCTAAAAGGCGTCATAGAGCCATAGCACATTTGCATTGTCCAATCCTATAGTATATGCAATGGACTAACATGTGCTTCCAACATGATTGACTGAAAAAGTAAAACTACACAACCAGAAAACCCCCTTTAATATTAAAAAAAATGTAATATTAAAATAATATCACCTAAAACAAATAACTCACATATGTTGACAATTAATCACAGTCTTTCTACCATCCAACCCCACTCATCTACCCACCAAAATTCAGCTTAATCCATCCAGTTCTTTTGTTGTTGTTGTTGTCTCTTGAGCACACTGGGTATTGTTGCATAAATATTCTAACGTGGTTTTTTACGGCAAATGTTATTACAGTAACTACACACACGGTAACGAATGGGAGCGACAGTGGCTCAGTTGGTAGAGCATTGGCCTTAAAGCCTGAAGGTTGTGGATTCGAGCCCACCACAAGACCTACTTCACAACTCCCACTGATGTCTGCTGTCGTTGTGTCCTTGGGCAAGACACTTAACCCCACTTTGCCCAAAGCCCCAACTGAAAGATCTCAGCTCCTGTGGACTCACCACCTGCAGGAGGATCAGTGAGGGGCTGGTGCTCTGTGTACTGGGTGCAGCTCTGACTGCCACCCCCCGACCCAGAAATGGATTAAGGGGAAGAAAATGGATGGATGTATGGATGGATGGACGTAACGATTACAATACCCTTTATTATTGCCTACTGACAAATCACAGACATGTTTCGACTGTAGATTCTGCTTTTTTTACACTTTTGTCTGAAATAGAAAAAGCTTTTTAACCTCAAACATAAATAATACACAATTCACTTTTTTACATTTGATTACAGTATCGCCCATGTTGGCGGGAAATAAATACAAAAGTAAGACTGCAGATTTGTGACTAAAGAAATCAATTTTTCATTTTTGTTCAAAGGTTAATACTGAGTGCATGATTTATGTAGCTACTTGCTAAATGTCAAAGCTGGAGTTGGTGTTATTTACCAAAAGAAAGTTAGTGATTCATTTCCTGCCAAATCTGGAACTAACTTCAAATTTTTCTCGAGCAAATCCAATTTCTCATGATTTAGCGTCATTAGCAGACAGCATGATTCAGCATGTTATCAGCTAATGGATGTCATAAACCACAGCTCTCGAGGAATACAAGTATAAAATGGTACATGTGACAGACAAATGGACCACAGAGGCAGATGCAGAGTCAGTAATGTTCATGGCAGAGGGGAATAAACCGGTTTATAGGCCACACATGAACGCTCACATTCAGGGGTTGTCACAAATTCAATAATGAGCAGATTCTGACATAGCCTGGTCCCATTCACAGGCTGTTTGCATATTTATAAAACTGCAACCTCTTTGAAATAGCGGCATTTACTGGAGCATCAGATCTCGAAATCCAAAATAGCAAACACGAAGCAGAACTAGCACCTTCGATGGCTAAAAATAGGGCAGTAAAAATACATAATACACAATTGGCTTTCTTTCCCTAAGCCTCAAAAGTCTTTCCTCAGATACATTTAAAGGTGACATACAATCACAAAAGGCACAGTTTACCAAGACAGAAAGGTTTTATAATGATTCAGGTTTTGGAGCAATTATTCTCATGCATTCGAGGTGTCATTGCTTTCTTGAGGGCTGCTTTCACCGCCATCACATTTCAAAGTCATCGGTATAAAAAGTTCTCTTCCCCCGCGATACAGGAATGATTCAGCACTAGGTTCATGCAGTTTGCAACAATGGAAAATGAATGACTGCTTTTGTGATCTGCTGGTGGCACTTAGATTAGACTAACTGTCATGCACACAGCATCATATATGTAGACTCGGAATAAGCCAAGACTTGGAATATATTTATTTTACAAACTATTTTACGCAAGGCCAAAATGAATATATGTCAGCCAGGGGACTCACTGTCAAACTAATGTTAGTCCTGGTTTCTTAGGCTGCATTTTCATGTCGTAGAATCCATTGACTTCTGAGGTAACAGTGAGTTTGAAGCTCAACTTTTAGAGTTTTAGCTCAACCATACCTTTTAGTATGGTATAGTAGAGTAATTCATTTTGTTTATGGATGTATGTATGTACACCAAAAGACAAAAAAATATACAGACTCTGAAAATGGGTTGGACAAAGCATGATTTTGCATCAGACAATCTTTTTAATACGTATTTATTTTATGGTAGTATTTTGATCAATGGTTTACTTGACCTTAAGAGAGTGAAATTAACTTTGAGATATTGTCCTTTGATTTTTTAGAAAATAAATCATGACATCTCTCTATATACTGGTGAATTTAACTCCAAATTGCAATCGAGACAAAAGAGTTACTAGAATCTCACTAGAGTAAAACCAACAGCTTTAGAATCAGCCACTTATGAAAGGTCGAGTGTGATTCGAGCCTCCTTCAGTGGAACAACATTTCCACTCTCGTTATGGGGCTGAAAAAATCCCCTTATTTGTTGTTGTGGGCAGCGGATGATTGAACTCACCTCACCAGAGCCTTGACAGTGGAGCGCACCACGGTGGAGAGCAGAAAGAGGGGGGTCACCAGGATGTGGAAGAGGGACAGAGAGGCAAAGGCCACAGCTGGGGACAGATCTGCGTCCTCTGAGATGTGCACATGGACCACGAACGTCTGCGGAGCCACAGGGGGATTATTGTACGCTGTAGTTTACTGTACGAGCTCAATGTTATTCTCCACAGCATCACACTTTCCATGTACAGTATATTCTTTGCGTGAAATCTTTGTGACGCAGTGGAAATGTACTATGTCTGTGTTTTTATAGTGCCCCTAAATATTCTGTGTTTTACTGCATTTTGTAATGACCTTTTAATGTTGTTATCTTCAGGGAGACTGTCTACACTGGTCCAAGGACATCAGATGAAAAATACTGTAACCTTCATGGCTAGTTCTGGTGTATTTACAGACATTTGAATGCACAATGTCCTTGTGAGTAAACTAATGAAATAAAATAGTAAGGAAGCTTCCTATATCATGTTGTGATGTATTCAGTTTCAATTGTAGTTTGAAGCTGGGGAATGGCTGTAGTGAACAGATGAAATATATCTTCTGAAACACATCTCACATGTTCTTATCTGTCATACAGCCTTGACGCCACAGCTTGGGAACCTTTCAAACCACAAACAACTACAGTCATGAAATCCATGTGAAATCCTCGTCACATCTTCAGATCAGATTCTTCAGACTGAAAAGTGCTCTCAGCCCAAAGTGTGAAATTGTTAATTAATTGACCTGAATTCAACCCGGAAAGTCCTACTGAGATTTCAGAATGTCTTTTTCCCCAGAGAGACTGAAACTAACATGGTTTAATCATTGTGGAAACTGGAACCGCCAAAAGAAACCTACGCAGACATTGGGAAAGAACATGCAAACTTCAAATACCCTTTTAAAATCAGGATTCAAACCCAGAACCATCTTGCTTCTTGCCTACCCAACCATGCTGTCAGTGCCTCTCATTCTGATTTGTTCACAAGAAATTTTACTTTTTCTCATTTGTTGGGACGAAAAACATAGATCATTTATGAATGTTTGTCAATGAGCACAACCAAACAGCATCCAAAAATAATCTAATCTGCAAACATAGATTACAACAATGTGGAGTCGACTCATTTTTTCCCTTTATGGAAAAATATAATCTAAAAATTCAAAGAGCAAAAAGCAAAAACAGAACTACTACGAAAGCCGTTTTGTCTCCGCGCTGATGCTTGTAAACATTGTACACATAGATTTTTATACAACTCAATTTATCACACACAGACCTGATAAATAGTTCATTTGGACATAAATCAGTGAACGCACATATCGCATCCGCCAACAGCATCGGGGCATGTTTTATTGGCCACACACAAATTCATTCTCTTCACCCATAAAACATTTGCATAAAACTTGAATATTTTTAGATTATATTTATTGCTGTTGTCAACATTCGAGAGATATACTTACAGTTAGCACGGCAGCGATGGGAATGGCCGCATTCATAAAAACTGTGGAAGAAAAATAGAAACAAGCCATTTAATATCATTTCTTGGCTTCATCTTTAAAAACAGAATTACACAGAGTTAAAGAAAAAGAGTTTTAGATTAAGAGATCCTTTTTAACCAGTATGAGTAGTCACAAAGTAAAAGACTGATTTTTTATTTGATCAGTTGGACTACAAAGTATATTCAAGAAATGTCATTCTCTGCCCATTTGTTCCCAATTTTTCTTAACAAAGCCCAATTAAACTGTTAAGATTTAAATATTTTTCATGTTTGCTGTTTCTATCCTGGTTGGACATGAGCAGCAGTGACTCAAAGCTTGTCTAATATTTTACCAATGAAGGTAAATATACAGCTTTACCTGTTTTTGTATGTTTAAATAGACATGTTTACAGATACGTATGTCTCCTTTCTATCGTCATTATCATTTAGACAAAAGCATTAAATTCTGCCTCATAATCCTAACTCCCTACACCATAAGAGAGGCTCCCATGATGCTGCTGTGGTGTGGGCTCTTACTGGAGATGGAGGTGTAGAGAGCAAAGGCCTTCAGGCTGGTTAGCTCCTTCTCTCGGGTCTCCTCCACGCTGTCACAGAAGATTCGTTCCCAGGCGTACAACTTCAACAACTTTATCCCTCTCAGAAGTTCATTTGTTTTCTTTAGACGTTCACTGGAATATTCCTACAGACGCAAAAAAGTAGAAATAATGTATAAGTCCTTTCTGTAAGTATTGAAATTAACAAGAATAAGGATGAGATCTATTAGTATCGTTCCGCATTGCCTTATATTAGTTATTCGTATTGGTATATATAAATTGGGTAATATTTGAACCAGATATTTTATTAATCCAAGAAACACAATTGCAAAAAATAGGGTGATTTTTTTTGAGGTAAACAAAATATAATGTGTTGTGCAAATAAAGGCCAAATGATATTTTCAATTCATAATAAAATAAAAAATATGTGTTTTGTTTTGCAAAAATAATACATCCATATATACTCACAATATTGTAACACATAGTTTGATGGTCTCATATTTAATTTAGTCTATTTGAATAAAATCAGCATATGAAAAGGTTTTGTGGCCATTGAACAGGTGTTGAAAAGTGTTCACAAAAGGCTATGAATACCACATTTATATCTTAAAAGTAATTCATCTCTGTGTTCTTATGCCATACAAAAACAGTCACTTAGAAGAGGTTCCCTGCTTCCATGATTAGCATAACATTATATAACCATCATCATCACAGAGCAACATGGACCACATCCAAGAATGCACTTCCAATTCACAGACAGTGTTTTGTGGTGAAGGATCTGGACTGAGAAAAACTTTTTGTCATAATTTGATTTCCTGTTTCATTATAAAAACCGGGTCGGCCGCCGTTTGTCCTCTGTCTGTGATCTCTGAAAGTTCGCTGCATCCAAATCCAGGTAAATGTTTGACTAAGATCAAGCCCAGTGAAATCCTTTGGTACCTATGAAAGTGAATTGAACCAAGGCTGTGTAGTCTGTGTTCTCACCAGGGTGCTCTTTTGTGTTTGAGACAGTTTAGTGGCCACAAAGTACTGCACAGGGGCCAACACAGCGATGACAGTGGCTCCAATCAAGGCACTGATTCCCAGGAGGTAGTAGAGCAAGAACACTCCCACCATGATCTGGGAAAGATAGAGGAGAGAGAAGCAAGCAAGAGTATTAAAAAGGAAAAAAAAAACGAGAAAGCCATTTATAAACGAAACCAGCTAAAGGCACAAGCGAGTTGGATCCCTTACAATTACATCTGCCCTTGAGACTGAAGTCCTTGAGAAAAACTGCAGTGTTTCTGTGAGGATGAGTGAACACCTGAGAGGAGGTATCCGCAAGCTTTCTGGAAGAGTCTTTGCCTTATTATCTGTGTGTTTTTATACCCAACTGAACAGTCTTTTCCCACAGACCACTCTTGTTTCAACATACATGAGGGGTACAATTTAGGATATCCGACTACGGAATCACGCTTTGGGGCTGGCAAAGCTTAAAACAACAATAACAGTAAGATACATTAAAAAAAATTTGACAGAAATTCTGACGAAGGCGGAAGTATACAGCCAAAAAATAAGTATTAATTTATTATTATTATTTTTTTATTAATTCATTTCTTGACAGGGACATTGCAATTCAACATACGCTTGTAACTGATGTGATGCAAAGAGAGTTTATAGCTATTTCTATTTTTCAACTCTACACTACTTTCAACTATCAACTTTTTCAATATTTTCTTTAAAAACTTTAAAAACCTATCTACACTGTTTAAATCATTTACACACACAAACTCCGTGCTGTTTACCAATTTAGAAATGGTTACAATTCTGTTTTTGATTTCAGCCAGGACTTAAATCGAGAAGTGAACATTTTAAACTCAGTCATGGCTTTAAATTCAGTGGGTAATAAGTTCCACGACTTTGCACTTCTTTATGTAAATGCAGACCGTTATTATTATAGATCCATGATGCAGACTGACCAAATGAAGTCTTGAATAATGCATAGGTTTTATATAGCGCTTTTTTGGTTGCTTCACATGTCATTATTCTTTCACTCCATGTGGTGATAAACTACACTGTAATAAGTGAATCAGACCAAACTTTGATATAAAATATTTTAAGTAATTACTATATACTTCATTTTCCACTATTCTATATTTTGGGTTAACAAATAAGTACTGTCTAATATTATCATAGCACCCTGTACAATACTGATTTTATTGCTTTAAGTGAAAATACTTTAAATATTTCTTCTATAAGCCTGGTGGTCCATTAATGACAAAACAAATATATTGTGTTATACAAAATGTGGCGAAGCAGTGATGCTACCCAGAATGCATTGCAGAGCAAAATATAAACTTCTTAAAATTCTACATTTGACCATTCATTTTAAGAATGAATATGAAGCAAGTCCTAAAGCAAAATACTTGAGCAACATTTTGAATGAACTAAGTTGATCAAATAAGTCATTGTATTTATTTTTACCAACCGTGATCGACAGGGTCAAGCCAAACTACCCCTATACGCCCTGGGTTCAAATCAGACACCAGATACTGCAAAACGGTCATGGTGCTTGCTTAAAAACAAGTCCTAAACGGGTTGCAGGCACATTTACTCCCCAGCATGTGAGTTACAGAGTTCAAAAGCACACAATGTAAGGATTACAAAAACTAACAAACTTTCTCCAGGTGGAAGAAAGTTTCATTTTGAATGAATACAAAAATATTGAGTGTATTGATCATCTCCAAGTTAGTTTTGCTTTGAAAGGACACACACATTTTAAGTAAATCCATCACTTCAAAGTAATAGTTTTGCTTTCTGTCAAATTGAATTTAATATTCTTTATTACTTAATAAAGAGCTAAAGTTGATAGTACTCAAAAAGACCGATGGAACCTCTTACAGAATTTTTTTGTTTCTGATTGTATCTTGCCTGAGGACACAACAGCAGTTTAGCACTTTACAGTACTAGCTTCTTTACATTTGTTGTCTTATTAAAAGAACCTTCAAAGCCTTAGATTCAGAAATGCAATGAAACTATTAAATTGTATATTAGATACAAAGTGACCGTATGTATCATGAAAGCATAAACAAGAGCAGCCTGCACATACATGTCTGATAATAGGTTGGCTATTTCTTATCCTCTGAACTTAAACAGATCAGCTGGTGTCAGTTCTGTCGGTGGATACAAGACTATCCAACATTCTAACCCATAGGTGTCGAAGTCGAGGCCCCGGGGCCAGATCCCGCTCGTGAGACCATTTCCAGTGGCCCTTGAGATGATTTTTAATTATTATATTAAATAGCAGTATTGATGGTAATAGGCAACAATGGCATGTTATCCATTACTAATTTTCTCAAGAAAACCACCATAAAATTGTATTCCATAAGAAATGTTAAGCCAACATGTAAATAATAGTTAGTATTATTATGTTATGTTTTTTTTGAGCCTTCAATTACATTTCTTCTTAAAGGTATAAAGGAGGATTTCGTATCACCAGAATGATTGACAGTTGGGAGGACCAATAGTCTTGATGATCCACCCGGAAGTAGAAAATCCTCCTATATACCTTCAATATTTGGTCCAGTTTTGGTTCAGTCCACAGGAACTGAACTAATTCTAATCAGAAAAGAAGATCCAATCTAACTAATGTGAAACAAGTCATTTAAATAGATACCTTCATATTACAAAAATGTATAATAAATGAAACCCACTTATTCTTTCGGCCCCTGACCAGCCCTTTCATTTTTTATTCGGCCCTCAACCAAAATAAGTTTGACACCCCGTCTAACCCATCGTTGCTCTTACACAGTGTGTATGAATCGGGCTCCAACATGTCAGTTATCCGATGCTCCCTCACCCCTCGTCCACCAGTGACTCAGGGGAAACCTAATTAAGATTCCCTTCACAGTGTGGTTCATTACAGATTAATGGAGCGATCAGTCCTAGTTCTGTGCTTTTCTGCCTCCTGCCAAGTCTGAAGTCATTCTTTTTCTCATCACATCCAGAAATCCCCTCAGCGCTCAAACACAGGAGATGAATGAATGAATGAGTGAATCTTTCTTCAGTCATCTGCTCGTCGATCGTTGCCATGGGCGATGTCTGCAGTGACCTTTAGCCTCAAGATCCTGGAGTTAGGTCGCTGACACGCTTTTGCGATAGTTGAGTTTGTTTGGGTGTAGACGCTGAGAGGAGCCAGCTGAGGAGACTCCCGGGGAAGACCCAGGACCCAGGCTTTAGAATGCCTCGAGAACACATAAGTTATTCAATTCTATGATTGAAAAAATAGATGAGATACAATAAACTACTGAATAAAAATGTAAATGGTTTTGAAGAAGTCTTAGATCCATTTACCCATTTTACCCTTTAATGCAGTGTTCCCCAACTTTTTTGAGGTGTGGCACACCTTTTCCAGTTAAAGAAATTATGTGGCACAAAGCCTGCTGAAAATGTCGCAAAAATGAAACTTCACAACCTAATTGAAAATGCAAAGTCATTATGATCAAGTGTATTAAACAACCAAACATGCACAGAGAAAAAAAAAACTATTTTCTATCCTCTCACATAATTTTCTCTTGTTATTAAAAAATATATTAAAAAAATTAGGTAATATCGGATGATTTCCAAAGGCACACCAGACAAAATCTCAAGGCACACTAACGTGCCGTGGCACACAGGTTGAAAATCACGGCTTTAATGGATTCCTCAACCATTTGGTAGATCACTTCTTGAGTCACTATAGGAACTGAAATATACCTCCTTGGTTTTAGGCACTTTTACCGTCAACCTGCATCTCAATTTGGTAAAGGCCAATAATTAAAAAAGTTCCATTCATTTTAGCGTTTATAGTCACTTTTCTGCTCATGTCTCATTCTGAAATCTTATCTTGCAGCTATCCATCACTCCTGAGCAAAAATACCTTCTCTCTTTCTCTCAGCGTGTCTCTGCTCATGCAATTTTTAACAGGGGTCACTTGGACTTCGTGGGCTCTTAGGCAGCCGCCCCCTCCAGCTGACACTTTTGGGTGATGATTATTAAACTTTAAAATGCTGCAATTACCTCCCTGGAAAACTGGCCGGGTTGAACAAAAGCGGCAAATGGTTTCTGCTTGTGTGGGGGCAGGCAGACGCACTCTGCACAATCAAGTGTAATTATGAGAGAGAGCTTATACTAAGTGGAGAGATATGGACTGGGTATAGCTTTAAGTCTGATATTATGTATACTACAGCTATACCAATGATCCATATTGCAGCGCTATTTCAACATACAGTACGTATCTATTCTTTCATAACTTAGACTTAGACAGACTTTATTGATCCACAAGAGGGAAATTGCTTGTGCAGTTTTTCACAGTAAAAATAACATTAATGTAATAATCTGAAAATAAGAATAATAATAGGATAATATTGTGAGAATAAAAAAAGTCACACAAGTCAGGTGACACACAAGCTTGACATTTAAGAATAGGTTTTATATGGTTTATCATGCTTAAATATGGGAAAATTGATCTAAAACTATACTTTTGCAGTAGTTTAATTTATCTCCCATTTATGTTTTCAACCATAGAATAGAATAACTTTATTGCCCAGAGAAAAATTCATCTTTGGCTCACATCACATAAAAACGAAACTAACAGTGAAGAAAGACATTCAAGAGTAAAAAGCAGCCCTCGTAAAATACAATAAAAAATAAGACGTAAAGTGCTGAATGCATGAATCTTTGTGGCTCGTGTAGAGTTTGGCACAACGACAGCAGATGGGAGCATTAATAAAACATATATACATAGATGGTTGATAATCGCATGGACAGAGTAGTCAGGGAAAGATAAAAATATCCTTTAATACTTTTATACTATCAAATTATACACTTTTCAGCATTGACGAAAGATGATTTTGCATAATATGTCCCCTGTGGTCAGGATAAATCCCCTGTAATCCTGTCCTTATCTTCCCCTCTGCTTTGTTCTGTTTTATTGGTGGAGTTTTGCCATTTTGAATTTCTACGCCATGTGTTTTAGAGAGATATGTCCTATAACACAGCAGCAACATTTTTCTTTTCCATTGCTTATAACACAGACCTACTTTTTTAACATTTCAATATATTCCTATTCGGCATGTATGAGATTGCTTTGCTCAAAATCCTGTCTCTTTGTTTCATGCTGACTCATTCAATACGCTGTTCTTTTTACTGACAATATCTGCCTGTTTTGAAATGGTTTCTCCAGCTCTGAAAGTATAAACTCGTTCCGAAAATCCCCAACAGAAGCCACCAGCCCCAAAATGACTAATACTGCAGAGACAAACATGTATAATGAAGTAATAATGAAGTATGAAATGCACACACATAAATTATGCAAATTGCAAATGGGAATATATATGAAATTCAGCACATATTATTAGCATGTGCTGCTTAATACGAGCCTTATTTCATATTCGCCTTCTCCATGGGGACGGCCGTTACAGCTGCATTATGGCCAAGGAACTCAAATTTGCACATTACATCACAATGACATCATAAAAGTAATTGCTGCATACATTCAGAACAATGTTTGATTCTCCCCACGGCTGTGCTACTTTGTGACTGAGGCAATGCACTGAATAGATTTAGCTCAGAGGAAACACAGGCGACTGCAATTGAGAGAGACTGTAGCAACATCTATAGGTGGGACTTTTATTGTATTGATAATGACATTTGGGATATTACATGTAAAAGCCTGGACCAACGTTTGCCTTTCCACACATTCATTCACTTATTGCGTGGTTAGCCATCGTCCGATCGTCACAATTACCCTTAACTTGAATGGATATTGGCTATTTTTTTCACTATAGACGACGACACACAGACGACACACTAACAACATAAAACCGTACAAGTTCCATTTACTAGTTCTCATTTAGATCAAAACCAATTGATGCAACCAATAGAAACCAAGAGAAGTACTTGCATTATACCATAATGCTTTGCAAGGTCACATTCACACAATCAAAAACCGTCAAATAGAAGAACTTGGTATTAGCTTAAAGCCAAAGCTTAAACATATCTTTCATCTTATTTGTTGATTTTGAAAAGGCAATAGAAAAAAAAAGTTCCCATATTCCGTACGTCCAGTAATGTTACACTGATGTGCAGTTCTGTAAACGACCAGCAGATGGCGAGAATTTCTATTGTTTTAGCACATTGATAACACTGGTTCTGGTGGAATAAAGCGCTCCTGTGATTCATGAAGTTTCATACTCAGCCTCAGATAGAGTTTCTTTCTCAGATTTCTCTCTATTTATTTATGTAACTTATCAACAGTCAAACCATGTAATGACGGTAAATTCAAGCAATACCTTCCCAGATTTCCTATAGGGACACACACTTCTACAACTCCCTCTGCAGATTTACCACAGCTGTCCATTTTACTCCATACCGATTCTATGGGCACAACCCCCCACTCCCCAGGCCGAAAAGCTTTATGGGTAATGTACAAGTAGCGAATATATATAAAACTCATGCTTCAGGTACATTTTGTCAAAGAAAAAGGCAGTGTTCCCTTGGCCTTTTACTTGTGTTATTTCACTTCTGTAATTCTGACACGTCTTACCTGAAATGGCATGGCCCACAGGTTTGGACACAGAAAGAAGAACCACATGAGCTGGTTGGTATCCACGGCGACCAGGTTGCAGATCTGCGCCACTGTGAGCTCGCCCATGGACATGTTGGAGGTGCACAGACGCATTATCTTGTTGTAGATTTTCGTCTGGGGGAAAATGACACACGTAAGTTGTATTGAGTGGATTGACCTTTCGAACAGAGGTTTATAATGTACCTGAAAGGCCCCTCGCAGGTTAATCCCAGTCTCCATAGCCCATACACTAGCTCTCTTTTAGATCAAAACCAATCATTGCAAAACCCATGGAACCACCAAGATAAGTATAGGCTTCTTCTCTGACAATGTTGAAATCCAGGTTAAAAACAGTTCTGCATAGCTGTGCATACAACTGAGGGATTTTTATATTAACTCTTTTTAATGCATTGTAATTATTTATTTTAATGCCCTTTGTAACTTTTTCTAAGTTGTTTTGTTAAGCACTTTTAGTTGACTTGTGTATGAATTGTGTTATTCAAATAAACTTGCCTTGCCTTGCATAATAGGAAAATGGCAAGGTCACATACACACAATCAAAAACCGTTATAGAAGAATTTGGTATTAACCAAAGCTTAAAAAGATCTTCCATATTTGTTGATGATTTGAAAATTCAATCAGATAAAAAGCTCTCATATTCCTTGCGCTCAGTAACAGTACAATGGGGTGCAGTTCTTCCAACGACCAGCAGATGGCGAACATTTCTATTGGGTGTTGAGGTTTCTGAAGCCTAGTGTATACTTGCGCGGCGCTGCTTACGTTAGCGGTTGCGGTGGACCTCCGCAAGCACAATTTAATTTATACTCCTTGCGGAGTTTTGAGGAGAATGTTGTAATCGCACAACCAACCACACGGTCACCAAAACGGTCTCATTTACGCTGCTATTTTCTCCTCTTCAGAACAAAAACATGAACAAAAACAAAGCTGTTTGAGATCATTACATGTGTTTCTACTGTAGGTTTATGTGATAGTTCTATGGACTCATTAATTATTAACTCATTTAACTGTGATTTTGTGAATAAAGACACAGTTCTTGCTGGAAACATAGTTATTATTAAATTGTATTCATCACAAACAGCATACAAAAAGTGGTAAATATCTGAGGCAAACATGAACAATTTATAAGTGCAGGAGGAATGGAACAGACGCGATAAGCTACGATTCAAACAAAGACATTAACAGTGCAAAAGGAAACGACTGCACAGTTTATAAGTTATATATATGTTAGATATGCAACAGAGCTCTAGTCCACAGTCTCCGCGTATATCAGGCTCTGCCATGAGCCCAAACTACTTTTCCTTTGGTTTTTTCGAAGCGTGAAGCTCCCTGCTCCATAGTGCCTCGTCCATGCTCCTGCAGCCGCTCCGTGCTTCCTTCCAATACACACACAGGGACCAATCACAGCGGCGCTTCCTTGCGGCGACCCTTACGTAGTTGGAAAATGTCGATGCTGCGCGGCAGGCAACGTAAGGGCCTTGCAGTGACCAACGCGTTGCGCAAGTGACGTCACATCACCTCCGTAAGCTCCACGCCGCGCGAGTATACACTAGGCTTTACTCAGCATCAGTATGATTTTTTGGACAAAGGTTTATAACGTACCTGAAATGCCCCTCGCAGGTTTATCCCAGTCTCTATGGCCACATAATACGAGGCTTGAAGAAATGTTCTCTGGAGAAGCAGGGCAAAGAAGAGCAGCACAGCCAACACGTACGCATTCTCCAGAAACTCTTTAGAGGAGATGAAATAAATCCCCAGCAGCTTCCTCTGAAAGAAGAAAGTGATAAGTCCACTCGTTTTACATTGTCAGTTTGAAGGGCGGATGTTCAGAAATACTCTAAAGGATTTCATTTCAACTATGCCAAGGTGCCAAGGTGACATATTAGCAATTTTGCCTCATAGTAAATAAAGGACAAAAGCAGTTATTGTGTGCTGCTATAACTCCTAAGTCAAGCCACATATAAAACAGTACGACGCCATATTGCAAATGTTCTGATGTGAATTATACCAACTAGATCTGAGTGTGTGTGTGTGTGTGTGTGCGTGTGTTTGCATATGAAAATCTGTATTGTATGACTGTGTATGTGTGCTATAAATGTATGTATGAGATGCACACCATTGTATGCATGTGTAGTACGTATGTTATTATCAGATGTATTTAATTTCATTTTTGTGTCCAATCATAATCTACTATATGTTCATTTGAGTGTCGTATCACCTTTATCTGTTCTCACCAGTCTTTTTTTCATCTATTTCATTTCATTTTTTCTTTCAGGTTCATACATGATTCAGTTGTTGATACATACATAGATTTTCCTCTTTACCCCTATAGAGATCTGAAATGGAGCGGGAAGTAGTAAGACTTATGAACTCCCACCCTATTTACGTACATATACATTCACGTCGGCTGCCTGGTTAGTAACACAACTATATCAACAAAAACAATTATAAATGATGTCTAATGTCTAATAATGTCTGTTTTTGCAATGTTGGACCCAATTCCTAAGCTATACCTTGATTTCTAGCATTCATAAGCTTCGCATTGCTACAAATATTGCACACAAAGAATTAGTATCTGTTGTTGTGAATACAATGAAAATGAAATTGATCATGTGTGACTCAGACTCAGACTGAGACCAAAAGACTGTTGGTTATCGGTATGAGTCAGTGGGCATGCTGGAACATTTTTCTTGATTATAAATACAAAGTGCCACCATACTTTGTACGTTAATCTTTCATACGTGCCAAAAGGCTTATGCCATTATGAAGTGCAAGAACTTTTAAGCATAGCAGAAAACACTTCTCTTCTCGTTCACCCACTGATAGCTTCTGTAATGATTTATCGCTACACCTGTACGCGCCCACTTTTTCTTGATGAATGGTTTTTCATAAAGTGTGATACGTAAATGAACAGCGCTGTCCAAGCACTTCGGCTCAATGGAGGAAAACAACATTTCACGAAAGCCCAAAGGCATCTTCAGCTGTGGAGAGTGTGATCATGGTTCCCATTTTAATATTATTATTTTTTGTCGAGCCTTACACAGCTTTTCAATTTCACCTGTGAATAATTCTACATCGGCAGCACAATGATTCAAGATTCAAGAATTTGTTTGCCCTTTGCAGTAAAACCACATTGGAAAAAAACAGCAAGACAACCCCAGTGTGCACCAGAAACAGAAAGTGCTCTAAAACACAGGTTGCCGCAATAAATAAATATTCTCACTAAGAAGATGAAATACCCAATAGCCAAACACTACGCAACTGCTGGGCATACTGACATTCATAACTTAAAAACCAGAGTCATCCAACACAACCTCACGAAAAAAACAGTCTTTAAATGCACCACACCAATCTCCCTCCTCTTGAATGAGGGAAGAGATTTCTCCCCTTTTTCTCTGACGGCTACAGGTTGAGTTCATTGTTCTGTCTGGGGCCTCGGTTTTTTTTCACACATATTTTGCTCACTGTTATTTTTTACTGTGTGTTTTTATATAATGTTCTGTCAGTCAGGTATACATCTCCATTCCCTTCCAGTCCGTGTAACATGTATTTGTAGATATGTAAGATACTTTTACCTTTGATTATTTAGTTATGACATACCTTGGTCATGTGGGACTGGACACATGGCCTCATCACTGCACATATTTGCACAGCACTGCTTGAGCTGCTGTTTAAATTAGTTTTTAACACAGTTTTTAAATCGTAATGCATTCAAAATTAGGCTTTTTAACTACTCCTTGCTGTTGTTCCTCAGATGATTCCCTGTCTCTGCAATTCATTTAAATAGTCAGCATTCTGTGGTCCTGAATTTCAAGTTAGCATTAAGTAAAAATCCAAATGAAAAAAAGTACAGAAAGACCAGATCCAATGCGTTTGTTTTGGAACGATATTGAGATTTACATCGTTTAAATAAATATGTATTATTCCACAGCAGCCATACATAATTTCTATACAACAGACTAAAGCACTGTCATTGTAAAACTCCATTGTATTGGCATTCAGCCATTGCAACTCGATAAGGGTCTTCCTGAAAATTTAATTAATTGCAAAACAGGTAGCTCATTTTCTCAACTCTCCTAGAAGAATGAGAAATTATTGATTAGAGACGCAGCCGTCCATATTAAACCAACCATGAAATTCTGCTGCTCACTTTTAGTTCGTTTTTCTATCAGCTCTGAGACACGGCATCGCATTTCTAATTAGTGCCTGACAATTCCAATAATTACCTTAAACCCGACTTTACTTTAGTTTAAACTGTCATAAAGAGCTCGGCGTGCAGGTGTGAGGGGCTGCAGAGGCTGTCAGACGTCTGGCTGTCTGCAGACTGATGGACCTGAGACACTGGAGACAAGCAATAAGTCGGATAAATGTTTGATGAGGCTTGAATTAGAAAATCAAATACAGCTTTGCTCCGTCATCGTCTAAAGGTGAGAGGAGTTGGTGAGTCACTGAACTGTCAATATGAATTAACATCATGATTTGTAATAATTGTCAGCCTTTTTCAATAATCTACACTCATTATAGATTAAGATTAAGAGATCCTTTATTCATCCCACAGTGGGGAAATTTCAATAGACATATAGAACAACAGGGGAAAATTAGGCTATCGTTTAAAAGTTCATTTACTTAAGCAATTCTAATTTTATTTACTGCATGCAAAGCGAGATAAACCCCCCAATAAAACACCTCTGAAAATTATTCATTCATTTTCATCCCTTTATTATCCATTTCTGGGTCAGGGGGGTGGCAATCAGAACGGCCACCCAATTCATAATGCACCAGTCCCTTGCTGATCCTCCTGCAAGTGGTGGGTCCACAGGATTCAGAAAATTAAAACATTGAAATTACAATTTTCTCTGGAAATTTTTGACCGTTTGAATGTCCTACTGCTGCTTCACATCAGCTTTACCTGAAATTAAATCTCATTGTGTGTTTAAATACAATGTTGTCTCAGTCAGTAATCCATCTCCATTCACTACCAGTCTTTGCAACAACTATCTCATTCTTAAAAAGTAATAGTCATATCATCCTATATCGCCTAAAGGATCCATTTATTTTTTCAGTCATATTTTTGTTACCAAACCATATGTATTGGATAAGTAATGACGTTTTCTACTGGAGAGCAAGCCTCAGGGAAAGTGGGAAAATGCTCTTCCACTCAGTCTCACGATTCACATTTGTTTACTACTTCTACATTTTAGTTGGACCATACATTTCGCTTTCTGTTTAATACATTATTAAGGTGATGTTGTGGCAGTTTTATCACACTTTTCTGTATTTATTTCTTGCAGATGTGCTTTTTTAAATATTTTTTGTGACATACACGAAGCCCAGTCTTGTTGGACTTCTCCCAGGTTTTTAATACTAATACATCTTGCACAAAAGAGACTGTATTTAAACCTTTTAACATGTTTGCACACCCTGTGATTCTATCTACGCCAAATGTGACATGTACATTTCTCCATTGTGCAATCCATAAAGTTCATCTTATCTTATCTTACATATGGTGCTAACATCCCACCAGCTCTCAGTGAACAAACTAAACAAAAGCGACATGTTATATGCAGGCAGTATGTAGGCACAGTGGAGGACTCTTACCGGAGGCTGTATCGTCCGGTTGTCTTTACTGATGTGATGCACGATTCCTGAAATGCACAGAGGCCCAGCAAACCCGAGCAGGTCGGCGAGGAAGCGAAACGTGATGCTGAGGATCAATGGTCGGCCGAACGCTTTCCTCAGGGCCTGCCAGATCCACTTGGGACCCTGCGATGCTGTCCCCTGCGGCTTCTACCGAGAGCGACAGCAGAAAAGAACAAAACCAATCAATGAACTGCTACACCAAGTCAAAAATGAACGTCACTGACAGTGCTGGAGGGAGATATACATTGTAAAATTGAGGCTGGTTAATGCGAGGCAAGAAGAGTAATTGGTTGAACATGAAATAGAGAAAAGAGCCCTTGTTACTGCGGAATGAGGTCATGATGAGACGGTTTCTCTCAGACACTGATTTGATAAAACTGGAGCCCGACTGCGCAGAACACGGAGTTAAAGTGAAGTGCAGAGGATGTAGAAACTGTAATGTAAGGTAATGGACAAGGCGTGTTGTCAGGATGCACAATAATACACAATATACAGCTCATTATATAATAACACAGTATGGTTGGTACATTTATGTATCACAGTGCTTCTTTGTTAACCTGCAGTCTGGATAAAGGAAATACTGGATACACATATTGTAGTCAAAAACAGTTCATAGTCTGCATGTATCGAATGCATATATATTAAATACAGTGAAAGTGTTAGATATATAGATTATATATTTATAGCAGTCCACTGTGTCACTCAATCTACAAACCTTATTTCACTAAGAGAGAAATTCTGCACAAAATATTGTATCAGTAATCCATAACGTCCAACCTATTTTCAGACTGCATTTCGGTATCTTGCTCGTTCTGTTTTATAAGGTATGAAATATAAGTTTGACATAACTACTGCTACTTCTATAAACTGTTTATATAGAATATAAATGTTGTACATGTCTTCAAAACAACATAACTTTAAGGAAAAAACATGAGAAAAAAACAAAATAAATGAAAAAGAGAAAATTGTGGTATTTGCTTTCTCAATATTGCTGCTTCCCGTTCTAAATTGTTATAAGTTGGTCACCAACCGTCTAATTCATTTACAAAAGAACTAAAGGCAATTTCAGATTTGTTAAAACTTTTAAAACTAGATAATATAGCACCAGAAGTAAATCATCTACCAATAAAGCTAAACATTTTCTTTCTCAGAGCTGCAGTATATTGCTATGTGGATATTTTCCCGAACATTGTTATCATGCATGAAGGAAAATCAGCCACATTGCCTACACTTGTTTTTTTACACCTTGGAGTTTGACAGATTAAACAAACAGTGGTTTTGCCCTCCACAGAACACAGCTCTAAGGTATTGGCGCCGTCATCTTATGTCCACCACTCAAGTTTCTGTCAATCACTTCCTGTTGTCTAAAAATCCAGTCATTTTTCTGTCAATCCTTCCACTACCTGGCTATTATTTTATCCTGTCACACTCTGCTGGCTGCAAAAACACATTTCCCACTTACGGCTTTTGAAATAACAGCAGTATTTCAAACTCCAGCAATGGCTTTGGTCCAAACTAGGACTTCTCACTTCATGACAGCGACTGACAGCACACCAGCCACCACCTACGCAGACCTGCTATGAAAAATAATCAGCCATTCTGTGTGTTTTATAGACTGCGCCTGCATTTATCCAAAACATCAGCTGTCAAATCCTCTGCAGGTCATAAACTACACAAGTTAGTCTAAAGTAGCTCCCAAAAGGATAATATCACATGGTCACGACTATTGCAAATCCCTACTTTTGCTAAGAGCACTAATGCATTATGATTGTTTGATTGTTTTATGGGTATAAGACTTTAAACAAGATTTGCTGATAGAACAAATAATACAATTGCTATGCCTTGCTTCACACACTAAAGCTGGTTGTTCCATTTGAAAAACCTATAAGTGTATTCAAATCAAGATACAAACTACTTAATTCTTTGTAGCACACACATATGTTGACTTTATCTCAACTGTCTAAAAGAAGAGGTCACGGCGAAAAAGTGGCCCCAAAAAGTTTCAAAGTTGATTCATCTTTAAGAGTCATTTAAAGGCTGTACTTCTGATCCCATGTTGTAAATGTTTCCAGTTATCATGTATCTTTCAATTATATAGTAATGATTGCAAACATTGGCTCACAGCACAGGAACAGGTGCATTCATTAGAGTATAAATGATATTATGTTTTAGGAAAGGAAAAACTTTGCCAAATTAATTATGAAATGTGGTTTTGACACTGCAGCGAAATGGCTGTCTATGTAAAATTAAGTACTTTTAATTGGCTTTGGAAGCAGTGATTAGTTTGTCCTTCACTTTTTATATCCACATGACGAGTCATTATGTCGGTAACTTTTAATCACAAATTAGTTGCATGCCCTTGTTAGCTGCTGCCAGATTTCTCAGCGTTTTGGAGCCAGAAATATTTGGAAATAAAATACATAATTATTGGGGTCAAATCGTGTTGTTTTTTTTTTCCTGATTTATACCTACTCCATATTATTATGTTGTCTTGAGGAAGTAAAAAAAGGAAAATTATCTCAAAACAGTAGCTGTAGGCCAAAATAAATCTGCATAAAACTTATGTCATATAAATTGGCTCAAGATTTGGTTTTTCCTTCCATTTATCTGCCATAAGAACAACAAATATAGCAATAATCGTGTGTCTATGTCCATGCACAATAAACGTTAGCCTTTTAAAAAGTAAATGTCATGTGCCAGGTTTTAGCAAAAATGCTAGTTTCTACCCATAGTCTAACGGTTGCACTGGCCGTAACCAATTTCTCCAATGGGGGGATCAATAACGTACTTTATCTCTAGCTTTGAATCTCTCTATCTATGTGTGTCTATGTAGTTGTGCCTATACCTCTATGTACATGTACAGTATTTGTATATGTGCCTATATCTCTATGTGTCTACATCATATCATTGACTCAACCGCAGTCAATCGCTTGAACAGAAAGAAGCTGCCAAGTCAGCCTGCTGTCAGCCAAGACAGCAGGTGTGTCAAAGTAAGCAGTACTGCAGGGCTGCTCTGTGCACCTTTTTAGTAAACTTTTAACAACTTTTTAGCGCGTTTTTATTGTTCAGTTTTTTAATATATCTGAGTGTTTTATGTTATTAATTCAGTGGTTTCAGCAAATAGCACTTAGTCCCGACTGAAACCCACTAGTAGCACAGAGGCTAACACAAGCTAACGAGGACATTGAAAGTGACAATGAAATTGGCTCAAACATGCACAATATTAGTCGCCTCACCTTGGAGCTCCGTGAGAGCGACCGTGCCACCATTGCAGAACTACGAAAAGAAGTCCTTCGTCTCACCGCAGAGTTGAATGAGAAACAATCTCTAGTATCCAAACTTTTTGAAGTCGCTGGTGGGCAGCATTCACGGCTGATGTCACTGAGCGCTGCATATTGTGACACTGTCGTGTGGGAGAGATCCGTCAGCTCCGGACCCTCCTGTTCTACACCTAAGCGCCCGGTTCCGAATAACGAGCCCGCGGATTCCGAGGAGCCATCCTGCGCCGTGGCCCATGTCCTGAGTCTGGCAAACCGCTATGCAGCCCTCTCCACCGACATCCCGGCCCCCTCAGCAGAATCCCTGGACACTGCAGCGTACTCTACTGCTCGAGGATCCAAGTCCACTACGAGGAAAACGCTCCTAAAGGAAGCAGTCCTCAGGCGAAAGAGCGGTCCACCAGCCATGTTGGCCTGTTCCCCTTCTTTGACCCCAGTGCAGCAGCCTCAGACTGGGGTAGCGAGCCATCATCACCACCGCTCACCTCCATCGGGTCAGCAGCAGCGCCCAGAGCCAGCCCCTCTCACCGCTCCAGCGTCCCCGAGCACACAGCGTGGGTCGCCTGTAGCTGAGAGTCAGCACCCCCGCTCCTCCTCTCCATGTGTTCAGCGGCGCTCAGGCTCCGGTCCTGCTTCGGGTGAACCCGCTGGTTCCGTCCACCGAGCTCCTTCTCCGAGGCCACTCTTCGCCCCGACCACTCTGATTATTGGAGATTCCATCGTGAGACACGTCCGCTTCTTCAACGCGGTCACTCGCTGTATTCCCGGAGCTACTGTACCAGACCTGCTCATACGTCTCCCTCCTCTGCTTCAGTCCCTGCCTGATACCGTTTCCAAGGTAGTCGTGCATGTGGGAATTAACGACATGAAACTTCAGCAGTCAGAAGTCACGAAGAAACATTTTATGGATCTGTTCCACCTCCTTCAATCCTCCGGACTATCTGTTTTTATTTCTGGTCCAATCCCGACTGTAAGCAGAGGTGACTGCCTCTACAGTCGTGTTGTGGCGCTGCATATGTGGATCCAGGCTACATGCAGCTCTTTTAACTTTGTCTTTGTGAATAACTTTGCCCTTTTCTGGAAACGTTACGAAGCCTATCGTCCAGACGGATTACACCCAAACAGATACGGTAGCAGCCTGTTGATGGATTACATGCGTCATGTTGTTCAGCGTTCCCCGAGGGGGGCGTGACTGTTTACATCTGAGCCCCCTCGGACCCCACCGCACTCCCCCGCCTCCTGCTCACCAGCACCGGGTGAGTACAACGGTGCAAACACTGCTCCCTGTCCGTCTGGCAGTGCATTACCAGTCCAAACACTGAACTGTGCTGACTCCCTTCTGACTCTGGGAGCTAAAGAACAACAAGGGTTTTCACATTTTAGGCCAATTGAGACTGTGTGTGTTCCTCGCACCAGCTCAAAAATGTTTTTAAATTCTAAAAAACGAAATCAAAACAGGACAGCAGTTAGACGGTCCAACTCTGCAAATCTAATTTCTGTTCCCTGTAGAAATCAATCAACCACATTAATCGACTCTGACGTTATTTTTAAACTTGCTATGCTTAATGTCAGATCTCTATGTAACAAATCATTTTTAATTAATAATTTTATCACTTCTTATGATCTTGATTTTATGCTTATGGCTGAAACATGGCTGGACCAAAATACAGGAAATGCAGTTCTAATAGAAGCAACACCACCCAATTTTAAATTCGAATCCGAAATACGAGAAAACAAAAGGGGGGGAGGCATAGCTGCAGTTTTTAGAGAGCACTTTGTCTCCCATAGAATGCCCCTTGGAAATTTTTCATCGTTTGAGTATATTTCGTTTAAAATGGAACAAAAGCAATCTTCTACTCTTTTCATTGT